TGAAGAAAAAGGCTAAACCCAAATTGTTTCATTCATCTCCTTGTCAACATTACCCAGCAAGGAATTCGTTCTTAGTCGCATTTTCATGCATTGCGAACTCGAATTGCGTCACAAAAACGTGAAACATCGCTGCGATGTGACAGTTGTCATCATTTCAGTTGTTCTTTTTCCGATTTTCTTTGAAAAAGGTCTGTAAGAGCGAAGATTCCAGATAGGGTTATTACTCTAAACTCGAGCAGTTTTCCTAAGTTATCGCGATTTGCTTAAATATATTCGCATAACAAAGGAAAACGCGTTTGAAATTCTCCATTTCCCAGCATGATCACCACGGCTTTTGTCGAGGAATTAGAATTTCTGATGCCAAAACGCTCGCGTGTTGGGTTCTTTTGCCTGCATATGAAAGAAGCCAAGTTTGGGATAGTCCGGCTATGGCGCCGTTTTGTGCATTTATACATTTACTCAACTAAAAATAGCGCATCGATCTTGAGTTCATTCTCTTCTACCATGTGAAAACTTTTTGTTTTTTTGAACTCTCCACACTCGACTTTTCATGATACCGTCGTAACTTCTCATAAAGAGCATGGTTTCCTCTCTTGGAAGTTCAACTCCGTAGTGTAGTTTATTAAGGGATATGAGAAGACCGCAACACGAATATAACCCTGTGACTGACAGCTCAGAATAGAGCTGGTAGACCTTTCTTTTTCTCTCGGTTAAACTTTGCGCTCTAATGCTTTTTTCTGACGTTGTATCCAGTACTTTGTCGCAAAAATCAGAAACTCAAACGACAAAGGCTTTTTTTTTGATACAAAGCCACCGTTCTTATTTTTGCTGCCTTCGGCTACGAAAAATCCTATCGTACCACTCAATTTGCGGAAGTACTCGGTTGATTGTAGTCAGTCTAGGATGACGACGGTGAACACCTTTTCAATTGTCGAGGCCGTAGCCGATGAATATTTTATACCGGGAACTGAAAGCTTTCAGGTCTTAACAACTCCACCCTTTCCTTTTAGTTCTCTTGTTAATTATTATGGCAACTAGTAGGGCATCGGACCTTCCAGCAAAACAAGTCGTTCTCACCAGAAAGGCGGAGATTCCTTGCAGGACGTCAGCTGGGAAAGAGAATAGAAGAAAAGGAAAAACTCTTGATTGCACTGCGCTTCCAAAATCCGGCGGGGGCAGAAACAAACGAGCGTTGGTCTTCATTAGGATGTTTGAGCAAAATTTACAATTGCGTAGAATTTCTGAGCACGTTAACTCAAAGTTTCCCACGAGAGGTTCAAATGCCTGAGGGCGGAAGATCGCGGCCGGTCGAGAAGCGCACGAAATTACACGAATCTATTGAAATGCTTTGGGATCTACGTTTTTGAGATAATTTTTTTTTGACACAGTATTCCATCATTCTGAAAATTTTCATCAACATGAGAGATAATTTTTCTGTGAAACTTATCAATAGTCACTTTTTTTCAGTCTACTACTCAATAGCAACTTGCCTGGAATTCGCACGAGGTGAAAAAACTATGTATCATTTCAGCAAAATCTTCGCTTAGTTCATCACCGATAACTGCCAAGGCCTTCCTTGAAAATCGCTGACCTCCTCTGATTTCAGCGATCTTAGGTCACACCTTTTCCGTCTCTCAGAAAAAGTATCATCTTTCTCTCAGTAGTTCAATTCAACCTAAGCCTTCTTTTCTTACATGTCGATTAATCCGCCTGTGTTTATTTAGACCCTAAAAGTAAACAAAGCAATCATTCTGAATGAAAAAAACGAAACATAGAAAAAGAGTGTGAGAAATGATTCAGTTCGAAGTCTAACTCGTTAATCCTTGGAAACTTCTGGCGAACATCAATGACAAATCGCATTTGGATGACATCTAACGGATATTCAAGCTGAAGCTCCACCTCCGAAGGCTGGTCTGAGGCTCGTATGATGGGCGAGAATTTAGTCGACCGTATGAAATCGAGTGCTGCCGTCGCTGGACCACTTTAATCACGACTTGCAACTTTCTGACGCGTTTTTGGCCTGGCCCTGCTCGCGAATCATTGCTGCATCGCTTGTCCTGCCATTTTTCGGCATGATATACGACAATGCTCTTTGGAATGCGCCGCACAACGATCAAAAATTCAAGGTTAATTTTTCTGAATATCTGCTCTTGGTATCTGAGAAGAGCAGACAAACGCAAGACTGGCAGAAAAATAAAATGTCACAATCGAAGTCATTTACGAAAAGTTGAGTTTGTAAAAAAACAGATTTTTCAGAGATTGAATGGGGAATTTTGAAAATAACTAAACTCTACATAAGAAAATCATTTCTTAGCTTGTCCTTCGTTTTCTAAATTGTTTAAACGCACTTTTGAAAAAAATTCATTTTATAAGTAAGATGATTGAAGGAGTTTTTTTGTAATAAGGTTATTTTTTTCAATCATTTCTTCTGAATATCCTAACCTTGTTGCAAAAAAATATGAGAATTTTTCAGATATTGTGACGCTTGAGGGATGTGGTTTTTTTCAAGAGTTCATATTATAAAAAAACTTGAAGTTGGCACAGATAGAGACTAAGAAGTTCGGATCGCAGTGCATCAAAGGTTATTCAAACAAATTCATGAGAATTTCGAAAGTTATAACAGAAATGATCTTTTTCAAAAAAATGGGGATTCTGTTTTTTCGGAAACTTAAAATGAAAAACTGAAGAGATTTTTTCAAATTTTTTGTTCAATAACTGAAAGCATTTCTGTATTTTGATCAATATTTTTCATCAAGTTTCATCAGCTTCAAAGTGATATTTTGGAAAATGAAAAAAATTACAGCTTCGCTTCGTTTTTGTTGGCCAATATATCTCAAGGGAGGATTGTTTTTCGGCTCTCGAATGTCTCTCATTTTGTGAAAAAAACCTTAATGCATGCCAGTTTAATTACCTCCTTTTACCTCTTTATGCAATATCTTCTTCGTTTGAAATATATTGAGAATTTCGATCACTGAAAAAAACTGAAGGGCAATTGTTTCTATTGGGCCAATTCTATTCAACACGTCAACATTTTTTTGGATTGGGGCTATTTTGCATTTTTGTAAGTCCCGCAAAAAAATAACGCAAAAACAAAAAAATTTTTTTTCTGCTTTTTCCCTGTTTGGAGGAATCTCTAACTCATTTCCGCCGACCGGATACAAGCATCAATTTTTTATTGATACCATCGGTCCGGAAATAGGTATTTGGAAAGCGGATGTTCTGGGTTCTGATTGAGGCGAAAAGAATGGTAATGATTCAGATGGAGACATGACATGGCCATTTGTCTGAAAAAATGACAAGTCATCTGTTTCTCCAATGAATTGCTCAGTTTTTGTGAAGCTCACTCTTTTCTTGAGTTTTTTTACTCCGACGAGGAAGTTTATTACATAAATAATTTTTGATGTGTTTTTTTGACAACTTATTCAATTTTTGATAATTTTTTTAAAAAGCTTTAAAAAAACTGCCGAGGAAATTAAGAAATTCGTATTCGAAACCAAGTAGCGATTTTATTGGGCCAGTGAAAAAAATTTTCATTCGCGCCATTCAATAGAAAAAAAGTTTATTCATTCTCAGTTTTCTAAGTTCTGCTTTTTGTTTGGTTCCGACATAACTCTTTGAATCGACTATAAAAGCAATAAAAGAGATTTCCAACAATAAAAAACGAAAACCAGACTCCTTTCATCGAATTACATGAACATAAAAAATCTGATTTATGTCATTGCGTCCATTCAAAGTTTTTGTGATTTCAAAGCTCCATAGTGTCAACATGAAAAAAAGAAGGGATAAACATTGAACATCTATCTAGAATAATGATCGATTTTCTTAGAAAATAGTTACGTTTTTGTTGGAAGTCTTTGGAAGGAGCTTTTCGAATAATTTTTTGCTTCTTTATTGTTCTCTTGTTTTGTAGAACTTTAAAAAATGGTGTGATTAGAGGTCCTTTGGACAGTATTGCTGAAGAAAAAAGCTGAAAATAGCTGCTCAAAAGAAATTTAATGCCTCAGAGAGTTTTTTTAGGTGCCGTTCTCTAAGTTATAGATATATCAAAAGATCTTTTTGCCTTCTATTTTGATTCAATAATTTTCACAGCATACTCTGAAAAATGATGCCATTCGCTGGATTCTCTGGACGCGCCGTCTGCTGCGGATATTCAAGAGAACCCCTTTTGTGAGGGATATCAGAGCTCTTTGAACTTTGGCTGCATGCATGACTAATTATCAGTTCTGTGAAGCATCAGAAGAACGGGGAAAACGGGGCCAGTCGTGTTTTCGCTACTTCAATTTGACAGGCTTTCGTGCCATTAGCGACAAGAGGAACAACTTCCAAAAATGGCACTTGAAATAGTGCACGAGCCATTCTTTTGCTCTTTTTTAGTTCTATCCTGACATTTCCTAGCATTATTAAAAAAATGAATTTGTTATTTTTTCTTCCGCTAGTATATTTCGCCTTTCTGTTCTTTGTTTTTTTTAATGACGTTTGAAAAGTTCATGGCTTAAGAAATACTGCATCTTTCATTAACTTTGTAATTTTTGGTCTCCATCTTGTGGTTATATTTGCTTGAAGTTTAGCTCAAATTTTTCTCGATCTTCTTTTTCAGAGGTTCAAACTTCTGATTTGGGATTACCCTTTTTCAAATTAAACGAGCAGAAGTTTGGAGAGATTAAAAAATAAACTACCTATTTTCTTAAGAGTGAAGAAGATTTTTCTTTCAAAGACTACACTGTAAATGATAAGAATGAAAATCAGTAATGAAGTCATGGGTTCTCATCGGCTCCATTGAACATTCCAAGCAAATGAGTAAAGTCGCTCCGTCTTGAGAGTCGGCACTTTTCCTTTTCTTCTAACTCTTTCGGTCGTTGAATTCTTTCCATGAAAAAGATATTTCTGAAACCTTTAATCCAAACATTCAAATTCATAGACAAATTCCTGAACATCCGAGTGTAAACTTCTCTGAATTCATTATAGATCAACTCAAAAATATTAACAATTTTTTACAGGAAATGGTCCTTCGGGCCATCGAATCAATACGAGACAGCGTTTTGAATGCTTCGGGGAGTACTCCGATTCCTATCGAAGCTCCAACTTCCTTGAAAACGCCGTCAATCATTCCGACGGTCGAATTAGTTCTCGGAACCATCACTTATCTGGTTTGCTGGATTCTTTCTTTCTTTTCTCTTTTTGAGGCTTTATTTTCCGTTTCGCGCCAAACAGAAAATTAGGATGAGAGCTTAAAAGTTCTCTACTGGCTAGTGTTATTTTTTCCGCCCATTATCCATCTTGAGAGCTTCCCCGAGTGACAACTTAATCACTCTCGACGACGCCTCCGTTTTTTTGTTTGTTCAAGAAATGAAGAAAAAAACTGGTTGTTTAGGACAAAAAAATTTTTAAAATAAACTACAGCTTTCGTCTGGAATTAATGGAAAAATAATGACCCAAATAAACGAAAAGCCAAGTAACGATGATGAATTGGAGACTATGATTCCAAAAAATGCTTCTTCAGGTAATTATTGCAATGACAGTCGTTGGAAACACGCTGGTCGTCGTTGCCGTGTTCAGCTACAGGCCGCTGAAAAAAGTCCAAAACTATTTCCTGGTGTCTTTAGCCGCCTCAGATCTAGCTGTGGCAATATTTGTGATGCCTTTACATGTCGTCAAATTTCTTGCCGGTGAGTTGAGACTTCATGAGGCAAGAGATAATGGGAATATTATAAGTTATAGTTTATATCTGTATGTCTTTCTTCAAGTTACCATTAGACTTTTTAAATGTAATAAAAGTTTTAGAACTCAAGAATCTTGTTAAGGTTCTTGAAGGCCCATGAATCTCAAATAAACGAAGATAATAGTGAAAAATGGTTTAATTACTTATTTACAAAGATGAGTTTACTTTTTCTCAAAATCACTCATGCCGAAGTTCTGAGAGAAATATTATTGAAAACATTTTTATCCCATACGGTTTTTTTTTCTCACAGCTAAAAACCACAAGTTTCGTTCACATTTTCTCCTTCAAATCCCGTTTTTTGTTCACCTTTTTGATAAATTTAATTTATTGCCATTCTTTCGATATTTTCTTCCGTTCTCTATGAATTATGCCCTTCTTTGTTCGGAACTTCACCTTCTCTCCTTGTTTTCCTAAAAAGGCTAAATAGGGAAATGGCGGAGCTTCCGACAGCTCGCTTTGCGTTGACGACGCCTTGATTCAACTTGTTTGAGTCACAATCAAGGCAATTAGCTCTGGGCGGCGCTCGTCTTCTGCTTCTATCCTTCGCATTTTGCTATTCAAACAAATTGCTCTTGTATTTTCCGCGCTGTTGACAAAATGCGGAACGAACAATTAGAAGGAGGAGACGAGGCGTCAAGTTTTTCAAGGAGCTTTGGATGGAAAAAAATGCTCAATTGGAAAAAGCAGAAAAAGCAAAAAAAGTGAAGTGGAAAGATCATGGAGAAAAATTAATTTTTTTGATATTATTTCCCAAAAAAATTATTTGGCACAACAAGGAAGTTCGGCAAAAAGTGAAGAAACTATTCTACATACAAACTTCTTTTGTAGCTTTTCATGGAAATTCTACATATTTATTACTCATAAAATGCGTTCAAACGTAGAGAGACGAGAATAAGAAAATCTTTGAAATAAAGGGAAATATTTCAATTTTTTTTTAATCATTTGATGAACTTTTGAATTATCTTTTTTTTTCGTTTGGTTTTAGCTTCTTCTCGCGTATTTTTCAAGATTGAACAACACTGAGGTCATTGAGAATGATTTGAAAAATGCAAATAAAACATATTGAAAAAATACGCCGAAAGCTTTATATTATCAATTTTCAGATGGTCGATGGCTTCTTGGCGTCGCCGTATGCCAGTTTTTCACGACAGCTGATATTCTTCTATGTACTTCTTCCATACTTAATTTATGTGCAATTGCCATGGACAGGTTCAGAATAGCTGTTAAGACTTGAATCTCAATTTTTCCAGGTATTGGGCAATTCACGACCCCATAAACTATGCGCAGAAAAGAACACCAAAATTTGTCTGCATGGTGATCGTCGTGGTTAGTTTCTGTTCATTTTTTGACATGCTTAGAAAGTTTTCAAAGCCAGAATTTAATGTTGCGTGCTTGAATCTATGGAAAACCTAGCTTTTGAAAGTTATACATTTTTGAGGCTTTTAAGATGAGAAAGAGATCATCACAACGGTTGCGAAAAAAGTAACTAAACTAATTTCTTTGCGATATGCAGTTGTTGCAACTAACAAGCCTTTGTGAGAAGCGCAACATTCGAAAATTGGGCCCATCAAAAACGTGAAGGGAGACTTTTTATGAAGGTTCCTGACGAAACTGAAGGAATTTTTTTCGAAGGGGCTTTTTCCTGTTGAAAATGGGTTTTTTCAAGAATTAAGCTCACTCGTCACGGCTTTTTCTTGATGGAAAAAAAAATAATTCAGCTTTATGAACTTCGAAATTTTTGCTTGTTTTTCGAACTTTTCGTTTCTTGGTTCCAAAAACTCAACAAAATGATGTGATAGCGTGCGACGAGGCAATGGTAGCCAAGCTCTCAAGTAGATAAAACTGCGAAGCGACACAATGGAATCCTAGAAAAAAACGAGAGAACCCTTCAAGACTCTTCAGCGAACTTCGCGTGAAAGGATGTGCAATAATCAACAACTGAAAAATTGTCAATAATTCAAGAAGAGGGAAATTTGTGAATGAAAGTTTTTGGAAAAGGGGAACGTTAAAATTTATATGGTATTTTGGGCTCACTGTTTGATATTTTACCTAGAATTTTTTTTCGACGAGACTTGTGTATTCTCAGAAATCAAAAAGGTTTTTTTCGACGATCAGTTTTTTTTAATATTTTTTTTGAAAGCTCTTTGAATTTTTTTCTGATTTAAGAGCACAACAGAAATTTCTCCTTTTTGCATTTCATTCCTTTTTTTGGGTTTTTTCTATCAAAGTGGTCTGCAAAAAAACCGCAACTTTCAAAGGTTCTAGAAGTACTAAAAAATAGCCAAAACTCTGCAGAAAAAACCCTTGAGAGAGTTCAAATTTCAGGTTTGGATTCTATCTGTGATCATATCCGTCCCACCTTTAATTGGCTGGAACGACTGGTCGTCTCAAAAGTTGAAGGATCACTGTGAACTATCCTCAGAGAGGTTATCTTTTTTTACTCTTTATATCGGAAACTCCCCCATCTCAAGTACTTTGAAAAAGCTTTTTAAAATTGTTCATCAGTTTTATAGGCAGTTCATTACTTTAATGGCAACTTTCTTCAAAAAGTCATCATTGTATGAATTTTCAGAGCCTTTGTCGTTTTCTCAGCAGCCGGCTCATTTTTTCTTCCTTTGCTGGTGATGGTCGTTGTCTACGTTAAGATTTTCATCAGCGCTCGACAGAGAATCCGAACCAACAGAGGTGGATTAGAAAAAAAAGACGAGCTCTGTTAGGAGCAGAGCTGCGCGTGAGCCCGTCCTTAAGCCCTTTAACCTATGACTTTTGGAGCTTCAAGAGAATCATGAGGGTCGCTAACCTAAAAACTTCGTCGCTCACAAGGGACGCCATTTCGAGGCGAAACAAAAGTTGTTCCTTCGAAAATCGTCGAACTCCTAGATGATGATTCTCGAAGACCGTTTCATGAACAAAATCTTAGTATTTTGATGAAATTTCTCTAATTTACCTTTTAGCCTGGAGCCGAAAATTGAGATCCTTACAACATTTTTTCCTAATTTTTTATAATTAATTTCATGGAGATTGCAGGAAGAAGCGCATTGATGAGGATACAGACAGCCGAAGGAGATGAAGATCGCAAAATGTCGATCAAACGGGTCTCAGTGGAGAGCGCTCACACGAGCAGCCGGGTAGGCGAGAAAACTCCGCTGGTCATCGCCGAAGGCCACACAACTATCACCACCCTCGCTGCCCATTCCGTCAGTCTCAAAACTTACGTGCACCTTACTTCTGAGTTTTTTTTTGTTAATTTTCTGGGCGGCTTCTTGACAAGAAATCGATTATGGTTCATTTCTTCTTCTCTTTCGAAATATTGGTGTAAGCGTTCCGAACCAAGAAGGCTGGTTGGACAAATAATGGCTCAGCAACAGTGCGCCCTTCCAAGCAAGATCATTTTGCTTTGCGGTTGCAACTTTCCTAAAAGTTGGCGTTTCTTGATGTACCAGATGAAGATCCTGTAAGTCTTAACTTGTACAACTTCTAAATAAAAAACCATAAATATTCGTTGAAATGTGCTGCTTTATGAGCCTTTTTCAGCCAGGAATAAGAAAAATATGAAGGCTGAGCTTTTCAGAATTTTCATACTGTAAATCAAGAAGTGTTTTGGCCCACTTTCCGGAGATTCCTGACTGCAACGCAAAATGACCTTTAGTCAGCAAAAAATTCATTACAAACTTCAATATTTCGTCCTCATCACGGAGAGAAATTCTACGTGTGACCAAAGCTTTCGATTTCTGACGGTTGCTACAATATCAAAGAACCTAGTAAAAAGTTTAAGATCGTTTTGCGATTTCGATATTTTTATTTTGCTATACTAGAAGCCTGCAGGGATACCTAACCTGTGTTCAAAATTCTGAACTTTTAAATTTATTTAATAATTTTTCACATCAATCAAAAAAACTTGTTTTCATTCCAAACAAGATCAAAATGGTGATGAAAATGGCCCTCATCTTTTTTTCCAATCCAAGTTTAAAAAAACCAAGAATTTCAAACGTAACTCTTTTGTACCGGGAACGAAACATTTACTGGAGGATACCGTCAATTTTTAGTTTTTATTGGATGCAAATGTTTCCGATTTTTCAGGAGATTTCTCAAGATAAATGACTTTTTTGAAACGGTCTATTGAGGACTCGTTGCTGAAAATTTCTTTTGACGTTCTTCAAGAACTACTTTTTTTCATCATGAAATTATAACCTCTTTCCTTAACTTTCTTCTAAGTTTTCCTATTAACACTATTCATGTCAAGAAGCCGTCGTATCGAAATTTCACTGCTAGCTACTTCAAACTTTCTAATGAAAAGGCATTGGTTAACTAACTTTCGCACATTTCAATGCACTTGCACGTCTTTTTGGTACTAACGGGGCACTTCTTCAAATTTTGAAAAATTCTTGTGAATTCTAAAAAGTCCAGGCATGTGTTTATCGGATGTATGGCCCGTGGCTGATGGTTCTTTTTTGGAGGTTGAGTTTTTCTTTCAAATCTACATTCAGACGGACTGCCCGGTCAAGGAAGAAACGACAAAAAATATGAAGTATCACAACAATGGAACGAGCAAACAATCGAAAGAAGAAGAGGTTTTCATTATGTTCCTTACAGAAACTTCTCTTTTCTTTCTCTTTATTTCTCTGTTTTAGTTGAATGTTTGAAAAAACCGTAGATTTTGTCATGCTGCTATGATAAACGCATCGTATATATATTTCTGTTTGAATGACTAGGGGATTATTTTTAAAAAAATATTTTCTTGAGAAAATTTTCTCGATGAATGGAAGGATTTTTTGAAGAAGATCGCCGAAAAGTTTTATGAATTTTGTTGAGAGAAAAAAAAACTTTAAAAAAAAAATCCTCTGATTGCAGGGAAAAAAATCAGTATCTAGCGATTATAAAATTTCTGGGAGCTTCAAAGTGAAAAATTACAAAGAACTAAGGAGAATTATTTTCAAACAGTCCTCAAATAATTCAAAGAATTCTTAATTTACACTTCAAAACTTGTTATAAAAAAAATCCAGTAAAAGCGCCCAAAAAATAAATTTCTTTCCACAGAATTTACAGAATCTGTGATTTCAGAACCCAACAGCCGTGCTTCGAAAAAGAGAAAAAATCAGTGTGGCCAAGGAAAAAAGGGCTGCGAAGACGATCGCCGTCATCATTTTCGTATTTTCCTTCTGTTGGCTGCCGTTTTTTTGCGCATATGTCATCCTGCCGTTCTGCGAAGCCTGTTATATCCATCCAAAGGTTCATTTCCGAGCTTTGAAGCTTGATACGTATTTATCAGTTATCCGACTAGCTTGCGGTAATTTGCACATTTCCGGGGACGAAGACTTATCAGCCTGCCTCGGCTATTTATAAAGCGTTGTAGGGATGATGATTATTTCCTTTTTCACTCTTATTACGTCTGTTCTGAGTTCCAGAAAGATCTTGCTGACGCAAAAACAGAATTGAAAGTTTGATGTAACTCTCAAAGAAATGCACAAACGATGGGACAAAAGCTTTTCTTTGTTCATTCTTCCTTTTGTTTTTTTACGTAACATTTTTTTGTTTTTCAAAGTTTTCGCAACTTTTTGATTTTTTTCAGAGAAAAGTTCAAGTTTTTGAAAATAGATTTTCAGAAAAAAATATTTGAGTAGATTTTCAGAAACAAATCCTAGTGCTAAAATAGAAAAAAAAGCTTGGATTGCGTTTTCATTTAATATTTCGGCTCTTCCGTACCGTCTCTCAACGTTCCCTCTGATTTATTCATCATCATCTTTTATTCATTCTGCAAGGAGAACAAAAAAATGCAAATTTTCTTTTCCAATGAATATTGCTCAGATTCAAATTAGTCAGAAAGGAATCCTCTTGATGAACAATCGTTTTTTTCAGGTGAATCAGGCGTTCACTTGGCTGGGATACATCAATTCTTCGCTGAACCCGTTTTTGTATGGGATTCTGAACCTAGAGTTCCGACGAGCGTTCAAGAAGATTCTCTGCCCAAAGACGGTTCTCGAACAGCGACGCAGAAGACTCAGTGCTCAACCATAAAAAAGCAAAAAAGATCACAATTTAGTTAATTTTATTTCATTTTAAAAAACATTCTTCCCGTTTTGGAAACCGCACATGCATTTTTTCGCTCAGATCACGTTTCTAAATTGACGAACCGATCGTATTTTGTTCCATCTGTGTCATATTAATTAATTTATAGAAGAACACTTTTTTCTATTTTTTGTAACTTGTTGTAGCGGATTCTTTCTATCCAAATTCATCATCAGAATTTACTCCAAACAAATTCAAAGCGTCCCAAGATTTTTACTGGTTTTTCATGCACTTTGTTACTATGCACCCTTTAAAGAGTTTCCCTGTAAACATGTTTCTTCAGTTTCTTTGATTTGTGGAGAATAAAGTATTTATTTGAAAAGTTCACGTTCTTTTTCTTGTCAGAACAGCGTTGACAAACATTCGAACATGCTTTTTCGTGAATACTCGAAGAATTTATTGGCCTTATTGGTGAATGAGACCAATTTTTCGCAGAACAAATTTCAGCCAATTGTGTTCAGAACAACATCTGAGCGAGATGAAGACGATTTCCTCGTTTGCAAAAAGAAAAAAGGCGCAGAAGCTTATGGCAATTCGCTTAAGTGTCATAGTACCCATGTTGGACAATGTCCTTAGCGAACTGCTATAAGCAAGCTGAGCTCACTTGGGGAAAAAGAGCCGAAGCTCATGACAAATCGCTTAAGTGTCATAGTTCCTATTCTGGACAATTCCACCAGCGATTCGCTATGAGCCGAAGCCAAGACGGGGGATGTGGGGGGAAAGAAGGCCGGCAGGCCATCGCGCTTCGCTTCAGTGTCATAGTTCTCAATTCCGGACCATTCCACCGACGAAACGAGATGTCCTACCAGGAGAGGAAAGGACAGGGAAAAAGTTTGAACTGGTCCACGCCGATTCGCCTTAGTGTCATAGTACCTAACTCTGGACAATGCCACAATCGAACCGGAGTGGACCAGTTCCTGAGGGTGGAAGGTAAAAAGGCAGCGAGGCCCAGGCCGATTCGCTTTGTTGTCATAGTGCCTTCAATGGACAATGGCAACGAGCAATCGGTATGGGCAACGCAGATGGAAGGGGAAGAAACTCACAATATTTTAGAATAAATAGGAGTAGAGCCGGAATAGTAGACGAAGAAGAGCGGAGCTCGACTGACGACTTCTGCGTCCGGTGGCCCCTATTTATGCAGCGGCTGATAGTGCGAAATGTGCCAGAGGTGGACGCCGAGTGACGGTGTCAGATTGGCGGTGAGAGGCCGTGGATGGGCGTGGCCAATGCCTGGGGGATAATTCGAAACAGCCGCCGCGCGCTCCTGGCAAAGAACGTGCACGCCACGCTCGCACCTCTCGTTTGAATCCCTTTTTGGCGCCAAAGACTGACGTGACAAACATGTGTTAAGTGCTCAAGGCATATGGGAAAGTCGAACCTGAGAGATTTTTTTGAATGTTCCAACCTACTTTTCATTTATCTTAGCAATTAAATATTTTTTTGGCGAAATTATTAAACTTATAAACTTTGAAATACTTTCATAAGAATTGTGAAGTATCCAGATCTAAACATTTCTCTAATTTCTAAATTCTTTTTTCTTTCGGTCTTGCTGAAAAATAGAATCAAAAAAACTGAAAAAAATTTGGAAATGAACAGTTTTTTTGAAAGTTTTTTTCTGAAGATTTAAAAAAAGGTTAAGTTTTCGCCGAGCCCAAGAAAAATTTGAATTCTTGGCGCCAAATGATTCTTCGCTGAGTCGACCGCGTTGGCGCGCAACTTTTTGTGTAATTCCAGTGAGCGAGCGTGTGACCCACGCTGTTACAACTCACAAAGAAGAGAAATCGCGGTTCAAATAAATTTCCGTCCGGATGATGTTTTTGAAGGTTTCAGTGAAAAGTTTAAGACATTTGCCGGCTTTCCACCGCAGGTGCTTTTTTGGCTTATAGATCAGTTTACCAGTGAAAGTTTTCTGACAGAAAATATTTTTCAAATTTCAAAAAAACCCAAATTTTTGATCTTAATTCTTTTCATGGATACAAAGCGAGATTTTCTCTTTTTCTCGGAATATTTTTTTGAAAAAAACACTGCGTTAATCAAGATTTTTTTCGTGAGTAAACTTTTTTTAGAGAAAGGAATGAAAGGCAGACGGACCGATTGGGGAAAAGAAATGACAAGGCGCAGCCTTGAAAGACGAAAGCGACGATGTTCAGACACGATAAATCGCCCTTTCAGGCACTGTATCTTTCTTCTGTCTGCTTTTTCATGGTCACATTTTCCATCGCCACAAAAATCTTGCTGATTGTCAGAACTTTGTTCGCAAAAAAATCCGATCGGAAAGTGCTGATAAAAATCTTTTTTTAAAATAAAAAACTGAGAAATTTTTCATTTTTTTCGATACCTGACATCTAATGGAGCAGAAAAAATGAAAATTTTCGAGCAGTCATTTTTGATGTGTTGCAGAAGTATTTAGAAAGTTTGAAACTGTATAGGGCTTTATTTTCTTGCGGATACAGCATTCCTGAGTTTTTTTCACCATTTTGAACAAATGTTCGAGGATCGTTCGATGGAGCGCATCTCCTACATTAGTAAAAATACTGTTGAAAATGTTGAAAAATTCTCTCATTTTACGTGATAAATTACATCCGTTTTGAAGAAAACTCAAAGAAACGCAGTCCCCAAAATGGCAGTTAACCAGCCCGTTTCTTGGAAACGCAGGTGCCTTTTATCTCAACAAAACATTCATCAAACACGTAGTTAGGCACAAATTGAGGACCTCAAAACGTTGCAAAAGCGTTATCTTATCAAGAGCAGCAGTCGAAATTTCGATCAATCAACCGCCTCAGGCAACTTTCGTCCTCAACCCAAAACGATGTGACTAAAGGCTGTGTAACCGAACGGAGTCTAACCGGTTCCTGCACTGGCAACAGTGTCGGATCGACACATTGGAAGAAAAAGGTCATATTTTTGGTGTGTAAACTGCTTCCGCATCAGAGAACTTGAATAATCTGGTCTTTTCAAGTTAAAGTAACGAGGCTGGAATCTTTGGATCATCAGTTAAGCGTTTTCTGAATTTTAAAATAAAACTTTTTATCAATGAAAACTCAGATTTTTTTCATTATTTGTGCGACTTTTCTCCCAAAAAAAAACCAGCCCAAAAGGTTTACGACAGTCTCCCTTTTTGAAATGACTCTTATCGAAAAAGTAACAGCGAGGCCGCCGTGGAACGCAAATCGATGAAAAAAAAAAGTGAGCAAATACAGTTTCTTCGCCGCGAGAGAGAACAGATTATAGCCCACAATTTGAATGAAGGACATTTTTGGATGAATTGAAGGTGAGAACTTCTCTCGGAAAAACTCTTAACCGTGGTATAAAAAAAACTTTAAATTTTCACTTTGAAACGGTAATCTCAGAATTTTTCCACCGCTGTTTTAGTGATGCTTTGATTATGGTTCCAAAACGCTCAGAAAAATGAAGCTTCAAAAAAATTGAATGGATTTTTTTGTAGTTTTTTTCTCATTAGTGATGAATGAATTGGCTTTAGGAAGTAGATTATTTTTTTAAGACTTTCTCTATTCTAAAATTTCACACGTAGATTGAAATCTTCTAGGAAAAAATTTCATTTCAATTATTGTTTTTTCTTTGAAGAAACATTTGAAAATTTTGAAAATGGACCTCATTGTTCAGAATAAACTTTTGAGATCCAAAAACTTCTCTACATACCGAAATATTTCTTAGAAGCTTCTTTCCGTCTCAATCTCATTTTTTTATAAGGAAGTAAAAAAAGACAAGCAAGAGCCTGGATAGACAGAGGCGCGGCGTCCGGATCCAACGACAGAATCGATTGACGCGTCCACCGTTTATTTTTTCGAGGAGGGCAGGTCTGGCCAACTTTTTGTGTGTACACTCGACTCTGGAATGGTGTATGGGGAGCAAACGATTTGCCAAACGTCCAGCAGCTGCATTTCTGTCTTTTGCAACTGCTCCTGCGTTATTGGCTTCAAATACCGGCAACGCGATGTTAAAGCTGTTCACATCTTGAAAAAGGTGAGTTATGTAACTTTTCTTGTCCCTTTCTCGAATTTGGTGAATGAAAAAAAATTTATCAGATCAAAGTAAAACTGAGAAATGACGAAGTCGAAAAGTTAGCCTAAACTTGCAGAAACTCACGATTTTCGAGAAATTCATAGATTTTCATAACTTGTACTATTTTCTTTGTTTTTGAGCAGTTGGGTGTCAAAACTAAAATGTCTCGCAAATTCGGATTTTATCGGACCCCTTTTACTAGTCTCAAGACGTTCATGTTTCATGTTTTCTTGATTTAACCTCAAATAAGCTCTGCGAACTGAGTAAATGAAAAAAGTACAAAAAGTTTAATAACTTTTTCATTCTCCAATGGCTCTCTCTGGCTAACGACGTTGATGACTCGAGCGATTACGAAGGAAAGGGCCGTATAATCCCTTGTCGATTACACGCGGATGACGATCACTCAACATCGAAAAAATCCCTCTTAAGGTCATAGAGCCTCGAATGACGCTACTCGAATAATCTCAAGGCTCAGATAATTATGGACTACAGATTTTTCTCATAGTCCAGTCCATACTTTTTCAGAAAAGCTCAGCAACCTTTCCCTTGAAAAACTTGAAACTATGGTAACCTGCAGCTGAAATTTCAGCATGAAAAAGCAGCTGCATTTTAAATAAGTCCAGTATTTTTGTTCTCCTCCAGTAACGTATATTTTTCGTTTGGATTTTTTTTTTTTTGAAAATGATTGATTTTTTCCATTAGCCAACATGATTAAAAATCGGAGAGCCCTTTTTTTGAAGTAAATCTGTTCAAAGGATTATCCTTTTCTTCCCACTCGAAGCCTTAGTCTGATGAATTCGATGCGAATAAAGGCTGATAATCTCAAGGCGTACGGATTGGCTTATGAATAGGGCGTAAATAGACATAAAACAATTTGCAAGAAGCATGTATAAGCTGGATTATTTTACATTCTTCCTTTCGAAAAATGTGAAAATAGCGTTTTGGAGCTGAAAAACTTCTATCAAATTTTGAGTCGTTTTACTTCTATCAGAAAGTTTTCAGAAAATGGTCAGTTCCATTAAAACTGCTGCAATATTTGATTTTTCATTCCAATTTCCTTACAAGAAGGATGTTTCAGCAAATCAGCAAAAAGAAAAATGATTTTTACTGGTTCAAAAAGTTTCGAAATTATTTGATTTTTTTTTCTTTTCATTCCAATTTCCTGGAAATACTCAGTTCAATTATTGAAAATTTGATGGTTACATGTTCTCGGAAAATTTAAATTCCTCACGCTTTCTTATGAATTTTCAGGTGGTTATTAGTTCAACCCACAAAAAAATGAATAATTTTTTTGTTTGTTGTTCATATAAAAACCCCCGAAAAAGATACTTTAAACATTTTTTTCGAAACTCAAAAATGTGGGAATTTGGAATGTATATTTTTAGTGTATATTTTTTTGACTTGTCATAATACTAAGAATTCGGGCTGTGTGTGACAATTTTTCTCATTTCCGAGTAGAAATTGCTTTTTCATAGGTTAGGAGATTGAAATTGTACTCTGAAAGGGCATCCGGAGCAGCCATGACAACGTCGAGGTACAACGTCCCATCTAGTTGCCGGGGTATCAAACGGCGCGAAACGTGTATTTTATAGACAACCCTGCACGAACTACAAATTGAGACTTTTGAGTTATGAAATTCACATGATTTTGAGCGTACAATAATTGGCAGTAACACGGGCAAAAAAAAAGTATTACGAGTTCTGAGACCAAATCCCTATTTGTAAATCTTTTTCGTCGTTTAGTGAAATTGATTTAAAAAACGCCAAATCTTTATTTGGCTCAAAAGTTTTTCATTGAATATTTGGACTTCGAAAAAAATGTATTCTTGGTTCCTTGGCTTTTTTTCATTATCTTTGGAGACTGTGCAATTTTAGATAGGAAAAAAAAACAACGAGTTAAATTTATCCTATATATGTTTTCACTGAGAGCGAAACCAAAAAAACACCGATTAACCAGGAAAATCAAAAAAAAAATTGGATTTTAAAATTTTTTTTGATATATAATTTTTATTCAGCACACATAATAGCGGCCATGTCGATTTGAAGGTAAGTTAGCAAATATTTTCTTTAAAAGAGTTTCGATTTGCATTTTTTCAAACAGTTTTAAAGCGCACTACTAGGCATATTGCACCGATTGTGTTCTCCGTACTATAGTTATGGTACACTCTTGGCGGCTCTCATTTAAGAAAATAATAATCGTTTTCTCAGATGCTGAGCCTTCGCACGTCGTCACTCGAATAAGGCCATTGGGAACTTTGGCACTCCATCAAACGGTTGATTGAGGCGCCGAAGACGCCTACGGCATGGTTATCAAGGCGTCTGTGCAGAGGCGCAGAGTTAATATCGGACTGGGGGAGGGACAGCAGAGCCGGTCCGCCTCCCTTTCGACAGTTTGCGTGCCCCTCGTCCTCGACTCCGGTCGGTCTTCCCGCTGCTCTTCCAGTCTTCTTTTCCAACCCGTAAACGCCTCTCAACTTCTCGTTGCCTCCTTGTGATTCGTATAAGGCCATTGTTACTCAGCGCAACTATGACACTAATGCGAATCATAATGAGTCAATGACATTTTTCCCCACTCCATAACCTTTTTTAAGAACCGCCCATGATAATGAACAATTCAAACATTTGAGAATTGCGTTCTTGCATGAAAAAGATCACCGCGATTTGATATCCTACGGAGAATCGACGTCTACAAAAAGTAAAAAAAATTGAATAAAAATTTATTATGCTCGTGTCAATTCTGTTTCAGAAAGACAATAAAAGTTATCGAATTTCTCCGAAAAAAAGCGAGAAAAAAAGAGCTGCTAACTAATTAAAAAAGCGTTTGAAGTTACAATTGACAAGTGAATAATTTGAAAATTATCTGCCAAACACGGTAGGTTGTCAAGTATAATTCTTTTGGAAATGTGAAGAGACATATGCTTCATTTTGTTTTTCCCAATGAACTATTTACTTGCCTTACATTTTATAATAACTATCAAATTGTTTTCGATTCAAAAATTTGATGAAAAATTTTTTGAGCTGCTTCTTCACGTCTTTAAAAGGCTTTTCACGGTACTCTGAAACAATGAGCAGTTTTTTTTTGTTTTTTTTAGTACCATCCTCTAAGGAAGCCTACAGTGAAATTTCAGACTAGATTTATGATTTTCACCAGACTGCTCTCAAAGTAAAATATCATCATTTTTTTTAAGAGTCGGAAAAAAAGATCAAGAAAACATATATACATACAAAGGGGAGTGATGAGGCTACTCACTGCATACAAATCTATTTCAAGCTTTGCTGGAAGTGAGTTGCTCAAGTCAAAATCAATGAACGAGTTTGAGACTCCTCCTTCGGTTGAGCTTCTGGACAAACGCTGTGAGTTCCCGACGGACTTCTGGAGAAACGGCGATGTTGTGTTGTTCATCTCTCGCTGAAAATATTAAATTTCGAAATTTTTGAGAATTTCGATCTCAGTGAGGAGGAAGACAATTTTATGATTTTCTTATCATTTTCCGTCGAAGTGAAAATTTTTCTATGCGCCTGTAGATACTACCCAAAATCAAGTATTCTTTGATATCTGCTAACAAGTTTTCAGAGTTACACAGCTGAAATTTTTCAAAACGGTCTTTTTTAAGCTAAAAATGTGGCATTCAATCCGAAAAAAAACGTTTTCTGGCTTGATTAAAAGATTTGAAAATAATGCATCAGAAAACACAAAGAGCTGTTTTCCGATATTTGAAAAAATCGCAGTTGACAAGATTATTTTTTAAGTAGCAAAATTAGCCGAACGCAAGTCTGAAAAAATTACTTCTGAAAGCTTCTTCTAATAAAAATCACCTGGAACTGACGCATTGCATCCCAAAACAAAAACTGATCTCAAAACAATCTCAACAACGTTTCGATTCCTACTTTATGAACTTTCAATCAAAATGGCAGAAAGATTCATACCGAAAAAGCTTCATTACTTGGAAATTTCGAGTGAAACACCTGCTTCCTCAAAAAATTCAAGAACCAAATTATAAGGAGAGATTTCAATATCAGTTCCAAACTCAAAGTAAGAAGAAAAATAAAATTTATCTCACCTTTAATTTTACTCATTTTCCGCAGTGTTCGTTTAGCGTCAGAGCTCAAATGTCGCATTTCCTCCTCTCGAGCCTCGAATAACACAAATTATTATTGAAATTCGTAGCTTGGAAGTCTGTGGTCGCAGATAGCATGGCTCGACAGTCCTATGACCATTGCAATCCGATTTTTCCTAGTGCACGAGCCAGAAAACGAGTTGCCTCCGGACGCATCAAAGATCGTGCCGATCACATAAATAATTGAATATTCACAGCATTCAGACAGAAGTTCATTGTGCTATTATACTTACGAGCACAAACTTCCACTTTGAACCAATAAAGTATGAAAAAATTAATTTTTAGTAACCTTCAGAACTCTGCGTCTTTTCGTAGCCCACCTACTGTATTCCATGAGCTGCTTACTGTTGAGTAGAGATACGGCAAGAGTTTGGATCTGAAAAAAATTATTGAAATACTTCAACTTTTCTTTTGCACACGCTTCTTGAGATCTTTCAAAGAAATATTGTTTGTTTCTGGTTGAGATTTTTTATTTGCCAGAAATACATATTTGGAATCTTTCAAATTAAAATCTTAGTTTCATTTTTCAAACTTTTGTCTTATAGTCCTTTTATAGTACTTGGGAAACGCATATACGCCGGAGAAAATGCATGAAATTCGAGGATCCACAACGCAACCGAAAAGAAATTTGGGTAAGTTTTTTTTTAAATGAAGACCTGTAGATGTCGAAGTATATTTCTTCAACACATTCTTATCCGGTTATTGAAAGCCATTCCTTCTTAATTTGTGGAAAGAAACAACTAGGCGGGTTGAGAATTTCGGGAATGAAACTTTCGAGCTCAAAGGAATCCTGAAAAAAATTGTAAACCTTTACGGCCCGCAGATTTTCACTCGGAATATCTTCGTCACGCCATAGTTTTTCAAACTCTTGTTTGACGTCGCTTGAAGCTGTCTGGAGGAAAGGAGCTTTAACGGAGTCGAATTGTAGCATTGCGACGTCATCGAACGTTGTCTAAATATCTCACACAGATTATTTTGAAAGAATGCTGAAAAGTTTATCAGTCAAGGGAAGAACTGAAAAATCATTTTTATTCGAGTGATCGATTGAAACTTCAAGGTTTTCCAGTCTTAAGATAGCGTACTCTGGAAATAAGACAGATCTCTCGTTAATCGTTGTACTTTTTCTCTGCTTCTGTATTTTCAGCTCCATTATAAAAATCAAGAAAAAAAAAATCAGAAATCTCGAACGTTACGAAAAAAAAACCTGATCGACATAATCATCGCCTTCAGCTGTATTCCTCGCAGGTACGTCTGGAGTCTTCATTTGAGAAGACAGCAACGGAATCGGAGTTCCACCTTTGGCCTAGAAAAAACGAAGATTTCCACGAACTTCAGTTTCAAACGAGAAATGGAGAGAAACAAAAAATGTTTCCTGTATGAAACTTGCAAAAAATGAATCCAAACTGAAAATCAAAATAAACACCGCGATTTGATCGTAGTCCAAGAACGTGGGAGATGTCGACTCTGGCGTCGTTGTTCTTTCAGAGTTAGTCAAAAAACTCCTTGTTGTTTCTTCATTTTTAGCTCCGCTGCTGTTCAATGAGTCGCCTAGAAAAACTTATTTTCCGAAGCAAAATGAGTACAGGAAATAACTTACGAGGGAAGTGTGTGAAGTTACCATTGCAGATATGGTTCAAACTTCTTTTCCGTACGTATTCGACAGTTTATAACTCAACGCCCTATGGCGCTTAGCAGAGATTTCTTTTTATTTTCGAGCACTCATACCTAGGACTGCCTACCACGGAAGTTTGAACCACATCTGCGATGTTCACAACACACGCTTTCCTCGTTAAAACCACAAAAATGAATCAGCGGGGAAAGCTTCATTCGAAAATTTTCCGTTAGTTCCGGAAAATGTTGAAAAAGCTATCTCGGAAAATAAAACTTATCATGACTTAAGAGCTGGATCAAACTTTGCTCTGGAATGAAAAAAACCTCAAACTTGAGTTTTAAAAATTTTTTTTATCATTCTCTTTTTTTAGTCAAGTTATGTAACCTCAAGTTTAACTTGCCATCTGTTCCGTAAAGAATAGCGTTTTAGTGTTTTTCAGGCACCTTAATCCGATTACTAGTAAAGTATATTGGAAAAAAAGTGAAATTCGATCGATTAAAAAAATTATTTCTTTTTAAAAATAAGAAAGAAAAATTTTGAAACACAAGGAAACGAGGAAAAAGCTATCTCAAAATATCAGAAAAAAAACCTTTTGAAGAAAATTGAGAGTCGAAACTTTGGATCACTTCGAGGACGTCTTGTTGAATGAGCAATTCTCGGTCGCACGGCGTCTTCTCAACATAGTTCTTCCTGTGATTTCAAAATCATTGATCGAAAAACGGCTAAATCACCATATTTCCTTGATTTCTTCTTGAGCAAATTCAGGCAATGAGGAGATGTTTTCTGGAATCCCACAGGTTATAGTGTGGTTCTGAAATTGAAAGTTTCGAATCTAAATAAAATAGGTAATGATGCGTTTGAAATATTCCTACAAAAAGTTTTTTTCAACCAAATTATCAAATATCGGAAAAAAATTAACCTTTCAGACATATTTAAAAAAATTTTTTTGCAATTTCAGAAATCGTGAAAAAAAGTTAAGATTAACAAAAAAAGATAAAAAGATTTAGAAAACTCTAATGAGAGCCCTAAGAAGCTCAAACGAACGATTTTTTTTGCTTTATAAAAAAATATACAAATAATCATGGACATGTTAGAAAAAAATCAATGAAACATTTTATATCAGTTTTTCAATTTCACTCTTTGATGACCTCACACATCCAATTGGAATAAATAAATCTTTGTTTTCAAAAAAATACTTTTTCCTCGCAAAAATTTATAGCTCAGAAGTTTTGAAGCTTGATAACTTGACATAAAAAGTAATGGATATAATTTTTTTCGAGATTTGAAATTAATGCATTTTTGCAAATTTTCGAGTTCCCAACCGGCCATTACTTTTACTTGCGCTTTCCATTGAACGTTTCGTCTGCTTCAACCTCTTTTCCCTTTGTATCAGGTGATTTTTTGATGAAGTTGCAAACATTTTTATCATTAACTCCGGGTCCTCACGTCGTGGCTAGTAATCAAGAAAAAAAAACCTCGAGACAGACGGCAAACGGCAGCAGAGCCAAAAGTACGACGCGATAGTGCCACATGCGGCGATAGTGCGGAAATGCAAGCAACACCGACGGCGTCGGCAAAGATTTGACAAAAAAAGAAGGAGCTTCAAGTGGGCCAATCTCAGAGACTACAACAAAGCGGAACAGGTAGCGTCTTCTTGGCAAAAGCTGCTGCTTCTTTTGGCGTAAGAAGGAGCGTGGGCGCGAGACAGACAGACCAGTTCGGCAGGGAAGTTTGTTGGCGAGCGCGGATTACTCGAATTCGGTTGCAAACCACTGCCAAGGCCGCTCGGGACACGCTTTTTTGGCCCCGGCCTGGAACGTGCCGACGACAGGCGAAAGTGCCATCCACTTCACCCCACGTAATTTGTTTTCAAATGTAAAGCCACTGGAAACGCTGTCAAATGCGTCATTAGCTTCTGCTTTTTGCCCCGTACCTTTCCTATTTTTCGGCAATGAACTTTGAGAGATGTGGGTTACAGGAAATGCCAGATTTTCTAAGAACAGGTGCAAAATTTTTAATATGCTTTTTCAAGAAAAAAAAAGCCTTTTCACTGACCTTTCGAGTTTTTTTTCAACTTGCAAAAAGGGTGATTAGAAGTCTTTCGGTTTCGTAGATGATTTTCGAAGCTTTGAAAATGCTAATGCTCGACTGAAAAGCCCCACATTTTTTTCATTTTTTGAATATTTAATTGAAAATAGAATTGAAGCTCAACTATAACGATTTATTCAAATTACCATATCAATTTTGTTTTATATTCTACAAAGACTATCAAAATTTCACTTTTTTGGTAATTTCTCACTTTTATCCATCATTTTGATCTCAAAGTTTTGATCAATTCCAAAAAATAGGGCGAGTTTGGAGAAAACTTCCTTCACATCAATCAAAAAGAAAATATCGTTTTTGTGTGGTCCAATAAAACCGTTTGGTAGCGCTCGACTCGGGAGTAAAGCACTTTTTTGACATTTTTACAGCGTTGATATGGGTGAACGATTGATAAATGAAGTCAAAAGTCTTACGTCCAATCAAAAACCTTTTTAACTTGTGTGAGGATCCGGCAAAGAAAAATGGGTTATAACGATGTGCAAACATATTGTAAATTTTAAATACAAATTATTTCTTCGATTTGCTTTTTACCTTTTATTATGGAATTTTCTTGAGATTTCACCTTTTATGGTAAATTAATGATTATGTAGAACTTCTGTTAAGTCGAAAATATTCCGATTAAAAACACGATAGACTTCCAAGAAGGGCTTATTTTTTTGCATGAGTTTTTACTTCAAGACTGAAAAGTTTTGATACGTTCAGCAAAACAAAAGACAAAGAAAGTTAGACGTCTCTGCGATTTTTTTTGAAAGCTCAAATCAACTTTTTGAAGGGATCATACTCAAGTTCGAGTCAATTTTTTTGCTTTTTCTTCACACTTGCAAAGTTTCCACAACAAATAATCATAACACAAAATTTATTCCCGAAAAAATGCATATTTCGAAAAAAAGTATGATGGAAGTTTCTTGGCTCTTCAGTAGAAAAAACGATTCTGCACAGGTTTTCTGAAAACAATTTGGATATGAATGAGATGAGGCTCTGACTAACCCTAGGGCGACAACTCTCCAACACTGTCGTGCATGGAGAAACAGGAGAAGGAATTTGATCGCGTAGGCTTCATCCATGGGGTTGTAAGGCTCGGAGCTTTGAAGCGAAGACAACACCGAACAGAAGACGTCGTCGCCGTTGAGCCAGCTGCACATCAACTCTGAGCCGAAAAATGTCGAGTTCATGGCTGTTCTTCTGAAATCTTTGGGCATTGTGGGAACGAGCAATTTGGAATTCAGATTTTAAAAGTCAGATGAGAAACTTTAGTTCATTTAGAGCTGGGCAGTTCTGCGAAAGAAAAATCGAAATGGGGAACAAAAAAGACTCTGCCGCTAGTTAAGGAAATTGAGCTCCTGATTATCAGAAGAAAAACCTCAAAAAAGTAATGAGCTGACGACCGCACGCGCCGCTTATAAATGCGCCGTGAGCTGCACAAAACCGTCGCGTCTGTCTTTTTTGACGTTTTTACAATTGCGATAATGTTTTTTTATTCGCGGCAAAGGGGTAGTCGAGATAAAAATGCCTGGCCTGACATGTTGTAGGAACACCCTTTGGACTTTTACAATGCGATCGCCATTACTTTTTTGGGTCTTCTGATTCGAGACAAACAGTTTTCCACGGAACCTTCTCGATGAACGCGAAACATCGCAATGTGTCTCAAAAATCATCTTTTTTGTAGTATAAAATTTTTATTTTCGACAGGTTTTTTTCAATTTGAAAAAAATTATTGAAATAATGTCCAATGAGATTGTGAATATTCATCAGGTTTATATGTAGATCATTTATATCAGAAGTTGAAGTTTTTAACTTCGAAGTTCATGGGTAATAGCAAATTTAGACCCCATTTGTTATCGAATCATCATTAAAACAACTAATGAACTTTTTGAAATTTTTGAATAAGTTTAATTGAAAAAAATCAATTTAATAAGTCTTGAATTTTAAGAAAAATTTTTTTGGAAAAAGGAATGGAAAGATGTTCATTAACAGAAATTTTTTTGAATTCAATTAAACAAGATTCTGAGAAGTGTTTTTGTTTCAAATTACTCTTTATGGGCATTTAAAAAAATTTCAAAGAAACAAAGGAGATAATTTTTCAAACCCACTGTTCTTTGTTCAACAAGGTCTGAAAACATATTTTTCTTTTCTTTTGAGAATCGAGTTTGCGAAACATTTTTCAAATATAAAAAAAGCGGCAAGTTCATTTCGAATATTGGTCGATGAAGGCTAACCGAGTTGATCTTCCGCGACAGTGATCTACGGGTCAAAGAAATGCGCCGAATTCCCCCCTTTTTTATCCCCTCTCAATTGTCATCATTTTCTTCCTCGCCATAATTTTTTTCTATTTATTTCTAGTTCATTGTTCTGTCTAATTAGTTTACTTTTTATTTGTTTTCGTCTATCTATTTTAGTCATTTGTATCTCGGTTTTGTTAAAGTAATTCCTTATTCAAACGATTACCACTCTTTTATCCTAATAAGTACGTGTTAATAACTGTTCGTTTGTTTTCATAAACGTGTTGGTTTAATTACCCAAGTTTGAGGTTTCTCAACGTGGGAGCTACTTCAAATCCTTGCACAGTTTGTGAGCCGCCTCGTTTTCGTACTCAATTGGTGGAAGTTAGTAAAGAGTTGTATTTGAAAAGGAATCGTGTTCGTGTTATAAAAAATCGCGTAATTACGCTTGAGAATTGCAAGTCCTCGAACACTTAAGTGTTCACTAAACGAGAGTCGTCGAGGGGCAAGGACCCAGCCAGCGTTGCTTCGTCGTGTCTCTCTGTCGAAGCTGCTCAGACGACTGCGGAAAACCGTGTTGTGGCTCTTGCCCGCCGGTCCACCTTCCTTCTCCTGTAGCAGCCCAGCTGGGAAGAGTGATGTGGCTCAGCCCGCCTCTCTCTACTGGAGACAAACCGGACGTGAACTTTCCAAAAACTTACTGAGAAAGCCCTGAAGGGGAAAAACCTCTCGGAGGCGTAGAAATTTCTTTAAAGTTAGTTAAGGAAATACTAGTTTGGCGTTCTGGTCATTACTGAGATTAGTAAAGTAGTGTTTATAATTACGTAAACAATCTTCGCTAAATCTACTATCGCAAATTGCTTCTTTTTCGTTTTAATAATTTTTTTACGACGCCAGCTCAGCATCGAACTAATTTTTAACACGACTTCGAGGTTATGAAAAATTGAAAGATCACTAATCTATATTGTGCAGTTTTTCCCCACGATCAGCTAAAAAAATGTTGAAAAAAAGAGCATTTCACTATTTGCAACATTTTTTTGTCCTAAGCTTGTGGTGAGTGGAAAATCTTCCAAGTTTCTGTATTGTTGTGCTTTAGGGACTTCTCAAAACATTTCTTGAAAAACGTTTTTTTGTTTCAAAACAAATAAAGATTAATTTATTATATAGTCATAACTGCGAAGCCTTCGAAAATGCCGAGAAAATTTTTTTGAACCGGTTACATTTTTTTCAAACCGCTCAAATAAGTTATTTTATGATATTCAAAACGGAATTTCAAGTCTGAGATTTCAAAAAAAGATTTCCTGTGTAAAAAAATACGGATGATTTTTTTCATTATGAAAATAATTTCAAAAAAATTGAATTCACTAGGTATTTAATGAAATTTAGAAAAACGCTTGCTCGAAAAATTAGACCCAATTAAGATAAGGCCAGGTGAGCGGATTTCTTATATTTTTCTTTAGAAACGGATTCTTCAGGAGGTGTTGTTTCATTCGCTTTCACAGCACGAAGGAAATTCTGTGTCTGTTGCGAAAAAGAACGGAATGTTTACTTTGAATTGTATTGGGAACACCGCGATGGTGTATATTTGCGTGCGGCTGCGTCGCGGCCGTACGCTTCTCCGTTTCGCGTCTGCTCCATTCAATATCCCAATATTGGATGTTTTTTTGAACCTTGCCCCATCTCTTTTCTCAGTATGATCTGTAGGAATGGTGTGCAGCAAGTTTTTTTCATTCAAAAAGAAAAAAATATTTTGTTCAATATGTCGAACAAATTGGTGTTGTTCAAATTTTTTCCAACTTAATTTTTCACTAATGTCTAGTTCCTCAGCAGATGGCTGTAAGTAAGAAGAATGAAGGTTTTGAAATGCGCCTGGGGACGAAATGTTGAAAAAAAAATTCAAGTTAAGCGTTGATATTTTCAAACCCCGACCATCTTTATTCAAATATTTGAAAAATAAAACATGAGAGTTATAGACTTATGCATTGTTAATCAGAAACATTTTTTTCTTCTTTCAAATTCATCCCTTTATATTGGACTTGTCCAGCTTTTTTTCTCTTTTTACTTCCTCCCAAATAGTTTATCTTGCATTTTGTAAGACCATGAATCGAAAAAAACTTTATTTAAGGGTGAATCGGCCAACCGCCTGCCGCAACCAGCTTCAACGGATACATTCAAGTACAAGAAAATAAAAATTTCGATAGAATGAATAAATATTTTCAGGTTAAAAGAAGGAAAAGTCGGGGATACTGCACAAAAGAGTGAGTCGTTTTTTTTTATGAATTACAGTAATTTTTAGAAAGTTTCTTAGTGTTTGAAAACAATTACCGCAAGAAAGTTTGTTGAAACGGAAGCTACAACGCGTGAGAGAATAATTTTTTTGTAATCACACAGTCATCAAGCTTCGCAGCTCAGATTTAAAATGAAGAACTTTTAATATAAATTCATGGGGCGTTTGAAACACTTCAAACTTATGTTGAGGCGAAAAAAAATTTCAAATCGGAAAAAGCCAATCTACGTTTCAGTGAAGACACTCTTTTTTAAAATTGAACTGCTCTAAAAAATGAAAGCTTATGTTTATTCAAAAAAGGCCAAATGGCTGTGAGAAAAACTCCTACCAACTGGACCAGGCTTGATCCGTGCTACTCTCTTCTCGAGAATCGTTTCGAGTTTTCCAGTTTTGAAACAGGTTTCGCAACGGCCGAAGCTCCAACTGTTCCTGCTCGTTCTACAAAATTGACTTCCAATTAATTTTCAGAAAAATTGTATTATTGTTGTTTTCACTCGAATAGTTCTCTAATTTTCCTGAATAGTACTGACCATGAAAATATTACAAAGTTTTTTTTAAAATCTCTTGAAATATCTTCAAGTTTGAGAGCTTGTTTTAATGCAAAGGAAAAATAAAAACTCTGAAGGCAGAAAATCTTCTATCAATCGAGTCTGCAGTTGTTGTCAAAAAAAGGGTAATGTTAAAAGAAAACATAATAAAAAAGAGTCGTTCATCAGCCAAATTTGTATTCTGTATTTCAAAAGGTTCCTATCTGAGTTAAAATTTTAGTTGATCTACTTTCAGCAGCATAGTTAGATGCCCTACTTTCGCTTCTAGAGCCGTTTCCGTCATAAAGCTAATTTCTTCATATAGTCCGATCTCTTCGCTTTCAAAGTGGTTCGTGCTGCTCTGCGCTATCGAATATTCAAAAAAATTGTTCCAACTTTTTTTTAGAGGTTTTTTCTTACAGGCTTTGGAATATAAGTTTCGAGAATGACTGGATCAGGAAATAACAATACCAGTTCTGAAATCCGCTTACTCAGAACTTTTTTATTTTTGGAAGACTCATCAATTATGCGATTCTTATTTTCATGTTTGGACTTCCGCATTAGAGATATGACAAAGCTGGATGATTAAACGCATATGAATTCGGGAAAAAAAAAATGCAGATTTTCAAAATTTTTCGGGACTTTTGTCTATTTTTTGCTTCTGTGTTTGCTTTATCGGCGCAGTTCTACTGAATAACGCATATTTGAGAGTTCGAGTAGGTTCATAGTTGAGGAAGAAACTTTTTGTTCTTCAAATAATTTTAAAGCCACCGTTAGTTTGAAATAGTAGGATCATCTCAGATCCAAATTATTTTACAAAGATCAATACATTTTTTTCAAATTTTTGATAGTTCATCTTATTTTCCAATATTAATCAGAACCTATTCTGAAAGACCTCAATAAAAACTCGATCGCATCATTTTTAGATGAAAAAAGGTTTTAACTTTTGTTCTGCTGCGAATATAAAGAACGTAGTGTCTGTCTAGCATATATGGAGTAACCTGAGCTTGTAAAAGTTATTGGGTGCTACTGTACTTTGAGAGAAATAAATGCCGCCTGAAGGAAAACCACCTGGTCGACATCTGTTTGAATGAACAATTCTATTCTGAAGACCCAAGGGAAACGACTGATGAAAACGGTTGACGTCCCTCGTAGAGCCAGATGACACAGCTGTCAAAAGATAACTCAAAACAAATAGAAATTTTTCATTTTTTTAGATTTGTCTGTAGATTCCTCATTCCAAATGGGCCATTAAGTTCGTTTCCGGCATATCTCTGCCTACAGAAAAAAAAATAGTTGGATACTTTTTTTTTTGCCACTTTTTTTCAAGACAAAGCCGGAAAAAGTATCGCTTTTGGGTAAACTAAAAATCCAGATCACAGAGCTCTGGAAACGAGAAAAAGATCCCTAGTGTCGGTTATCAATTTTCAAAAAAGACGAGTCTAATCGAAAATTGAAAAGGAAAAATCCGCGCGACAGCCGGTCCGGTTGTCAATTTTTTTTTCTACGTTCCTGGGTACACGCAGGGACAGAGAAAGATGCGTGTGCCTTGCTTTGTGGCTTGCCGTCGCGGCGCTGAATGCCGCCGCGAACGCAACGGGAGTACGGCTGGTTTGCTTGCGCTGGAAGCGGTGGCGGCATCGCCGTCGGCACAGTCGCCGAGGGCAGAGAAAACGAGAAGGCGAAAGCGCTCGTGGAAAAGTGAAGAGTGCCGAGGAAGAGGTTTTTTTTGTGTGTGTGTTGTGTGTTGCGTCACTTGCGTCACTCTTACGCCCTGCATTGTTGCTCTTATTTTGCGTGAAGCCAACCTGAATATTCTGTCTGAAAAAATTCTCTGACCTTCCTGGGGCTCGTCGAGCCGCAGATCCTGTGCCAAAATTACTCTACCGTCTGCAAGCGACTTCGAGCTGAAGAACGACTTCAGTTATATGTTGTTCGTTCCTGGCAAAGGACTGTGTAAGTCTGTGCCCATTTTTTTAGGCTTATGCAAATTTTCTCAGTAAAAAACTCATGGTTGGTTTTTTGATGTCATGAGTTATCATAAATTAAATACCTTTTTAACATGGGCAGTTCGTATATCTTCATCCCATCAAGTCCAAAGAAGAGCCAAAAAGTTAAGTCGAAAATAAGTTTACTGCAGTTATTTTGTTGCCAGGCGGCTGTGAATGAAATAAATCAAAACTTGTAATAACTTGAAAGGAGAAACCTCATCAAGTCTTCTCTCGAGTTTTATTTTTTGCAACAATCAATTCGGTTCAACATTACAAGACTTTCAGTCTGACTCACAGCTTGAAAGTTCAAACGCCCCTTCTAATTAGGCACGAACAACGGTTAAAAGTGCAAACTAGGCTTCCCAAGCGGATTCACCTTCCCACGTGAAAGGAAAAAAGCTCTGACACCTGTCGTCTGTTCGTATTAAATTAGCGTTCGCTTTCTCCCCACCTTGCCGTCGCCGTCTGTCCTTGGGACACGACGTGCAGCCTTGATTTCTAGCAAGTATCGGACCCAACCGTCTGCCATCCAGCCTTGGCACCTTCGCTCGTTATCAACCCAATTTTCCCTTTCTGCCTTGTCGTAAAGATCAGATCTGCTGTTTCAAAAAGCTTAGTTTTTCCCGCCAACAGGCTTGGATACGGTATGGATATTCCTCTCACGGCGATGTTCGCCGATCATCCTCTGCTTTCTTAGAACATTTCGGCGGCGAAAAACAAGGGAACCGCAAAACACTGCACTGCACAGCAATACAATGCGAAAGAAGCCTCTCTGTGTCCCTTTGTCTGGACTATTGGCGGGTCGATTATCTTCGAGAGACAGAGGCGAAGGTTCAAGTCGACTCGTTTTTTTTTGCTGCCTTCGGGAAATGCCTTTCATCATTCCAAAGCACTTTGCCTTTGGTGGTTTTCTCTTTTTGGCGCGTCACCCTCAAACAATCACGCCGTACCTGTTTTGGCGTGTTTTGTTGGTGTCTGAAGCATGGCTGCAACTTAGAAAAGCTTCATTCTGATACTCCAATGTAGCTTCGGACTATTTACCTTGTCTAGAACGGACTACAACTCTTGTCGTTTTGTATTCCTTGAATTTTGTATTTTGGCCTTATGATGTTGACTACGGTTTCCTATGGTGATACAAAAGGAGATCTCATAAAACATCGTTCTCGGGTATTTTTTTAGGTCGTTTTCATCGTATTCGGCCTGATCTTTAAACACTCGGACCTTCAATCAGATCGAAACCCCGATTACAGCGCCAGTGTTTGTCTTTTAGAACATCCTTTAAATTCCATCTTTTCTCATAACAAAAATATTTTTGTCCTAATTTGGTTATTGGGCAAATTCTACTTTTTTTTTGCTGTCAAACCAAGATTTTTTCGTTTTTTGTTCAGAGTTTCAGAAACGACATCTTTTTTTCGCACCTTTTTGATCATCAAAAATTAATTTGAGAGAAAGTTTTCTAACTATGAACTTGGAAAATATTTAGTAAGGCATTTTGGCTTCTTTTCATCCTTTTGAAAAATTTGAAAAAACTTGAAAAAAGGTTCGAGAATATTATAGCTTATAAACCTGCTGATAAACCTTTTTCTCTTCATTTTTCTGAAGCTTCTTTTAGGGCTCTTTTTAAGGCGAAGGCAATTCTATGAAGCTTCTAAATTTTGAGACGTATGAATTTTGATGCAAACATGCTTTGTGAACGAAATGAATCATACCTTTTTTTCTCAGTTTTCTTTGTCATGTGAAAGCATCACATTGGGATATTATTGTGAATGGTGGACTACGATAGGTTTCCATGGTGATAAATAATCTTCTTTTTTTAAATAATTGGTCATGAGATATTTACTCGGATCAGATGACAACTTTAAAAAAACTATTGTTTTTCGGTCTGCTGGAATCAAAAAGTCAAGAATGTTTCTATTATCCCAAGATTTCAAACTTTGCAACAGATCTAAATCATTGACTTTCATCCTTTTCTTAAAATTCTTTCGCTTGAAAATTTTTTTTGTAATCGATATATTCAAGTACATATCCTCAAATCGAAGTCACTTTCTATCACTTGTTAAATTTTTCTTTCAATCTCTATGGTCGCAACTGAAATGATCTTTCGATCTCACTCCTGAGATTTGTTGAAAGCAAGTCACTTATTTCCGATATTTAAGACAATCGCTTTGCTGCGTGCTGATTTTGAAGGATTTCAAAAGAAAATCAACGCAAATGGAACATTTTGAATGCAAGTGCACTCGAATGAACCCGACGGACTTTTGTGTGTTCCAGTCCTTTTCGTGTTTTTGCACGATCCGTGGCGGTCAGCAATGTTTGCCAGTCTAGGTGTGTATTTCGCTACGTAGAAGCGTGCTGACGTAGCCAACGGCGAGAGCTGCCGCGAGCATCTCCGTGGGCAATTCCGGCCGGCGGAGACGCGTACCCGCCACCGACCAACCGGTTTTGGCGCGACGGCTTGCGATTTCGACGCGCATGCACTTGTCTGTCGGCGTGTCTGTATCTCTGATCCTCTTCGACGTTCTTCGCCGCCCCCAGCCACCGCCGACGCCGACGTCGACGCCGACGCTCCACCCTTTCCCTTTCCAAATAGAAACCGTTTCTTGTAGGATGATGCACTTTTCTTTTTTTTATTCATCTTCACTCCCTTTTTTGTCGCAAGGCCTTCAGGCTTAACCCTCATTCGAACGTTTTTTTTTCATTTTGGGTTTTACGTTCCGTCTGCCTTGCGAGCAGCTGCGCGGCAATGAGTTATGTGGCGCATTCGTCTTTTCTATTTCGAAAATCCAGCCACGTTTGCTTCTTTCGGTTCAACTGAATAGTATTCGTCCCAACGAATTTAAATATTTTTTTTCCTAACTGTATACTCTGGACAAAGTTTTCTGACATTATTTATTGAATTTTCCGATCAATTTGTTTTCTAAATTCACTTGTGTCTGTATTATCAGGAAGTCTGAATCATGAAAGTTTAAATAAGATATCTTTGCTTTCAGACTTGTTACTGAAGCGATGATAAATTATCATTTTATCTGATCAGAATAAATTTCTACGACAGTTCGATCGAAATAATCTCAGAAAAAATTTTTTTTCAAGTTTTTCAAAGCGCTTCTCAGCATTTGAACAAAAATTCGTATTTTTATTTCGTACTCTTTCTAATTTTGCTGAATTATAGAGAAACAGGTAGATTTTTTCAAGTTTTCAACCATAGAACATTCCTGTTTCATACATTTTTTTTTTGAATAGAAAGTAGTTGGAAAAATAAAAAAAAATTTTCCAAGAGAATTCGATTATCACAAAAATGCGAAACGATATTTGTTCAAAAACATGGAAGCGAGAATTCTCATCTTTCAGAAGAGAATCTGCATTCCCAAGATGAAATGACGGCCATTCCATCATTTTCTGATCAAGGTTGATTGAAATCTGCAGAAGAAATCTATCGCGACCGACAATTTTTTATATCTTTCGCATCAAGAAAGCTCCACGAACTTTTGTGGAAAATTGATATTAAAAAATTTTTTGCATTTTCATATCGATGGTTTCAAAAGACTTATGGGATACTTTTAATTTTTGATGAATTTTTAGCGTACTAAAAACAGCTAGTTTGATGATGGTAGCGCAGTAAAGTTCAAAATTTCTTTGGAGTGAGGGAAAAAAAATACTGTTAGAAAAAAATTTGCATTCAAAAAAATACAATAAATTTCTTCAGCGTTTGAAAAAGATTTTATCGTAAAAAAAAGAAAAAGCACATAAAGGTGATGAGTCAGAAAAAAGGATCTGCTTGAAAAAAAGCTCCTTAAAAACTGTGAAGTCATACGGTTACTTAAAATGACTAGCGCATCTTCAGAAGTTAAATTTCTGATGTGATGAATGAAAATATTTTTTTTTCAAATTAGTTTGATTATTTAAAGAAACCCTCGAAAAGGAAGAATCGGGAAAGTGCGATGGTCGGGTGCAGAACACACCGTACGGGGTCTCTGCAGATTGTTTGCACTTTTGGTTCAAAAGCACGCGTGAGTCTGCGGATCGTTTAACCGTCTGGAGGCCTCTCAAAGGCGTCGCACCTTTCTCAACACGAAGTTCCGTCGCTTTCCCCAGTCCCTAAAGCTTGCAATCCAAATCTGTCTTTCATTCAATTTTTTCTCACAATTTTTTCAAATAGAATCCACCTGCCTCTGGCATTTGAAAATTGTTGCATTTTCTTTGATTTTTTGAGAAGCAAATATTTTCGATAATTTTGAATTTTCATTCAAATTGTGTCTATTGACAGACCTACGGGGAAAAAAACTATCCTGGCCTCACTTCCAAGTCTGTACTCAAAGAAAAGTCTTTTCTTTTTTTTTCAAATTCAGATATCCTTACAGTGGATAGAATTAACTAAAATAACTTTTTTTAGTCTTAACAACTTTTTTCCTTACTCAAAAAAGGTCAATCAAGAATTAAAAATCAAAAACCAATCTGCAGGAAGTATTGTTAGACCATCAATCCGTATTTCTAAAAAAACTTCTGAACTATAATAAAGAATAAATTCAGAACAAATTTTTGAAAAATTTGTCTTTTTGAGAACCCTTTTATCTAAATTCTGGCTTGAAACAACCCATAATCTTGATAAGAGCGCAGTCTTTTATTTTCGACTATCAATCACTGTTTTCTTCAAATTTGTCAACTAAATCTGTAAAAAAGTTTTATTATTAGGTGGGACGTTCATTTTCTACTCTTAATTAGTTTGATTATTTTTGAGCTACGAAAAATAATAACGAAGGACTGTCCGACGAGTTCGTCTGCAACTTTAACGACGGCCTTCCAAAATTTTCCCCTTGCGCATTTTACGATAGAAACAGACGGATCGCGTTGGTTACACCGCCTTGGTCCCAACGTAGCAACTTGCGTCAGTGTTCGCTTTACGGATCCTCCCTTGTTGCTAAGCTTCGGTCGGTTCGTTAATTAGGTTATTGTAGGACTAGTGCTGGATCTCCATGTTGTTCCACGCTCCTTTTCGGATCAGACACTTTGTGAAACCAAATTACTTATTTTCCTTTCGCTAATATATCGACTTCTTGCAAGGATCTCACACAAAGTTTGATGCGATTTTTCGATTTTTTGGGCGTTATCCCGTTCGTCAGAAAAGTAAAAACGAAAAGAGGGTTAAAAAATTCTTTAAAATGTTACCAAGTAGATTTTTTTTTTGAATTTATTTTTGTTTCAATTTGCTTACTGAAGCCTTGAAAACAAGAAAATAATATTTTTCTTTTGAAATATTGGCTCTGGAGATTTCCAAAAAGCTATTCATATACCTGCGTCATTTATCCATTCCTTTCTCGAAAGATTGACGTTTTCTCAATTTTCTTTCGACAGTGTAATTGATGGCTATTTATTTCCTGAAGTGATAATTAAATTTTTGTCATATTTCATGTTTCTCAACGCTTTTTATTTTCTGTTTCTCAAGAAGATGAGCACTTTCATTTGATTTGTTCAGCCATTTTTCTTTTCTCCACACTTCTTTGAGAACATCGTTTTTGCTCGTTCTGATCATACCGAGTCTTTACACATTGAATAGCACTTCAGCTGGAGGGCGTCTGTCCTGACTGTACGTCTCGCTTTCTTGCGTCGATGAAAGCGACGACCGACGGCCGGATGATGGAACGCGGAGCCCAGGAGATGTACGGAGTGCCGGAGCAGCCAGTTCCGCAGGCTCACGTCCACTGTCCCTACGCGGAGCAGCTTCCGCCGCTGCCTGGGCTTTCTTGGCCGCCGCCGTTTGATCCGCAGTCGTTGATGGCCGCCGCCACGGCTCAAGCCCAGCTCGCCACTCTTGCCTTGGCTGTGGATCCGCTTGTGTTCTCGCAGTACCTTGCTGCACAGCCCAACTTTTCCATGCCACTTTCTCTGCAGCAGCAGATGCCTGAACCACCGATTCACAAAAAAGGTATTTTATTCAGAAGAAAATCGCACTCGTGCCACACTGGTTTTTAAAGCAAATCAAAACAGACAACTTTTTTTCGAGTTTTTTTTATATCTCTCAAAATCATTCCAAAATCAACTCAATTATTCATTCTTGCCAATCTATACGTTTTTTTTTTCCAGACACTGTCAATCGTAGTTTTCCCAAAGGTTATTTCCCTTCTGACGTCAAAAGATACAAACCAGGGTCTTTGCGCCAAAAGCTGGGCGTTTTTTGTATTCACTTGCTTCACCTACCGGCTCTTTTTCTCCTAACATTGAGAAAAGAATTTTTCGCAGCATTCACAAATTGAAAGAAATTGATGAGTTCATTATTCACCAAATTATTTCAAAAAAATAAGAAATCAGGTCTGTTTTTCTGTTTTCCAATAATTTGGGGAGAAAGTCTAGATTTTTACCGTAAGAGAAATATAATGTTTCGTAAAACTTATAATTGAAAGTTTTTGTAACATCAGACATCCGTCTCGCGACATTTAGGAGCTTCGCTGACGGAAAACATTCCTCATCATTTTTTCATTTCTTTCCGGCGCGTCTGTTTGATTTATGTTAGTCGTGTAAGTAGCGTAACAGCCACCTTACTTGAACTTTTTTTCATTATAAACGGCTGTCATCCAACTCATTTCTGAAAAAGTTGGTGGTTTTGAGTTTTTATTCTTTCTGAACCAAATAGGGAAATTTCTGGAGAATTCGAAGAAACTTAGCAGCAATTTACCTTGATTTTGTCTGGTTGCAGCTTTGAAAAAAAAAACCCGCTTATGCTATGTTTACCGTTAGCTTGGATCAAAAAAAGAACGATGAAATTCCGAAGATTTTCTTCATGCTGATCAATCCCGATCATCTTTCAAGCTATTGAACTCTATTCAAAGTTCGATTCTGGTTCTGAATTCGGATCGATAGCTGTTCTTTCATTTTTTGCGCTTAGAGTGCAAGCGCCCTTAGCGCGAGTGAGATGAAACTGAAAACGAAACGACAACAATTAATCGCGGTATGGGGCTAGCTGGAACAGTCTCCGGCGTCCTGAGAACGCCGTGCGTGAGATTCTGTATATCTGTACGTGAGTGTAGTGTGGGATAAGAGCGTGTCTGTGAGCGTGTCTGGGGGCTTCTGTGAGCGAAGTTCCTGCCAGCCTCATTCAATCGTGCGCGTAAACGAGTTTCCGTCCCCTGGCTGCATCTCCTTTCAAATCGGCCTCGTCGAACTGATGCGTTCCTTGGAAGCCGGCCGTTTGAAGAGATATTAAAATGTGGACTGAATTGACCTCGCCGTTTTTCATTTTTAGAATCACGACATTTTCTAACTGAAGAAAGGGGCTTCCTCACATCCTTGAACCTTTGATTGCTGAGGACAGCTTCACGCTAAAACTATAGATTTTCTCTGGCTGATTCCTTTTCCATCGATTTTCGATGCGAGTTGTGAGAGTCTGCAGGTTCTCAATTTATTGCTAATGAGTTTTTCTTAATACGTCATGGTCTATGAGTTAATTGTTGAGAAAAGACTACTGTAAGTGTTTAATTAGCGCCTTTAATTGCTTTGGAAGAAATGTTCGAAACGGTTTAGAAATTCAGAAAAACAGAAAGCTTTGATTTTTTTAAACTCTTTTTTCATATTCACCTGCTAGTAACGGATTAATTATTTGAAAGTTTCAGTAAGTTCAGTTTTTTTGGCTTTTTACACACTTTTATATTTAATTTTAAAGCTTCTATTCAAAAATTTTTCTAGTTTTGTTAACCGATTTGTAAAAGTGGGTGTTTTGAAGTTCTTGTAAAGCATGTTTCAATGGTCCCAAAATTTGTAAATCCTAAAGTGAAAATCTTTCAGACATATATACTGTATCTTCTCAAGTTTATTTTGAAGAGAAAAAGTAGTGGGAAAAATGCAGTCTCCTCTAAAGAAAAAGAAAAGTTTTATCGTTTTTATCTTTAAATTTTTCTTCGCGTTATTCGGCAGACAGCTTGAAACCAAATAAGCTTGTTACTGTTTTCTGAATTTGACGAAAGTTCACATCAGACAAAGGGTTTGAAACGCGTACGCCCAGTGTAAAGATCCGATTCGAGCGAAAAGCCTGTAGATGACGAAGAACAGTGTACAAACGGAACGGTTAGGCAGCTGCTGGGAGATGCCGAACACGTACACAAAGGTTGTATCAGGCGCCAAATGGCTCCCTTTTCCTTCTCGTCTGGCTCCGGCCGGTTTCTTTTCGCACGCAAACCGTTCCAATCTGTTTGCGTCTTTTGTTGTAAGACCTCGGGCAGAAGCAAGAAAATGCCACATGCGATGAATGGGTTCAATGGCTGTGTCAGAAGGGTTGCTGAAACTGAAATCTCTCAACACGTGATTTGGAATATATTTAATTCAATTTTCTATTGGAAAAAACTTTTAAATTTATTAAAATGAGCATTTAAGCGAAAAACTCAGTACGGTCGACTAAGCGATTTTACAACCTTAGTTCTTGTAAAAACTCTTTGGAGAAATATTCCTGTTTTTTTATGATAAAAAAGACACTTTATAGTATTTACAGTTATAAACCCTGTCACCGATTGAGATAAGCATTTATTTTTTTATATTTATCGATGCAGTTTTTTTCATTGATTTTTGCTTCAAAAGCACTTTTTTTCAGTTAAATAATATAAATGGATTCCCCAGCTGTTCAAAACTGTTTGAAGCATGAAAAAAACAGCCAAAGCTGATTAAGGAAAAAAAAAACACAACAGACTCGCATTACGGTGGGGCGAAACTCGGCACTTTTTGCCCCGTTGCCGAGCAAGGCGGTCAAAAATATTTTGGCGCGTATATTTGTTGTTGGCCTCGGTCTTTCTTTCTCATAGTGTTCTGTTGGCACTTCGTCTGCTCTTCATTTCCAAAAATGCTCAGCCGTTTTGTCGATTGGCGATTCCGAAAGCCGAAGGTTGCGCCGAAGCCAGGTAAGGAAGCTTTTATGTAGTGTTTCATTGCTTTTGGTCTCTCTTTTTGATACTTTGATTGATTAAAAAGGAAGCTGATAATGACAAGACGTGATTATTTCCCCATCAGCTGAGGGCGTAGGAGTCTTTCGAACATGAATTTTGGCTTCTGCGTTCAAATCCTGCCTGAGTCCGCCGAGAAAAGTCCAGAAAAGCTACTTATTTTTTGTCAACATAGTTTTCCCTCGTCGTTCTCATTCAATTTTTTCTTCGCCGCAAAGACCACTGGTCGTGTTTGCTCCTTCTCTTGCAACGTTGTTCTAACTTGAGATTTCTGATAAACCACGGATTACAACGACAAAAACCTTGGACCAAATTTTCACTTCGACATCAGTTTCAAAAAAAAACAATGACATTGATCACAAAAAACCAATAAAACTGTCATAGCGATAGGATCGTTCTTCTCATGTGATACGTGTCTTCTGTACAAACACGAACTGGAATTCCCCTTTTGCTCTCATAAGAATACGCTGATTTATTTCTCACTTATTTTCGAAACAATTTGAAAAAAGCTTCAAGAATAGGAATAAGTTCTTGGAGACGCCGTAATCCTCTTGTTGCGCTTCTCATTTTCTTCGATTGAAGCTCTTCCAGTGCATTTTGCAATCTTCGAAGCATTTCCATTCCGCTTCAAATTCCATTTTGTTACCCTATTGGTTTCTAGCTTTTTAATGACCTTCTTCAAAGGTTTTTTTAGTATAAAAAAATAAACTACATTCTATTTCGAGAATTTTTTTCGAATAAAAATCTTTAGCAAATAACAAAATAGTCAGAATTTTTTTCTCACGCTTCGAGGAAGCGCATCGAGGTTATTTGAAAAAAACAAAATTTTAATTAACTTCAAATTTACCTTTGTTTTTTTCATAAATGGCCACCAAATTTTTCAAGATTTTCACTACCGTGAGAAAATCTGATGTGTGAGAAAAAAGTTGTTTTTCCGCGAATCCTTTATTTTTTGCCCATTTCTGTCAATAACAATCTCAAGGATTGTCTAGGCTCGATAAATTTGCCTAGAACATATCATCTGAAAATCAGAATCTGTATTGTCTAGCACCGAAAACTCGTTTTTGACTCATTTTTTCGAATGACTAACACAGTGTTTTTTTGGAACAAAGAAGACAAAAGGGCCAGATAACAAGGAAAGACAAAGACGATTGTAACAGAGCGTACTTCTTGGTGCCTGCGTAAAACGAAGCGCGACGAGAAATAAAAAGCAAGGCGAAAAGAGGGGATTTTCTCAGCGGCAAAGAATAATTTTAGCGTAATTGGACAGACGAATGTTGGCATAAATGCTTTGCCGGACGGCCGGTTCCACATATCTGCACCCGAAATGCACCGGTCCAGACCCTTGGCGTCTCGTTTTCCAATCGATCGTTGGTGTCCCTTATTCCTCTGTCCGCTCTTGTAGTGGCCTCGCCGCGTGCGGTTCTTCTCTCCTACCTAACTATAACGCACCTCTGGCTCCACTTGTACAACTCCAGCTTGTTCCGTTCTTTTTAACGGTAAAAATGTCATTAAAACTGTCTTTTTTAGCCTTTTCAAAAGATATTTTTCCTCTGATGGCGTGAAATTGGCCAAAGAAACGACTTATGATGAAATCAATATCAGCTTGTTCTTTTAGTCAAAGTTTCTTCAATAATACTTGAATTGGAAACGAATTTTTTTCAATGAAAAGGGCTAAACATGATACTTTTAGAGTTTTAACGTGTATAATCAAAAATTCAAGAAAAAATATCTTTAAAATGTAGGTCGGAAACCAAATTTATACGTTAATAACCTCTTTTTTTCAATCATACTGATACCATTCTTCAGTCAATTTTTTAGCTTTTTCTATAAAAAAGTTTTTGGCTTATTATTTTTTGGAGTTGAATGGTGAAAACGTTTTTTATAATTTTTGATCAAGATTCACCGGTTTTCAGGTTCATTTTTGATAAAATTAATTGAATTGCAATTTCTAACAAATCTTTACAAGCTTATTTCATTTGTTTCTTGAATACTTCACAATGATTTTTTTCATTTATTTTATTTTTTTGGAAGTTTACCCAAACTAGAACATCACAAAAAAAGGCTAAAATGCGAAAGAAATGGAGCGAAAAAAACTGGGGAGTATAGTTTTTGAAATGTGAAAAAAAGCATCATGCGCTCCAGCGAAGTACCGAAAAGCGTCCCCAAAATGTTCCGCCTTCTTTGGGAAAAAAGACGCTGCAAAATTATGATTCATTCATACTTTTTTCCACAACTTATTCTTATCATTTCAGCCGAAATGGAGCTTCGTGTCGGCAACAAGTTTCGGTTGGGAAGAAAAATCGGAAGTGGCTCCTTTGGGGACATTTATCTTGGTTCGAACATTTTATGGCCTTATGATGTTTAATCTTTGTTTTTTCAGGTCAACATGTCCAAACCAACGAGGAAGTTGCTGTGAAGCTCGAATGCGTCAAATCTCGACATCCTCAGCTTCACATCGAATCCAAACTCTATCGGGTCATGCAGGGCGGTATTGGGATTCCTGAAGTAAGTCCTGTTTATAAACTTTTAAATTTTCAATGTCTTAAAAATTCTTTCTTTTTAAGTCAAGTTTTTTTGAAAAATTTTGCAGAGGTTCTGTTGATGCAGGAGCCATATATTTTCTGTTGGAGTATCGAGACTTTTTCGATATGTCAAAAAAATCAAAAAGATTAAGCTTGATATTTCCCTTTTTTTCGTATGGAAAACTTTTTAAAAATTAATAGCACAGATGATCGGTAAAACTTTACAGATTTTCATAAATTTTTTTCTGAAACTTATCAACTGAAAAAGTTACTGCTGCTGAAATTTAACGGAAAAAAAGAGTTCCAGTAGATTTTATATTTTCTTCCAGATCCGGTGGTGTGGACTGGAAGGCGAATACAATGTGATGGTCATGGAGCTTCTGGGTCCATCTCTCGAGGACTTGTTCACTTTCTGCCAGCGGAAGTTTTCCCTGAAAACCGTGCTTCTTTTGGCTGACCAAATGGTACTTTTCAACTCAGTATAAATTAACAAAGGCTTTTTGGCATAGTTTTTGGAAAAAGCAATTGAGCTTTCATTTTTTCTCAAATTAAATGGAATCGTTTCAGCTTTCGCGAATCGAGTACATTCACATGCGGGATTATATCCACAGGGATATCAAGCCGGACAACTTTTTGATGGGTCTTGGGAAACGGGGAAATCTTGTATACGTGAGTATCTTAAACATATTTTTTCGTTTTCAAGATGGAACTTTCAGATAATCGACTTTGGATTGGCTAAGAAATACAGAGACAGCAAAAATCAGCACATTGGGTACCGTGACAATAAAAACTTGACGGGCACAGCGCGCTACGCCAGTGTAAACACCCACAAAGGAATCGGTTCGTTTTGACTTCTTTCGGAGAAAAAAGACAGAATATTGCAATCTTGACACAAGGAAAAAAAGGGATTATGAAATGAGATTTTTTTCATTAGGGTAATCAGGATCAAAAGAGGAAAGTTCAGATGAGGTGGAAAACCCTGAAAAAAAATTTTGAACTACATTTTGATTTACGTTTAAAAGTATGATATCGAAGCTAACCTTCAATGACTTGAAGGTATCATCGAAAAATGAAAAAAAAAGTAAAATTTATAGCGACAAGGGCTATTTGAGGAATATCTTGAATTCAAGATTATCTTCATAAATTAACTTCATTCTTATTCTGATTTCTTTTCTCTAATTCTTGGTGTCTTGGTTCATATCGTCCCAAAGTTTTGGGAACATTCACAGAATAAACCTCCCATCATCTCAAACTTTGAACCTTTTTATTCCTGAGTTTTTTAGAACAATCTCGCCGCGACGACATGGAATCTCTTGGATACGTCTTCATGTACTTCAACCGCGGAAGTTTGCCCTGGCAGGGGCTCAAGGCCGTCAACAAGCGCCAGAAGTATGAACTGATCTCCGAACGCAAAATCAGCACCAAAATTGAAGATCTGTGCGCTGGATTCCCTGGTTCGTTGTTTTTTTTTATTGACCCAAATGAAATAGGAGAAAACTAAAATCATTATTTAGTTATATGCAATTTTTGCAAATAGTTCACGAACATAATTTTTCCCCTATTTTCTAGTTTTTTTCTGTGATGAATTAATCCATTTTTGAGGTCACAATGACAAAATCTTTGATATCAAGTTTAGGAACAGTTTGCTTAGATTTCTAGAAACTTCTGGGAGAAGATAACTGAATGAAAGAAAATTCAAGTTGATTTTCGTTCTCAAACTGTTTTTTGAATTTTCATCCCCACAAGAAACACTTTTCAGAGCCCTTCTGCACGTACCTCAAATACTGCCGCAGCCTTGGATTCGAAGACACGCCAGATTATTCGCACCTCCGACAGTTGTTCCGAAACTTGTTCCACCGCCACGGCTACGCTTACGACTACGTTTTCGACTGGAACACTTACAAGTGCGTCATCATCAGATCCTCAGACGGCTCTAGTCGTCAAATATAAAAAATATCTGTTTGTAACTGCGCTTCCGCCATTCAATGTTAGGTTGACGACTTCAGGTTGAGATAAGAAGTTGTATGTATTTCAGAATGCGAATTTCGTAAGTTTTCGTTACGCCGTCATCAGGTTCTAGTATATTGTGCGGTGTTGTGAACAATGGTTTTTTTTAACTCCGAGTTTCTTTCCAGCGCATCTGAACTCATGGTGGGACTTTTGAATGAGACTTGGCCTAGTTTTGATTTTGAACTGAATTCGGAACCGAAAAAATCGGCGCAGAAATCTGAGAAAATATCAACGAAAGCTCTAAATTCTTAACAAAAAGTATAAGTTTTTCATAATTCTAGAAATAAACTTGATAACTAAACCATAATGGGACTCAGATAGACAGACAACTTTTATAACTTCGAATAAACTTCTGATGATTTCCTGTTATAAGTAAAAAAACGCAAAAGAAACAATTTATAGTCTCACTGTGAGTTCTGCAGATGCTCCTGTTAGGGGCAGATTTTTCATTTTTCTTGGTTACTTCTTGCCTTTTTTCTAACTATCCCGTAGAATATCTTTTTTATGGGTAACCAATGTTATTTTTCAGGCGCCGACAGGGAAACTAACCGGTGACATCATTGATGTGTAAGTTTCTTTCTTCCTCTTCTCTCTAAAATTTGAACAGTTATAGGTGCGAAACCTAGCAAAAATTCTAGCTTTCTTTGATTTCCTAAAGTTTCAGACGGCTTGCAGAAAATGCATTGATCAACTGGATATAAACAGAAAATATTCCAATCCTTATATTTTTTGAATAAATTTTGCGTATTTTCAAGATAAATGAATTTTAAGCAACCTATTTTGAAACCAAAAAAATTTTTACGCTGATTCCGTTTAAGAGCCCTCAGTCTCAAAAAATCGAAGCTTTCGCTTCAAAATCAGAATTTCGAAAATAAAAAAATCTATCTTGAACATTTTGCAGTGCTCTTCTGAAATGTGCAACGGCGTTGAAGAGACACATCGTCATTCTGTTAATTTTTGTAAATTATATCAAGCCAGGTGCGGCCCAACATTAATCATTTTACTTTATAGTTAATCTCGTTCTGAGCCCACCATTTTCCAAAATTGTCGTCTTTTCTGATCCCTGTGTGTCGACCCCTCACCATTTGCCTCCTTCTCCGTCTTCTTGTGTGTATCATTTCGATTTCCCGAAGGTCCTCATCCTTTCATCAAAACTTCTGGTTTTCCAATCAAATCTCTTCTTTCTTCCCCATTATACTCGAAAAATTGTTGTTCTTCTCTTTTTCCAATCGATTGATGTTGCTGAATTGTCTCTAAACTGATTTTAATACGAGTGTGTGCAATATCAGTCGACACAATTTGAAACTTTCTTTCTTGAAACAATACATTCAAAGATTCAACTTTCCCTATCATCTCTTTCCTGACCATCAATTTTCCGTTTTCCTCGGGATATACGTGTTAACATTAATAGTTAATTACCTCTTATTTTTTTACTCATGATGATAGAAAAAAATTATAAAACTGAATTTTCATCCTCTGGATTTTATTAGGCGCCAATTTTTTTGAGTATTATGTCATTATCTGCATTGAAACTCCAAAGGATGTTTAGTCTCAACTAACCGTTTGTGAATTTTTTTAATAACTAATTCCGCAGAAGTTGATTCTGGCTTGAAGAAAAAACTAAGTGTATGATTATTTTTTTTTTATTCAAGCTGGTTTCGTGCAACTTCGAATCTCTAATAAATTTCTGTGTTACTTGTAAAAGAGTTTTTTTTTTCTGTCCCATGTGTTCCTTCATCAAATTACCCTGTTTTCGCGCGCTTTCTTTTTTGAGGCCGTGTAATACCCTTCTTATCCAACAATAGTCAACTCACACGATTGTTGAAGTTTTTCTGCCGTGTGTCGCTTTTTTGTCCGTCGCATGTGCGGGTTATCGTCTCGTATATTTGTGAAAAGTTCGTTGTTGTTTTTTTCTTCGCTTTTCAAACCTTATCAAAAATTCCTAGAATATACTAATTCCTTTCTTACTTGATTTCTAACTGTGCGTTGTGATTCCGTATCTCGTGTTTAATGAAATTTTTTTTTTCAAAGTGAACCCTCCAATCGGGAAATTAGGAACTTAAAAAAACAAAAAAGAATGTTTCGAATTTATTAAAGCTTTTTTTGGCAGAACAAAAAAAGGGAAAACAATTAGATAAAATATTGGTTTAACGTTTTGGTTATTAAGAAGACCCTTTTTTTGAGCGTTTGTAGGTTTGTTGGAAAAAAAAATGAAAAAAGCTACGCAATTAAAAAAAAATTTTCTCAATATAATCCCTTTATTCTAAATCTCTTGGCCAAAAAAATCAAATTTTCTCAGTTGTCTGTTCATTAATGACTACGCAGTTGCAGGAAAAACCTAAGAAAGAAAGAATAAACAGAAGCCCGTGACAATTTTTGAGATAGTAAACATTTAGGAGCAATTGATGACACCACAAGGTAGTTCAGATCAGGGCTGTGCGGCAATCGAAACCGGCAATCGGAGTTTGAGTCGCTGCTTGGATATATAGATAATCAGCTATGGCTCCAAAAATTTTTCTGTAGACAAGAAAAAAATGAACTTCGCTACAGTATCAGTAAAAAAATATTTTTTTGAATTTTTGCAGGAGAACATAAATAGAAAAATTCAAAGAGTGCCAAAAAAATTGCGGGCAACAAATTGCCGAAATTGCCGGTAATTTGAAACCGGCAATTTTCGTCTTCTTTGAAGGTTTTTTTCAAAACTTATTAATCATAAATCACATTTTTTTAATGAGTGGAAGTTATAGTGGAGCACGTCTTAAATAAGTATAAAAAAATTTCGGAGCCCTAGCTAGTTATCTATATTCTTAATTAGCGACTCAAACTCGATTGCCGTTTTCGATTGCCGCACAGCCCTGGTTCAGATGAACATTGAAATGTAATTCAAGGATAAATTTTAATATTGGCGACAATTTCTGCGGCCGTTCTATTTCTCGAAGTGCTCATGTTGGCCAATTGTATGGATTGCGGAAAAAGCTGATTGGCCAGGAAATCTTTGGCGTCTCGCCAAATTTGCGCCTGAAATGATAACCATGTTAATATGAATCCAGAAAATAAAGAATAGACACTAATGATGAACTGATTTTGTTTTACTCGGCAAATGTCATCTCCACAATCAAAAATTGATGAAAATGCGGAAAACTACAGGGATGGGCATAAATATTGCACGAACTTTCCGATCATTCCAACTTTCTTGTTTGCCAATGGAATTTCAATCTGTTTTTTTTTCCACTTTGCGAACCGTCGCTGGTTCTTCCACCAAGATTTTAGGTCAAGCTGCAAGCCCCGAGCTGAGCAAGACTCGTGCGAGTCCAATCTGCCCAATTTCAAGACGGTCAAGGAATGGACCGGCTACTCACCAGATTCGAACCCCTTGACAATTCTGCCTATTTATATTCGAAGTCGATGAACTGGACAAAACTCTATTTCAATCGGGACATGCTGATGGTCTCCATCATCAAGAATGGATGACAAGATCGATCTGTGTCCGAGGGTCGGATATTTTTTCGAGAGAGTCAAGGCGCTCAGTGAGGCCAATGAAAGTCGGAGCGAAAGTTGAATTATATGTGCTAACTTGGATACTTTGCCGATGAAAAAAAATCTTGTCTGAATCCGTTCAACTTGAGAGTAACGGAATTTTAAAGGCCGTGCAATATTTATTCCGATTCCTGTACATTGAGGCCTTCAAGCTACATGGTCTTTTTTTTATTTCATTCTTCAGAATTTTTGTAGTTTAGGTTTTTCGAAACACACTCCATATTTAACGTTAGTTGGATTCATGAATTTTTTCATAAGCAGAGAGTTCAGTCAAACAGCTAAAAACAACTCTATATATCATTTCAATCCATTTTTCAATGAAAGACCTGTTCACTTGTAACATCAAAAAGCCATTACCCGACTTTCAAAAAATCAGAACGTTTTTCGAAGTTTCTGATACCTGTTTCCTAGCACTGTTGGCAATGATCTGATTTGTCCGAATTCGGGAATATCGATCAAAAGTCTCTCCAAGAGCGTCCTCGATCACCTCCATCAGAGCCTCACGCTCCTCGATCTGCGATAAAACGTTGATTTTGATGTCAACTGACGTCAGTAGCCCTAAATAAAAGCGGAGAAGAGATCGGAAAACCGTTTCAATGGTCTCTGTGGCAATCAAACACCAAACCAGACATGTTTCGCAGCTTAGTCCAACAATTTCGGTGTTTGTGGAAAAGCGATTGACGAAATTTGAGTGAAAAATTTTGCTATGCTTTTACTTAGTAAGGTCTCTTCTAATTTTGAGACATAACCTTACCAGTGAGGTAACTTTTATGAGAAAATCTTTGAAACATTTTAAGCAGGTTCGAAAAAGTTTTTTATAAACACTACCCTAAATTTTTCTTCTTAGACAGAAAAAATGTTTTTAAATCAGGAAATACGCGTAGATGACAGCCGCGCAAAATCTTTTTCTTTCTCGGAAGACTTCAAGCTTTTCAAATGAACAGCCTTCCTCATTGAATAACCTTCCTTGATGGGGAGTGTACTTACGACATTTGGAAATCAACTGATTTTAGAGTGAGTGATAACGAACATCCTGCAAGTTAATGGGTGCTTCACTCTTGCGACGCGGCACAATCACAAGCGGCACGGCTTCCGTCTGAGTTCCCTTGGCCGCCGGATCCAGAAACTCGACGCTGGTCGTCGACAACTGCGAGCTAATCTGCAACGGTGCTCTAATGCATGTTCTGTTAGTAATCCGCCTTTTGTGCCATTGTTAAAAGGCTTTTTGTGCCTGAGCCATGGGTTCGTTACTGCTTCTAATCAGAGATCTCGAAAGCTTGTTCGTACTTGTTCCAGGAAGAAAAGCTTGCAAATGTGCTTCCGATGCGATAAGAGCCGTTAAAATCTTATCGTTTATATTTTATTCATGTTGTGTCTAGATCTCACTACGCTGTTGCACAAAATCATTTTGAGGTTGTGGAATCTATGTTTCCAAGTATACTCCATTCACATCTAGCGTGAGACAAAATGGCCAAAAAGACATCAAAATCATCTAGAACGTTGAAAAATATTGTTTCAAATCAGCGGTGAATGCAGTATAGCAAAATCGTGCAAATAGTGCTTTTGAAAATGGTATGCTGGTAAAAGCTGATCGTTCACACAGCTTTTTTGGGAAAATAATGGGCTGAATGTTTTCTCAGCATCAATATGGAAGTCGCACAATTTTGTAGCCCAAAAAAGGTGTGCGCTCTTTTTGTAAATTCTTTTTTCGTACGCTTTTCAGCCGAGTTACATTGCTTAATAAACACTGAAGGTTTTTCATATTTCCACAGGGATGATAGGAAATGGAAATTTTGAAGCTCTAGACTAAAAGCCAAAAAGGAGTTGTAAATAGTTCCAACGTCTCAAAGTACGTGGAGCATTTTTTTCAGCAACTCTCAAAACTATTGGGCTTGCGCCTCTTCCCCGTTGGCTATACTTCAATAACTGAATGAACGTGTATTTTTAGTTTCTTATTAGGAACTAACGCACGGGAAGGATCATCGTTTGGGTGGCCATGTCCCTGAGATCCTTATTGGACTGAGAAATTGATATGCCGAGAGACGGCGTCAGAGGAACCGCGTAACTCGGCTCAAGCCTGGCTTCGAGGTCCTGCGATGACTTTGACCTGCAATATGTTAATGATCTGCCGGCACGACATCTGACCCACTTCCTCTTTCCTGTTTTTCACTCTAAAAAACTTATCGCATTCAAAGATCAGAAAGGTTTGTGAAAAAGCACTAGACTGAAATTCGATTCAAATAAAAATCAGTTGATCGTTCGGTCATGGATAGATAAAAATCTAAAGTAACAGACGAAAAGTCTCGTACGGGTATTGAAGTTTAGAAAGTTCAAACTGAGCGAAACTAAACTTATATCGTGGGAGACTTCACAAAACTTTCATATATTCTGAGAATCAACTGCTCAAAACTTTCGCCAACAATATGGAACAAAAACATTCTTTAAAAAAAAGAAGATCCAGGCGAATCATTTCCAGGATATGCAGTTTTTTGGCCAAGATTAGAAGGTTTAATGTTTTAATCAAAATGACTTGAAAAAATGCCTAAAATGAGAGATTTCTCCACAATCGAAATGAAAAAGAAAACAACTGACCTTGGAGGTAGGCTAACTTCTAAAGAAGGGTTTTGAAGCGGGCGGTTAATGATTATCCCATTTTGACGAGTTCCAAGAGAAGCGAACGTCCTCTTCCCTATAAAAAATTATCTAATACTAAATTTTAACTCGAAAATATTTTATGTAGGATTCTTTTTTTATACATTATTCGGAATCATTTGAAGCCTTCCTTTTCCTAGCACGATTGAAAGCTAAGTCAAATAAACGGTCAGAATTTCCAAAGCCGGTGCGATTGGAATGTACAAAACACTTGAATAAAAGAAAAGTTAGTGTGTTCTTTTTATTAAAATGTAAAATGAGACTTTGAAATTCCTTTTTCTCAATTTTTGATGATCGTCCATAAACGGGAAATATTTAAATTTTTAAAGAAAAATCAATAAAAAAAAACCATACCAGCGCTGTGTAAGTTGACAGCTCTTGCGGAGAGATGATCGTTCAATCGTACGCCTGTAGAGATCGACTTGACCGAACTATCCGATTCTGATGAGATTTTGGCCACGGCTACCCTCGCTTGATCTTCTACTGTAGCAAAGTATGATTTCTTTAGTCTTTTCATTCTCTTACTTCGCTCAATGAAATCTTTCTCTTTCTTAGCTTTTCTGGGTGACTTATTGTTGAGCTGCGGCAACGTCACATTCCTTTTCTTCTTCCGATTTCCTAAATCATACACTTAAACTCTACGCCTTCTCGAAACAATTCTGCTAATCTTTCTGATGTGTGACGTATTCGGCTAAGAGCCAAGAAGGATTAGTCCTTGATGGATCCTTTCAATAAAGCTTCTTTCATGGAATATCATTTTCAAGAGAAATGGAAATGTTGACGCAGGTATTCATGTTTTCATATTAACCACCTTTTTCAACTCCATTGTCGGCGTCTTTGTCTTCAGGAGAAATGTAGGAAACCCTGAAAAAAATGTTCAAACTTCCATAAAAGAAAATTTCGGTTTTCCGATTTTTCTGGGCACTTCAAAAAGAAAGAAAAGAGGCAACAATAAACTTGTCATAAAAGCAGGTAATTGGAAAGTTGCGCTAGAAAATGTTTCGTGCCGGAACTATAACAGTTGGCCTTCGAGAGTTTTCATATCAAGTGAACCATTATTGTGCGGCCGAAAACTTGATAGCGTTCGAAAAAGAATAGCGAAACTCTAGAGGTCTCTACGGCACTAAACAAAAGAATATCGAAAATAAATGGAAAACTGACTGTGCAGGTCGATTCAAAAATGGTAACGAGGTCATCGGGGCTGCATCTTTACGTTTGCTGCTTGAAGGCTCGTTCGTCAGAAGATTGGTCCTGGAAAAAAAGATTCTAGAAACAATGAGAAATTTCCATAGCGTCAAAGGACTTCATAAGGCTTCTTTGTGAGTGTTGGAAAGGGGCGGCGAACAATCGAAAAGGTTTGTTTTTCATCTATGGAAGTCTTCAAGTGACTCGAAGATCCGGCAAGAAACTTTTTTGTTTTTTATGTATTCAACTCATTGACTCAATGCCCAACCCGAAAAAAATATATAATTTTTTTCTGCTAAATTTGATATGATTATTTTGCCAATGGGCTCTGAGTTGGTTTGATTTCTATCTCGAGTGGAAAATTCAAAAAAAAACTTTATTATAAATCTTAACTAAAAAATTTCTCACTACTTTTGTTAATTCCTAGCTTGATAGAGATCAGGTTAGGAGTTCTAGAATAGTTACGACTGAAAGATCTGAAGACCTGAAACCAAGCTTCTAGTGAAATTTTGGCATAAAACGCGAGATGACTTGATAGGAAAAACGGGAAAAAGATCTGGTTACTACGTCCGGGAAGAAGCTCTGACTTGGCTCACGGGCATATCTCATACCTCATGTACACATGCTTTTTGCCTATTCGAATATTTGATCGCCCTCGGCGTATTTTCGTCCCTACTAGCATATCACGCTATCTTTGGCTATCTATATGCCACCACCCATTTTGTTAAAATTAGCTGATATTTTGGGAAGTGACGTCTTTCCCGGGTTTGAATGCGTCTCTAATTCAAAAGCGGTTTGAAAAGGCTTGACGCGTTTCCGTCGCTTTCTTTTCCCTTCAGCTTGCTTTTTCTAATTTCCTAGTAGCCTTTTGTGATCTGCTTTTTTATGAGTTCTGGGACTGCTATGATCATGCAAAAAATTTCAGATTTTCAAATCCTCTCCGCAGTTTGGAAAACAATCTGAGCCAAAAAATGGAAGAAAAAATAAATTAATAAGCAGAAAAGTATAGTTCAAGTCATGATTATTTCTCAGGTTAATTTTCCTTCGTAAATCATTCTAAAATCCGCCCAGAAACTTTTCGAATGTTCACCTGAGATTTTAGAAAGTATCAGCCTGCTCGGCCAATTCGTTTTTAAGACCACTGTTTCAAAAATGATACCTTTTTTTTCAACAATAGCGGAAAACCATATCTTATGCTCAAATTACCGAAAAAGTATCAGAAATTGCTGATTTTATACTGAAAGACACTCTGAAGAGTCTTTCCAATTGAACGAAGAAAAAATTACGTTTGAAGTCGTCGATTGACGTGTTTTACTTCGGGGATGTAGTGAGTACGGATTCCAGCAGGTTCTTTGAACTCTTTCGAGCCGCTGCCTTCTATGGCCATCACCCTTTCTCGTACAGACGATCCTAGTAACCGCGGCATTCCTTTCTGCAATCTTCAGTCACCAACAAAAAAATACAAATACTTTTTTTCTTTTAGATGATAATTGATAAGAAAAATGCGACAATAATTGCTGGTGTAAACAGAAAAAAAGGGATAAGGTGCAAGACAACTTCCGGCGACGGCCGTCTTGAAGTCTTCGAAGTAATGACCAGAAATCGCAAAAAAATCTGATGCAAACCGTTGTGTTGAGGCTAGAGAAGAATTACTGTTTATTGCCGATAAACGCGTTGAATAACGAGAACAATTTTTTTTTCTAAGTTTGTTGGTTTCGAAAATAAAAATAAAAATCAGAGCATGTAGAAAATTTTGGAAAAAGTTCATGTAGGTTTTCGCCAAGGTTTTTCAACCCATGACATTAAGAGAACTTTCCTAAATGGATGTAACATCTTTCAATTTTATCTTTCCAAAGCTTGCATGCAATATTTCTGTTTTTAAGGGAACATTTCTTTTCTACCATCCAAGAAAATCAGAGTGAGGTCGCCGTAGATGTTTTATTGAATTTCTATACGCTCATTGAGGTATTATTCGATACAAAAATTTCAAAAATTCCTGGAATCACTAGGTTTTGTTGAGCTTCACACAATGAATGAAAAAAACCAAATGAAAAAAAAAAAACTTTTTTTCTTGGCAGTTAGACAAATCTCAATTTGGAGCTGTAAGGATTCACAGACTCCTTTTGGGCAAGGATCGCAATTAACAGAGGCCAAAGTCGCGTCGACTCAAAAGGAAAGAAGCTTCCTTGCAAAAAGGTGTCTATTGAAGCCCCGCCTTCTTCCAGAGAGGATGAGCTCGTATTATACGGAGGAAAAGAGCCGAGGCTTGATGTCACTGGCGGATTCATTCTCTTTTACGGAAGATTAGCCGCTGGACAAATCTTTCGCCGGTTTTTTTCCTTACCGTTTAGCTTGATAAAAAACCATCTGATCGGCTTAACAGAATTCAGGGAAGCTTTTCCCACGCTTTGAGGATTGATCTCACTTCCCGCGACTACTCAGAAACTAACTTTCAATCCAAGACGTCAATGTGTTCTGGTCTCAGAATCACCACTTCAAAAGAAAACGCTAAACTTCCTGGATAGTCAGATGGATTTTTATATCATTTAAAAAGAAATCGTTTTTAAGGAAATTAAAGAAGAATCAATCTTTACCCTCTCGAAAGAAGATATGGGTAGATTGACAAAGGTGATCTCACAAGACGCGGCGTTTTGGCGGGAAGCTTGAAATCGAGACACTTTTCATTTTTTTTTTCAAAACAGTTCTTCAATTTTCAAGTTTATTGGTTTTGCGAAAATTCAGTTGAACGAATAAAAAGAATATTGTGACTTTCCAACTGGTCACTCCGAAAAGTTTTTTTTGATAATAAATCTTACTATTGCACGATCTAAAAAATTTCTTTAAATGGTTCTCGATAAAAAAAAAAAGAATGAAAAACACAAACTTCGAATTATGATGCTGAATCGTGGCGATTAAAGTTCGCTCACTCCGCTCAAGGAGACTTCGGTTTTCTGATCGTATTGTTTACTGCGAGAGAGATAGGAACAAAAAAGAGGGATATTCGGCGAATGGAATGACCTGGTCGACAGCTACAAGGTTAGGAGAGAATATTTCTGAAATTGTTGCTAGATAACGTGTTTATTGGAGAGATTCCTACTGGACAGTGGCTAGACATTGTTTGGTTGCAGTATGGTCATCTACTCGGCCAGATTTCATTGATCATTTCAAGGACAGCCGAATACTGTTTTTTTCCGTCGATTGCACCACCCAGAACCTATCAACGCCCATCGCCAGCGAGTAACTATAAAAGCGTGCAGATGCAGGTTGTTGGTCAGCAAGTCGTCATGCAGTCTCTTGTGATTTTTGCTTTGTTCGTCTCCTCCGCTAACGCATTCCTTTTCGGCAACCTCTTCGGAGGCGGCGGTTGCAATCCTTGCGCTGCTGCCGCGGCTCCATACGCTCCAGCATACGTTCCACCTCCACCTCCTCCAGTTTACCCTCAACCATCTTATGGAGGGTACGCTACCGCTGGACAAAGCTATGGAGCTCAACCATACGGTGGACAGTCTTACGGAGCTCCAAGCTATGGAGGACAGTCGTATGGAGGCTTCCAACAAGGCGGATATGCTCAACCTCAAGGCTACGGAGGCCAGCAATCGTTCGGAGGCCAGCAATCGTTCGGAGGACAGCAATCGTTCGGAGGACAGCAAGGAGGATATGCTCAGCCTCAAGGTTATGGTGGACAACAGTCTTTCGGAGGTCAATCTGGAGGTGTCCGAGGCTACGGATCGTACCCTCAACAGAACTTCGGAGGTCACGTCTCGCAGTATGCCAATAGCGCTACGTACTCTGGACAATCGGCTGCTCCATCCACCTATTCTCAGCAACCTGCTGCTCCTTCTACATATTCTAAGGTAAAACTTTCATGAAATTCAAAGTCGAAAATGAAAGTTTCAGACCACGACTTTTGAAGAGCCCCAAGCGCAGCCAGTTGCTCAAGCTCCAGCTTCGGTCAGTTTTCAGAAAATCAGTTTTCAATTAGTTTCTTCATTTCCAGTCCGGCGACTCTTACTTGGTTCCATCAGAGCCAGCTCCAGCTCCAGCCGCCTCTACCTACACGCAGTCTTCCACCTCGGTTCAGTCGAGCAACAACGTTGAATCCGGCTACAAAAAGCACAAGAAGTTCCAATAGACTTCTTCAATCTCAAACTTTTCCATTCTATCACTGCCTCAGAAAATCACTTCATCTCAGGAGCGGTACAAAAATTATTGTGCACAATTATGTTATTAATAAATTTTTTCTCTGTTTTATCATGTAAAAAAAATTCATCAAGATTTTGTGTAGGCGACAAAATCTCAAAAAAAAAAAGTGGCTTTTCCAGTATCAGAAGACTAGTAAAAGAAATGAGTTTATTTCGATTCGAACTCCCGATCAGTCAAAGCTCATGCGTCATTGAAGACCTCTTTGCGACATCCACAATAGACTATAAAATCGAAGAAATCGAGAAAACTAATGATTGTTCAAAAATGATTATTAAATAGTTTCCTAGGTTCGGATTATTATTTTTTTTTGCATGCGAGAAAAAAAAATTGAAATTTTCCTTTTCACGAACTCTTCATCTGAATTGACGAAAAAGTGCGCATGGTTGACTTTGGTGTCAAATTTCTCAAACTATAAATTCTCCACAGCTCCATGCTCTCAACAAAAAAACGTTTTCAATATTTCAATTCATGGATCTAGAAAAAAACTGATTTTTATAATTTAGTTGAAAAAAATGATTGTATTCGCTTCCCTGTTTCTGTTGAGCTTCAAATTCGTAAGCTAAAAACTTAATATTGACTTATTCATGATCGGCTCTTGAATTTTTTTGACATTCCTTTTTCTCAACAATTCAAAAACCATTATAGTTTCTAATATGAATCAAATCGTTTTGAACGTTGAAAAATGATAAAATATCCATCAAAATAATAAAAAAATTTCAAAATAAGTGAAAATGGTTGGCTATGACCTCAGATTTTGCAAACGTTGCGAATCCGTGAATTATTTTTCTTATTTTTTTATAAAAAAATTGTAAGTTTTGTTTTCAAATAGCGAAAAAAATATTTTTTTCGGTGAACAAGCGGTCTACTGTAATACGCAATGTGCGCCGTGGTGTTGGCGGTCGCAATACTAGAACTGTTCGTTATGGTTTTTATCTGTATTTGTTCACTTTTTATTTAAATTCAATGCTGTTCGCTTTTTTCTGTCGTTTCGTAACCTCTTTTTAAGCCCCATTTTTTTGTAACTCCATTTTTTTCGCCTTTTTTAATGGAATGCTTAAATTACAGATACGGATGATCGTCGAAAATGAGTGAAGACGACGCTGAGTTTCAGCTTGCTCTCGAATTGTCGAGGTATAGAAACATAACTGATTTCTTTAAAGATAATAAGAAATTACAATATTACCAGTTTTTCATGTTCATTTTATTGACCGTAACATTGGAACTTCCTACAAAAAGTTTTACGCATTGGCAATGAAACCTTAGTGGAATGAAATTGGAAAAAAGACAGCTGATTGCTTGTTGTTATCCTAGGTCGCGAACAGTTGTCACTCCAGGAAAATGAGAAAAAAAAACCTTTTGCACTGATTTCTTGCTATCGTGCTTTTTGCGACTTACAAATCAATAAGTGAAACATTTAGAAAGACGTTTGCGGAGGAGGAACAAAGACGAACTTTGGCTCAGAACGATGGAGATCTAATTCGCTTTGAGTCTCCAGATGATCCACAAAGAAGAGCTCACATTAATCAGATAAAACGGCTTTACAGCCAGAACAGCTTCGATCAATCACCCAGGTTTTTTTTATGGTTTTAGTAATTTATCAACATTAAGCTTATTATGACTATTTTGAGCTTAATCTATCTCAAAACGTTTTCTGGAAGTTCAATATCAAACTTCAAGGTGATCATGTCGAAATTTATACAGTTTATTCTTGTGAAAACCTTGTCTTGAAAAACATTTTTTTCATCGTCACTAAATTTTCAATTAATGCATTCCAAACAAATTTGCCCCGGTATTCCCAACACTTCTAGTTTCAGTTTTGTCACCGGATCAGTACCGATAGGCTGGCGAACAACTTCTTTCGATCACACGCCGACATCGCCGTCGCTACCTCAGCCACGATTCCACTTCGGAAGTTCCACGTCGACGTCACACTTTCCTCAACCAACTACGCCAATCGCCCATTCTTTCTCGACTCCGTTTCTTTTTTCTGGAGTTCAAAGGACTTTGTCCCCGCCACCACCGTCATTGGCGCCGCCGCCACGGCCTCCAAAACCACCCAGTCTTCGGAGATCTGCTTTTCCCGACTTTCCAAGTTAGTTTTATATTTAAATTATAAACATAAAAATGCGTACCTACTAAAACTTTTTAAAACCAACAAAATTCTTTCAAAACGAAAAAAAGCACTGTTTGGAAGCAAATTCGTGGCGTCAGGGAATGCTTTTTTTGTTTTTGATAGAAGTTTCGTTTCTCAGTTGATTATGTGGTTATTCAGGAATCCAGAGAATATGAAAATACTATGCTTTTTTTTTGGTGAAGAGCCTAAAATTTTATTTTTGCATTTCACAGCTTGATCAAGTTCCATGCACAGCTTTGCAATCAGTTTTCCATTAGAAATGAGATATTTACCAAATTTCTGAAATTCAGGAGCTTATGAGAAAAACCCTCATTTTTTCAAAATTAAAAAATCAGCCCTTGAATTTGAACGAAAAAGCAGAATTAACAGGTACGTTCAGGTTTGAGAGATCCACCGCCAACTTTGCCGCCACGGTCAAACCGTCCGCCCTCCACCCACTTCAACAATTCCACGCTAACACAGCCGCACTTTTCTCTCGACAGCAACTTTTTTGTTTCTCGTAAGCTTTCATTTGTTTTCAGGAAAAACGTCATAGTGTTTTTAAAAAAAGAAATCGAATAATTTTTTCATTAAATTTCCAAACATCCAACTTAATTTTTTCATTAAATTTCCAAACATCCAACTTTTAGAAAACTTGTACAAGAGCATAATCGTTATTCTCTACTCACACACTGCTTTTTGCATGTCATTCTTCCATGATTCACTTCGAAAAAATTGATTAACTCTAAAAAATAACACAAAAAAACGGAATAATGCCTCAAAAACAATATTTATGGCCAAGGCTCGAAACGTTACCTTTTTTGTTAAGATTTCACTAATTCAGTTTCATTCTTTATGTCAAAATTTCAGAATAATTAGGTTATCTTCTACATGAAATTGTCACAAGCAGCATATTATTTTTCTTTTTTGAATGCGGAATGTTCAGCGATAAGGCCGGCCCACCACAGCTTCCAACCGTACAACGACAGTGCAAATGATTCAACGTTTGTTTCATTTTTTGATACTTTTCGGCATTCTCTACATTTCAGGTCGCCTTACCAGCCAATTACACACTTGTATGTACCGTATACAATGACCAACCTCAATGAATCCTACGAAGCGTTGCTTCATGGAGACCTCATTGATCTGAGTGCGACCGAGTCGGAAGGCAGCGAGATGCCTTCAATTGATCAAGTTTGTTCATTTTCCAAATTTTAAGTAACTGAAGACTACAACAACTTTTCATTCTGCAAGAAAAAAAACGGTTTTTGATCTCTTTTTGGATTTTTTCTGAATATCGTGGCTGACTGTGAAGCTCTGTGGGATCATATCGAGCTGTTCTTTAAATTGTATAAGTTTTTCAATGATGAAAAATATATTGACGAAAAATAATGACCAGGGAAAGCATGTGAAGGATATTTAAAAGAGAATACTCAATAAAAAAAGGTTAAGTTACTAAAAAAATTAGTTTCTATCGCACTTTTCAATCAACTAGCTGGAAACTCTGAGAGTTCCAAAATACACATCTTCCCATTCTCACAAAGGTTTCAAAGTAACTGAATTGCCTTTCCAGCTCACGCACATTTCCGTTCTTCAAACTTGAAATAATTATCATTGAAACTACAACTTTTGGAGGTTAAAATTTCCAAGGGTCATCAACGTGTTCAGCAAGTAGTTTTGAAATGTCCAAAGCCGAAATTGAGTGAAAAAGAATCACTTGAAATAACTCTTGTTTTTACTTTTTTTTTGAACGAGTTTTTTTGAACTGTTTTTTTCATTTTCTTTTTTTGCTGGTTTTTTTCATTCTTGCCAATATTTCCGCTTTTAATTTGTTTCCTTTCTCAGCATCAAAAAAATAATTTATTATTCCAATCAAAGATTGCTTCTTAAACCCTATTTATTAATTTTCCAAATTTTTTTGTGTCACTCTCATCAATTTTTTTTAATACAACTGAATTTTTTTCAACGGTCAAACCATTGCAGTTAGGACATGAAAACTGTTGATTTTTGGTTGTAAAATAATAACGAAAGTTTTGCAACACAATTGCATTGATTTTTCTTCTTTTTTTCAAATTTTGATAATTTTTTTGAAAAAAATAAAGAGTTTGATCATCCGCGGAAAAAAACTAAAAAATTCGTATTGTATAAAAACACTGAAAATTTTGCTCAATTTTTCCGCGTGTTTTTTTGCGCTAAAGGAAATAACTCAGTTACGTGGTTGAATTATTCCGTTTGCATCAGTTTAGTAGCTATTTTGAATTTCTTTTATTTTCTGTTTTTTTTTTCCTGATGAGCATTTATGTTGCCTGTTTTCTATTATGAAAATCAATATTTGTTGTCGAGAAATGTTGTGATCGCAACTTTGATAGAAGTTCTTTTTCCCCTAATTTTGCACACAAAAGAGCCAAGAAAAACCAAACCTCAAAACGTTTCGATTTGCTTGTTTACAGATTGCCACAATAAAACTGTTCGAAAAAGGCTTGATGGTTTGTTGAGGCAATAACAACTGATAAGTAGCTTTTGTGCGCATAATTTCTTCTTTCGCCGTTTTTTTTTTCTTAAAATAATTCGATCCACTTCGTCAAATCGTTCGATTTCTCGAGTAATTCTCCTGCAAAACCCGAAACCGGTTATAATGAGAACTAACTGTTGAATTGGGAAGAACCCCCAACCTTCAAATAGCTGAGTTGTTGAAAGATCCTCGCAGATTTTTCCTCAAAAAGAATTATCAGAGTTGCATTGTGCTGAGTTTCGATAAGAAATTGCCTCGTTGGTATACCCAAGTTAGGTCTTCCGTTTCTATGCCTTTTGATATGACAAAACCGCAATGCATCGGGCTATTATGAGCAATTTCAGAAAACTAAAATTCATCCGAATTTTTTTTTTATAAGATTCGTACTCTCAATAATTCCTCATAAGAAGATTTCCGTTCTTTGCATTTTATTCCTTTTTAACAAATGATAAATGAATTATTTTTTTGTTCGTTTCTTCATCAAGATAGTGAACGGTTAAAGCGATGTGAAGGATACAGGGACAAAAATTGACGAGAACGCTAATCAACGGGTCGCGGAAGTTCTTTTTCTCCGGTCGCTGCCGAAATTTGAAACTTTCCACCCTTGTGAGACCTTTCACCGCTCTTTTCTGTGTCTTATCATTGTTCCCTGAATGCGTCGCTCATGAGGTGTCATGATTGTCTTCAGAATCCCAGCCGTTACAAAAATTTCATACGGTGAGCACTCGGAAATGACTAATCTGTTTTATTCTCGTTTTCACGCTTTTTATAATTTCAAAACCCTTTAGAAAAGTCTTTTTGGTGGAGAAAAACCATTTTCTATGATTGTAAGTAATTTTGATTTTCAGCTGAAAAGTTAAATAACAAACTTTTTATGGTAATATAAAAATCAGCTTTCTTTGTGGACTGAAGAACTGTTTTTCGTTTGGCTTTATGGAAAAAATGGCATTTATTTTTCAGATACGGCGCGAATTCGATCCTCTCTATCGCCCTTCAGTTGTTGATGACCGCATTTTGAACTTCAAATTAAATCCATCCGAAGGATTCAATCATGGTAATTATAATCGGACGCAGGGCCCACTAATTTCTTGATTTTACAGCTCCATCTCCCACGGATTTGCCTCCGCCGCCCTTGCCTCCTCGACAGTCGCAAATAATCGAAAGCACAAAGCCAGTAGTAGAAGATCGTGAAATCTCTTTGAACGATTTCAAATTAGGAGAATGCAAGAATCCCATCGACATGCAGGTCATTTCACGTTTTCTAGTTCAATTTAATTAGATTATGTATTTTGGTAGCTGATTGAGAATTGACTGAAATTTAATTAGAAAATCTTGAATCTTGAATGTTTTAGATGCTAAAATCAATTTTCCATTTAAATTTACAAAAAACTTTCAAAGTTTTATCGACTTTTCAACTAATTGAAGAAAAATTTTTTAGCCATTGCATTTGCCACGTGTACCAGTTTGTTTCTTTTTTATTCACTAGCGCTTTTTGGAAAAAAAAAGAATATTATTTACTGAAAGGAAATTCAACGCAAAATCGGGATAGAAAAACATTTTTTTAACTTAAGCTAAATACGTTAGTTATTACATTACAGGTAGAAAAGCTGAAAGTTGGCGAGTTCATTAAAAAAGACAAAATGTCGGAGTTTTTCATCGCTCAGACTGTTGATTACATGACGACAAGCGCTAATAGCGTGAAAGTCGTTATTCAAAAGGAACACAGGTTTTTGATCTATGATAAACAATGTGAGAAAGCTTTTTAAGATTTCCAAGATCTGATAAGAAAGAAAAGGCGATGGTTTGTGAAATCGATGGGACTATTGAAGAAATAACTCTGGCCGCTCTTTACGAGTTTCTGGACGAGGAAAAAGCCGCCAAAGTGAATGTTGAAGACTACGGGCTAAAGGTGCGTAATGGATTACCTTTTGTTTACTTTTTTGAAATCTCCATTGATTTAATTCGTATTAAATTACATACATCTCAAATCGGGAAACAAAATTTTGGATTGGAAATAAATCGTGTAAAAAGTTGTTTTACGCCAAGGAGTTGTTCAAAAACAAGAGAATTTTTTTTATGTACCAATAAAGAACCTAGATGTATGGACCTCAAAAAGCGTATTTTCCTGTAGCCCTTTCATTTTTATTTTGAAAAAGCTAGGGACTCATGGAACTTTTTAGAATTTTGAGAGAACATTTCTAAAGGGCCGACTTGCTGAAAAATTTTTTTTTCAGAAGGCAAATCAGAAGTTCTTTTTCCTTTTTTAATTAACATTTTTACTCGGTGCATCAAAGACTTGTCTTGCAACCTTTTTTGGAATTTTGTGAACCTTAAGTGATTATTCATCTTTTTGGAAATTGAAAGAATGTTTTGGAATGTGATTCCGATGGTTTTTTTTTTTGCAAAAACTGATACCTGGCTGTAAATTGATGAAAATTAATAAACGTCCGTAAACTTGATGAATTTCCTACAACTCCCTCTGAAAAAATGTTGAACTATGTGATTTGTGTAAAACTGGAGCCACTCGTTCGCGATCACAAATGTCACCCATAAATGACGCGAACTTTGCAAAACACACGGGTTGATCCATTAATTGTCGTCTTAAGTCTGTTTTGCGAGCTCGAATGACGCGTCATTCGTATTTTGAAACATTGCTAGCAAACTTACAACTTTTTTAGATCGTTGGCTTGAATCAGTTTCTCGCAAGGTATAGTACCCTTGGCCAGAATCTGTACACCGGTCATTGTTTGCTGCACGGCGAAGACGTCAAACTGGAGGTAAGATATTCCAGTTCCCTCAAATTTTCAAGAGGATTGTCAGCTGGCTTATCTCGAACCTGAACATCGAGTCTACGATTCTCACAATCCAACGTGGGAACAAATGAAGTAAGTTCGAAGTTTAAGTAGTTTCACTTTTTTTATAAAAATTTAAAAAAAGTGACAAAAAGTGTCACATTAAATCACAAAAAAAAAATTCAACTCAATTTAATTTTTCTTTGATAAAGTTTTTGATGGAATTTTTTAGAAGCCTTCTAAGATATTCCGCGATAATTGACAAGGAAGATGTGGAAAACTTTTTGGCTCACCTTACTACCGAAATGTCGTCGTACGAATCAGCTTTTCTTGAAAATTCCACTTTGGAAAGTGAGTTTAATTTCTTTTGTTTTCACATTGAAACTATCTGGCCTGTCTGCTTCTCCTCCTTCTACATTTTCCACGTTCTAAACAGAAAAAACAATTGCCGATTTTTAGCCATTGACGTATTTAATTTAATTTTCAGTTTCGAAAGCCTCGGGTCGAGTGAAACAGGTCGTTTCCCTCATTTGTAAGCTTCTCAGTGGAATCGTTCCTGACAAGCTCTACACTTTTTTGCACAAATATCTCTCTAACATGGACTATGTTTGAAAGTCATTTCTTGAAACACTTTCTGAAATCGTTTCAGGATCAACTCATGAAAAGTCGGAACGCATTTTTGTTGGAGCTGAGAAGTTTCATCGAAATATATTGTCGCTGTACAACTAGCAGCTACCGGCTACCTTCTCTCAATGTAAACACATATCCTTAAAGCATAGTTCAGAAATTCAATTTTTCAGAAAAAACCAAAGCCAGTGGAAGACGTCGTGGAGCAGAGAGATTATTTGAAAATTATGGCAAACTCAATACATTCCATTCCGGAGGAATGGATAGGGTTTGCAGTCAAGACGGGATCTTTTCTATTTTTCGTTTCAGAGAATATCAAGAATTTTATATTTCATTGGATTTGTACTATGGAACGCAGGTGCTGGACGGGTACAGTAGCAAAGTCGCCAGAGCAGTTAGAAATGACCAGTTCTTCCCAAGGATTCAACTCGATCTCTATGTTCCTGAAAATTAATTTCAATCGAAGTAAGAAAATAATTTAGGCCGAGTTCCGACGAATGGAGTTGTGCATCTACCCCAGAGAAACAAGGATCGTTTTTTCCCTCTCTGCATTGATGAGCACCGCCGCTGATGATCATGGACAGACCATTTCGAAGCTCCTCGCTTATGTTTCAGTTCCTCTTTACGATGAGAACTTGTGAGTTCCTATTTGTTATTTTTTCAAAATCGAGAACTAAGGAAGAAAAAAAATATTAGCTCACAAGCCCAAAAACTGAATTCGATATATTTAATCTTGACTTCACCGTTAACTGGCCCAAGGAATTTCTGAAAAGGCGGTTCTAAATGAAGTATAATATTTTTTTCTTTTGGTTTTTGATACTCTCTTAATATCCATCCTTCAAAATTACTGCCAAACATAGTCCAAAGACGCATGAAAAAATAATTCACGCATTTTCACTTTCCTTCTTCGCTCACGGAACTTTTTGAGAGAAAATTTCTCGAAAAACTGCCATCTAATGAAAGAAACCACGCACAAACTCCATGAGATACAAAAGAAATACGTATTAAAATTTACAGATTGATGAGACAAGGCCCAATATTTCTGCCTTTAACAAGACTGAAGCGAGAGCCAGTTGTAAAGCCGTTTGGACCTTATCCGTACATCAAGGACGTCCGAGACCCCGTTCTCATCATGAGCTTCAAAATCTGGAACAAGGAGCTCCATTTCCCTTCTGTAACGCCTGAGATGCAAATGTTCGCATTGTTCCAAAAACTTGTCTTATTTTATATTTTAGCATTCCCCAAGATATCACAATGCTTGACGAAGAAACGAGAGAGTATTTGCTTGAAATGGTTGACAAAGAAGATCCCACAAGGTTTCGGAACATTTTTGCCATTCTCCATATTTCTACTCGTTTTCAGACTTGTGCAAGACGATCAGGAGATATTCTGGCAGAAACGGATGTATCTGGTGGGAATACCGGAAGCGTTGCCGTTGGTGAGGAGCTTGTTTGAATATTCAAATACGGCTTTCTTTTTCCTCAGGTTCTCTCTTCTTTGTCCGACTGGAGTTATACATTTTTGGTGCAAGTGCACCAGCTTTTGGATGTTTGGGCCCCGCTTCGGCCTGAAACAGCCCTCCAGTTGCTGCTCCCCCAGTGAGTTTTACAAATCAGAAAAAGTTCTTCTGAGGTTCATTTTTTTTTTTTGAGAGATCCAGAAGTTTCAAAGTTTAGGGCATAAGCAGGAATAATATATTTCTTTGGTCGCTATGGGCTTAACGAAATTTATTATTTTTGTTATTTTAAAAAGCGTCACTCAATATTTTTTTTGTTTTCATGGAACCAAAGCTCAAAAAAACCTGCAAAAAAATTTGTGAAACTCTAGTAGTGAAAAAAAGATCAAAAAAATCAAAAAAATGTTTCAAAATTTCACAACCCACAACTTTTTTTATGTTCCCAAAGAAATTCCAATGTTAAATGTGATTTGAACAAAGTTATTAACCTATACTTTTCTTTGAGCAAAAAGTTCAATAATCTGCAAATTGGAAAACTCGCATTCTAAATTGCTCGCTCATCCTTGCTAGCCAGGAAATGAATGTCTAGGTACCCGGACGAGCACGTGCGATCTCGGGCGGTGAAGTGGCTGTCGTCGGCGTCTTCGGAATTCCTCTTTCATTCTATCCCGCAACTCATTGAAGCTCTTCGCTTCGAGCTTTACGACAACTCGGCCCTTGCCAATTTCATCGTAGACCTTGCCTCTGTCAATTTGGACTACACGTTTGAAGTTTATTGGTGAGAATTTAACCAATTTTTTTATACAGAGATTTGTTTTAAGGCAATTGCAACAGCGAATAGATCATTCTGCCATTGATGACTTGCCTTATGCTGTGAGATGTCAGAATCTACAGCAGAAAATCGTCAATGAACATGATTTCATCAACTTGAGGCAAATGAATAGCTTCAGGGATAAAATTCGAAAAGTCGGTTTCAGAAAAGATCTGAAACTTCAACACGACCTTCTCTCCGATCTGGACCGCATTCAAGACGAATTGCGGTCCAGACCTCAAGACTCTGAACAAGAAAAGGTTTTCTACTTCTATAGGACTTCTCCGGGCGCATGTAGAGCTCTCAAAACTTTAGTCGTGTTTTTGAAGATGACAATTTATTTCTTATCTCAATAGCGTGAAAGTTATTTACTGCGCAGAGGCATCTAAAAAGTGACCGTATCCATTCTCCGTGCGTCCAATATTTTTGAACCTTTCTTTATCGATAATTTTCAGATTCATAGATTGAGATTACGGCTTGGAGTCCTTGATGCAAAACTGTTACAATGCAAAGTGAGATTCAGAAGAAGTTCAGATTATAATATTTTTCAAATTTTTTTTAAAGATGCGCCTTCCAATCGCACCATCTTTTGACTGTACGGGTGTATGGGTCGAAGAATGCAGCATTTTCAATTCCAACGCAAAACCCTTGAAAATAGTTTTCCGTGGAATGAATCGAAGTTATTCAATCATCCACAAGGTGAGATTATCTAGACTTGCAGACCTTTTTCTAAAAAAAATAAAACTTCAAGAGGGACGACGACATGAGACAAGATGCTTTTGTAATGAAAATGGTCAACGAAATGGATCGAATTTGGAAGTCCAACGGCCTGGACCTCTGTATTATAACGTTCCGAGTGATGCCCGTGGGCTATAGAAAAGGTTTGGAAAAACTGAAAGAAAAGAAATAAAAAAATGCGCAGGAATGGGAGAACTCGTGCTCAACTGTGCAACTTTGCTTGAAATCCAAAAAGAAGATGGACTGCGCGGCGTTTTGAAAGACGAGATTTTGCAACAATGGCTGCAGAAACACAACAACAGCGAGTACACCTACGGAAAGGTTTTGATCGGGAAAACAAATTTGTTTTTTTTTCTTGCTCAAAACGAGTACAATTTAAAAAAACAAGTACTCAGAGAAAGGAATCAGATCATGAATGCTTGAAATTTTGATAGAAAACGAAGTTTCTGCAGGCCCTTGACAACTTCATCCGGTCGTGTGCCGGTTGGTGTGTTGTGACTTATGTGTTGGGAATTGGAGATCGTCACAACGATAATATTCTTTTCACCAAGAATGGACACGTCTTCCACATTGACTTCGGCAAGTACATGGGTGACTGGCAGATGGCAGCTGGCTTCAGAAGGTATTGATCTTGCAAGAATAAGGATGTTATCTGAAATCAGACTTTTTTGAAACAATAAGTCAAAAAACCCGATGAACTGAGTTAACAGCATAAAAATGGATTTTTTAGATGTCTTTCGTTTTTTACATCTGAAAAGAGCGTTCTCATTTCTTTTCCACAAACTGAAGAAAAGATTTCAGAATTTTAGAAATAAGGAATTATTAGCTTGAAGTGCTCAAACCCTTTATCAAGTGCAGACCAGTAGTTTATAAATAATCTGAAGTTCCGACTAAAACTATCTCATTTGACAGTTATTCTTACGATTCAACAAAATAAGAATAAATTTATAGAGACCGAGTTCCTTTCGTTTTCACAACTGAGATGTACTACGTGATCAATGGCGGAAGAACTCAAACTCAAAGCTATCAGAAGTTCATTGACTACTGTTGCGTGGCCCTGAAACATCTGCGAAGAAATCGCACAACTTTGGCCAACCTTCTGAGAATTGTGAGCAGTTTCCAAAGTTGCAATATATTCTGATGATGTCAGATGGGTTGTTCTGACATTGCCGGCATAAATTTGGATTCGATCGCCTTCGTGGACAAAAATTTAATGTTGGACTTGTCGGATACAGATGCCACGGCACAGTTCACAGAGCTCATCCAGGTTTCAACTTTTTTCAGAAAATGGAAGTTCAGATTATAAAAGGAAATCTTTAGAAAAACTATGTCCACTTGGAATCAAGAAAGTTGATTTTCCGCATCTTCAAGAAAAATGAAGGCGGTAAAAATGTTGAAATATCAATTTCACAATTGTTTGAGAAATTTTCAAAGTCTCTGCAAAAGTTTACGCTTTGGCTAGTACAAAATTAAAAGTTTCCGATGGCTGGAAAGTTTTTGGAAAATCTATACAAACTGCAATCCGCGCATTTTGCATATTGAAAAGTTTATTTAGAACTCGCTGAAGTCAACTTTTGTTCGACTAAACTTTGTGGCTCACACATTTGCTCAGTTCATGTCATCCAGTAGTAGCTTCTCCAAACGCGACGAAGACAAATTGAGTATTGCTCCTGAACTTTACAGGTTTGGCTCACCATAATACTTTTTCCTCATTTTATATTTCTAGTGAAAAAACCGATGGCCGCATCAAAGACGTTGTTGTTTTGTCTTTTGAGAAAAGGTTTCTCCCAAACAAGATTTATGTAAGTTTATTTGTGTATTTTTGCTATGCGATGTTTATTTTCCAGCTGTATAAAATCGAAGTTCGACGGGAAAAACTTGGCTGTGTCGTCTTATGTTTATCGGTCGTTTGCCGAGTTTGACGAGCTTTATTCCAAGTTGAGAAGAAGGTTTGTGTTTATTATTACAAGTATCTCAAAGCTAAATGAAAAAAAGTTTGAGAAAAATCATAAGTTTCCATCCTGTTTTTTTGAGAGAAAAAAACCAATAATAATTTAATCCATTCACATTTAGTGTGGAACACTTTCAGCGGACTCGTTTGCAAAACTAAGCATTTTAGACGCTTCTGCGGATTTTTTATCACAATTTTAACAGAATAAGTTTTACCGGTTCCAAACAATAATTCACTCTAGCTGCTCCTTTATTTTACAAAAAAAAAGCTTCTTACAACTTTCAGGTTTCCAAACGTGATTTTCTCACTTGGATCTGGTACCAACATGAGATCGAACGTGAGAGAAGTTGCTCAGAAGCGCATGATAGACGTCCAAATGTTTCTACGTTACCTTTTCAGTTTGTCGCCTGAAATTAGCCATGTAAGCCTTTTTCTCTGTGAAGCCCTTTTAAGACTCAGAATCTCACTTTGTTTAGAGCAGACAAAAAGTAGACTTAGGGAACATTCTTGGTCGTTTATGTGTTGAATTGCTTATTATTGGTAATCCTTTCCACATGACCGAGCCGGCCAAGACTTCCTTCTTGTCATTATTTTTTTTCCAGTGCGACTTGGTTTATACGTTTTTCCACTCGATTCTCAGAGACAACAAGTGCGACAATTACCAAGGTTTGCTAAATTTTTTATACTCGCTGCTCACGAAGACGCAATGCCTTGCGGTTGCAAAACGACTAGAATCTTCAGAACATCTAATTTTCCCGACATCAAGCTGTTTGCGCGCAGTAGACTCACATAGCAAGAAAAGTCCGCCTAATGTCAGCTTTGGGATGACTGTCAACTGTGTAAATATATAATCAGATTTTTTCGTTTCGACTGGTTGAAAGTTGGAATAAACTGGTTGTATCTTTTTTGAGGTAGCCTTACCTTAGTTTGAGGTGGCCCTACCTTAATTAATAAAAAGAAATTCCTTGGGCAAAATATAAAACCTAGAGTTTGTTTTTCGTAGCGTCTTCATGATACAAAGCTTGACGAAAAACCCATGTAAAAATATTATTCCTGACTCAGGACTTCTGAGTAAACTTTTCCGAATTTTCATAAAGTTTTATACAAGTTACGGAAAACGCTTCCTTTTTTCAAGAGAAGTCTGAAGCAGGACAGCTCATATGAGGTGAATGAACTTAAGCATGTGAGAAAGAACTTGGCGCCAAGAATATGAGAGTTTGCACTTGACGTGTACTGCCGAGATTATTCTGCCGAGGTTCAAGTGGGCGGGCAGAACTCATTAGAGCGCTTGATTACATTTACATACAAATTCACGGACCCACATACTTCCTTTGCGCCTTTGTCCAGTTTCCTCGCGCAAAACAATTTGCGGTTTTTTTTTTTGGCCGTTCACTCACACGTGCACTGAGTTGCAGATTTTGACGATATGGGCGCCAGCAATCATTGCCAGGTTTTCCTCCGCGTTCAATACAATGGCGCTCGCGAAGTTCTCAGCATCTTTGTCGGTGAGTTTTCTTTGCCTTTGAATCCAAAACTTGATCTAAAATTTAATTTTTCTTTGTGGAGAATTTGAACTTCATGGATCGTCATTTTTGCTTTTCAGAGTCATTCGAAAATTTGAATATTCTTACGTTGGCAAAAATTTGTAATATTCACGGCTGAGATCTATTGAATATTATTCCCACGCCCAATCAGACCAACTTTTAAATCTTTAGTTTTCGAAAAATGGCAAGGTTTTCTGGTTGACTTTTAGAAAATTTAGCTCACCAGAGCGTTTGAAAAGTTTTGAAGTTGATCTATCTATTTAGCCTTCTAAAACATATGGACAACGGTCAAACGAGCGTCGGGGTTGATATTCTTCTCAAGTTCGAAATCAACTCTTATTGAACTTTAGTGAAAGTTTCTGTAAATTTTCCGTGGAAATAAGAGTCAACTGTTTTTAATAGCTTAAAAAACTGTATTCCAAACTCAAAAATACTTCTTCGATCCCGGGAGCAGAATTTTCGTGTTGATCATTTTTGAGATGTCACAGTCTTAAATGGAGCTCATTTCAGGCCACGTAAAAAATTTGTCATTGCTTCAAACCGGTCAAGAACCTGACCCGTACGTGAAGACCTACGTCAAGCCAGACCTCCAAAACTTCGCTAAAAGAAAGACACAAGTCGTGCGTGGCACGAGAAATCCAACTTTCAATCAAGAGGTATACTATATTATTCGAAAAGCAAAGTTCAGTTTATTTGCGCGATAAGTTTACGAAGCAGCTTTTAAACTCAGAAAAAGAAACTCTGCGGTTTATAGCTCCAGAAGTTTATGATTAATGAAGTTTGGACTTGAACTTGCTGCGAATTCGATAAGTTTGAATCTTTGTATACCAAAGATAATGAGATCACTTGTGGGGAAATGTTAACATGAACTTTAAAAAAAATTGTATGAAAATGTTTCATTGATCTACAGTTGATTCGTCCAGACTTCAAGTCCGGATGTGTTTAGTAAAATCTCCCAAAGGAATATTCAAAAAAATTATTTTTTTGGAAGAGGAAAAAAATCTCTTGATCTAAAAAAAGGAAGAGTCCTTAAATTGAGCCTAACCTGAGAATGTTTTTATTCATAGGCAAATGCGGAAGGATATTCTCGGACTCACCCTGACTCCATAATAGTTCCGAAATAGAATCTGAAAAAGTATCTTTCTCTTATAAATATCTGCAAAAATGAAGAACTTATTTGCAAAAATGAATATCTTCTAAATCTATCTCTTGTCCGTTGATGAACAAAAATTCGAGAGTCACCTGAAAATACATAAACTTGCGCCATAATTCCTAAGTCGAAAATTAGTACTTATTCAAGAATTTACGTTCAGCTGACCTACGAAAAGTTCCCTGAAAGCCTTCTGACGACCCGAGTTCTTGAAGTGAGCGTCTGGAACAACGGCAACCTGAAGGACAATCATAAAATGTACATGGTGTGCATCCCATTGCAGCGTTTCAACAACGTCAAGGCCGGCCGGAAGACTGACCGCGTACTCGAGGGCTGGTTCCAGTGCGAGAAGCACATTTGATCTTTCCTTCTATTTCACGAATCCAGTTAACTTTCTACTTTTTCTTTTTATCGAACTAGTTTCTTTTTCTTCTATTCTAGTCATCTTTCCTATACGTACAAGCTCTGAAAATCTCTATAGTCGCTCGATCAAAAAATGTTTTATGGGTCACCAGTTCATTACGCATTTTCCATAGAGTTATCGAGAGAAATCGTTTTTTCCTCTAAAAATGGAAATTTTTTTCATATTTCTTTGAGTGGCACATTTTCCCCGATGAGCTTATCTATTTTCAAAAAAAGTGCGAATTTCCAAAACGCATATTTTGAAGTGGTTTCACAACGGTTCTTCTTCTTTTTGCAATAGTTCCTTCATCGTTGGCTTAATTTCATAGAAGTCTTAAAAGTATCAACAAGAAAACCTGAAAAGAAAAACGAGGCTTCCGCTTAAATCTCGTTTTGAACTAACGGTGAATGAAAAATAATTCCCTGTTCCAAAGATATTTTTTTCTTTCAGTTTAAAAATTTAAAAACGCAGACGAGTCAAGAGTTCTCGTTGACGACCCAAAAAAAACGGCTTTGTGACGTTTCATGTGCTCAGCTGCGTCCTTTCGTCTCGTTCTCTCGTTTTAAATTAGTTTCAATTTTTATGTTTTCAATTGTTTCAAAATTTGCCTTATTGTCATTATCCTTGAGCTTGAGTGAGAAATGTACAATTATGCACGTTTTCGTACATATCATCCTTTTTGGGCCACTAAAACGGTGCATAATTGTTGTTTTCTACGTCCGGCGAGTGTATCCTTTGCCATAAACCTATTGAATCTTGAAAGTGAACATATTTATTATAAAAAAATCCAGCTGTGATTGAATATTATGTGTATTTCCTGTATAATTATGTAAGTATAGAGAATAATTGCCCGAAATAAATTGCTTCATATGTTGGCGTTGTTTGAGCTTTCCAATGTTAGTAAACATCTTTTTTTTAAGTCCCGAGAGGATGGCAAATGGGTTCTTAAGGAGGACAACAGAACAAGTATTGATCTTCTAGAAAGAAGAGAAATGAAAAAAATAACTCGGATGCGGATGAAAGTGGCGTGGAGCCCGCACACCTCTCCAGATCGATGAGTCCTGCCTGGATTTTCGACCTTTCTTCTCAATTCTACTTTTTTTCTATTATTATGTGTCATGAAAATATTGGCCGACTGAGGTCAAAAAATTGAAAGAAAAGCTCTATACTTTGTTGGAAGAAACTTCGTGATTACACGGAAACTTTTTTTGAGCTTTTTCGACTATATTAGTTACCCTTTCTCAAAACTCCCAATTTTTTTCAAAAATTGTTCAACTCAGTTTTAAAAAAATATCTATGTTTTCTGATGGACTTCATAATTTACTTTTCGTTATCAAAAATATAGAGACTTACAAGTTCCAAATAAAAAAATTAATAGTTTGTTCTGGGAAATTTTTCCCTATGCTTTATCGCCAAAAAAATCAGGCCTTGATCGGTTTTTTTGAGCTTGAAAATAATTATTTCTCAATTAAAAAAGCTGAAGACGCACGAGTAATTTTTTTTCAAATTTTTTTTTGAGCACTTCAAATAAAACAAAAATATTTGCTTACACAATGTTTGTGCCTTTTCGAACCAATACCGGAAAAAAAAGAAAATTGAAGATAATCGAGAATCTGAGAATTCTGACGGATCTGTTTTTCAAATCAAAAAAATTTTTCATATTTTTTTCTCGAAATAGGCGTAGAAAGATTGAAATTCTTTTTATTTCTGATTTCGTGTGAAAATTTGACGATAAAACTATTTTTTTGCCTTATCATTTCAAAATGTGAATGGACAGCGGTTGGAACAAAAACAAAGGGAAGCCCAATAACTATAGTGAAAAAAAAAACTAACTAAATAACGCTTGAAAATGTTGCACTTGGCGCGTGCCATTGAGAAAACCGGTTTCTTGGCGCTCTGATCACCCGAAATTGGTTGGACGGTGCATTATTTCCTCATTTTTAAATTGTTTGCCTGCAAGCCGCCTTTTTCTTTTTCTGACAGTTTTACGATCTGATAAATTTTTCGTAGGACGTTTTTCAATAATTTAACAAAGATAGATGGACAAATGTTGTTGGAACTTTTTTAGGCAAAAACAATGGATTACCATTCCCGTATTTTTTTTTTTGAAGGTAGAAAGGTTGGAAAATAAATGAATCGTATCGGATAGCAATCAAGATTCCTGTGAAGTCTCATCAGATTTGAACAATCAACTTTTTCGATCATTTTTTTACACTTTTTGCCTTTTTTTGTTCTTTTTATTTTTTTGTTTATCAACGCGCGAATAGCTTCTGGTCGTGCACACTTTTAAGCACGCGATTTCACGGGCCATTTATATGCCAAATTTGAACATCCAACTTACGCGAAAATAATAGAAGTTTTTGGCAAACTTTCATTTTATAGAAAGAAAATTTCGATTTCAACTCGACGAAGATCGTCAGCACCTCCATAACTGAACGAAATTCCTCGCCTTTCGGTCGCTAGCCGTTAGGCGCTAGTTATCTCGTTTTAATGATCAAATTTTATGCGGAGCAGCAAGGGTTGAATCGAGATGATTCGATGCCTCACACAATTCAGTCTCAATTACAGCTGCCAATGCCTTTCATAGAACGCTTTGGAAGTCGAAAAAGAGAACTCAATTCATTGAGAGCTCTTTTCAATCAGAAAGCTATTTTCACTCATTTCCTTCAGTTTTCCACGATTCTTGTTTATTTGAACGGAAGAAAAAAACATCGTCACGTTGTTTACTGCGTTGTACCTTTTTGGGCCAGACGAACATTGTTGTCTTTTTGCATGGCCAGCTGGAAAACATGTGAATGTTTACCCATCTTTTCGCGTTTCTGCCGTTGCGTCGTGAAATTCTTCCCATTTGCGGCTCTCTGAAATCGATGAGCTTTCCGAAATTTTGTCATCCTATTTTTTTCATATTTATTGGGCTAATTGAAGCTCAAACGTTTTTCTGACTGTTTATTCTTTATTTAATGGGAAATGTGCTCTGACCAAAAAGTCCCCATTGTTTTTTTCAAATCAGCTGCAATATTTTGCGGATTTCCTTTTTCTATTCCGTTTTATCGATTTACAGTCTTTAATTTTATTATCTCATCACTAAAAAAAAGTATTGTTCAAACTTCAAGACTTCATATTTCAGGAAAAAGTTTCTAGTTTGAGCTGGCTTTTCCTATTCCTTTTTGTTTTAAATTGCACTCACACTTTTTTGAACTCAAAAGGAGTTTATATGCACCTCAATTTCAAACGAAAAGACTATCGGGTAGTCTCAATTTTTTTTTTTTGCACAAGAGCCCGGTCAATTAACTGTGATGGATATTGAACTAAAGAAATTTTTTGGAAAATTGTCTGATAACATTTCTTTTTTTGGGAGAGCTCATTAACCACATCCACGTCAGCCTAAACTCGAATTTTCGCAACAAGAGAATTACGATTGAAGCGTCCGCTGAGCCTAATTGCATCGCCGCTCGCTTCTTTGAAGCAGTGCTGGAGCCATGGATACGGCCTGAAGACTTGAGGTCGTGTGAACTGGCGCGTTTCTCAACACTTTAGTCCCCACTTCCTCTGTGATCATTGGTTGCCTTCCATGAATAAATGTAACAAAAATTATTAAAAAGACTTTTTCATTTTCCAATATTTTTTTCAGGAAACTTTTTCCGGTGTCGTCCTTTTTATAATTAAGTATGTAAGCCCGAAACTTGGAGTTTTTCAAACAAATCTTGAAAAACTTGCATTCTCCCATAGATATTATTTTTAAAAAAAGAAAAAGTACTGCTTTGGATAAATTGATAAATCTGGGAAAGTTTTATTATCACCAAGTATTTTTTTGAGAAAAATTTTTTTCAAAAAAAGATTAAATTGCAGTATTTCCGCAGCTTTCCAACTATCTTTCACTTCATTTCGTGAGTCATTTTTTTTGTTTGTTTCGAGGCGTTCAGGATTGATCTGCATCTTGAAATGTTTTTCTCATTGCGAATGTTTGTTTTCGAAATAGTTTGCGTGTTGATGAGAATTTTTCAAACTTTCACGTTCTACAACAGCTGCACTTTTTGCCATCTTCATCCCATGTGTTTTTCGGGACTTCAAATGTGAATTTTCTTTGCATGCGTGCGACTGTCCTTGATACAAGTTTGTCTAGCTAATCTTTTTTCACTTAGCTGTATGACGCAAAAAATTGAGCCTAGCGTTTCATTGTGCTGAGGGCGTTATTCTCATCGTTCAGTGATCAAAATTGAAAGAATGACTTGATAAGCGCGACATTCCCGTTGAACGTTTCTCGTTTTAGGTTTACTCGGCAATGAAGTTTTATTCTCTTAGTGCTTGATAATTTCTGATCTTTCCTTCAATAACTTTCAGCTTCTTGAAAAGAGATATCTCAAAATCCAACAAAGGAACCTTCGAAAATTCGAAAATGCATCTGGGAGTCAGTCGTCAAAAAAAAGCCTCCAAATCAAATAAAATTATCAACAGCTTTTGAAAATGGAGGTTTTTTTTTGTTAATTCTTGAAAAACAAAGGAGTTTCGCAAGCCTAAAATCTCGGATTTTTTTTTCGTTCCTCTCAAAAAGCTTCTCAAACGAAAGAAAAAAATATCGATCGCATAGGTAAAAGATCTTCCTTCTAAGCCGGTCAATATTTCAAATTTTTCAAAAAACACAAAATCGATTTTTTTGCGCATTAGGAGTCCAAAAACCAACAGGTCTATGAATCAGCGTTAAGAATGACTGGCGATCGCCAGTGAGAACGTCTTCAAGGTCCCCATTTTCAGTACTTCCTATTCTTTGTTCGCTTTCATGATCGTGAACCATCTTTCAAAATGTTGAAAAGTTTGGCTCCGACTCCTGAACAAACTTGATTTCAACTTTGTCACAATAAATTCAAATTCAAAAAAAAGTAGGACTTACCGCAAGATGAAACTTTAATATTATATCATAGTTCGGAGTTTTCAAATCTGTGAAACATCGTATTCTCTAATCTTTTTTGCCAGAGATAGTTGTAAGCAGCTTTGAGCGATTAGTTCTTTTATCAAAGAAAAATTTGTGGTCCATTGATTTTTGTTGCAATTCGTTTCGAAAGAAATTTTTTATTCGTTCGGTTATCTGTTCATTTTTTCTGTTCCAATTTTTCGCACTCAATGAAAGTTTTAACGGTTGTCAATCACGACTGTTTCACAACCAGTTCTGTAGAGTATTCTCATAACCCATATTTGAAATGAAGAATTTCAATTTTTTAAACAATCGTTTCTCTTTTTGTATTTCGAGTAGCTTTCATATACTTATCCAACTTAACGGAGAAAATTTTTTTATGGAAATTTTTGAAGTTTACATTTTTACACGTTCGAACTCTCAAGATTGCACATTTTTTGATTTGAATTAGAAATCATGGATAGGCGAAAAGTTCTGGATCTTAAATTTGATTTCCTCACAGCTTTGTTCCATTTCTGTTTGCGTGAACTTTGTTTGTCTGCACGTGTCAAAAGTTCCTCTTTTTTATTCGTGACATCACTTCCAACAAACCGTGTTCTTTTCATCTTGCCGCTTGACAGAGTCTCAGTAATCGTAACATGTTTCAGAAAATTTACTGAAAAGGGACATTGAGAATGTCACACGGGCCAAAATGTATCTGCCAGATTTGCACTTGCGGGTTAGTTCTGAAACTTTGAACAATTAAAAAAAATCAATAGTTTGGGGAGAATGATCAATTAATGTATTCAGCTTTTTTTCAATTATTTAATAAGAGCATTTTTTTAGTCATAACTAGTTGATTTCTCTTTTTATATAATAGATATATAAGAGATGAAAAAGGAATCTTTATAAAACGAAAAATTGTTCGAAATTTGTCAGATTTTGACTGAATATAGAAGATTAATCTGTTATTGCGTGTGGTTTTTTTTACAGGAGACATAAATGTCCACACGATAGAAATGCAAGCAGTTTTTCTCTAGGAGAGACTGATGCAGGAGTTTTTCACACGAGGAGCCATAGCAGGGTTTTTCTCCTTTTCTTAAATTTACCAAAATGATTTTCCAGCAAGAGTCACACAGCGAATCATTTCAAAGAGTGACACCAATACGACCTCGTAGCCAAATTTCTAATGCTATTTTTGGCGGATCTGAGTCTCCGGTGAGTTCAATTGTCAATTTAAAAACTATCGAATAGTGAGCACTGTTTTGAAAGTTAGAATTGGCGGTTTTCGAAGGTTCTTCTGAACAGAAATTCTCATCAGAGTCAGGGCAAAATTTATAAAAACTACTTCATAGCCTCGTTTGGAATCAGTCGATTTTTCAACAGTTCGAGGCAAAGTCGGAGACGCAAAAAGCTAACGAGAGAAGGCCCGAAAGCAGCGGTGGCAACGCTGACGAAAATAATAAGACAGCCGCAAGTGGGATAAACGACGCCATGTTGAGCGACAAGAAAACAGCGACAGTGTTCAGAAACCGGAACAGAGCTTCGCAGGTTCTGATTTCATATAACATCATCATCTTTTTTTTCATGAATTTTCAGCTATTCGAATCGTCGAAAACAACAAATTCAACTTCTTTTCATAAAACAACCACACAGGACGCAAATAATTTCAAAGAGGAACCAGGTTGGATTCCCAATTGAACAATGAAAAATCGCTGAGGATTAAGGCAGAAAAACAGAAAAGACTTCCAACAATGGAATTTACGAGAACAGTCGTGAAAAGGTTTTGAAAAAAATAGTTCTATGGCAAAAAAAAAAGTTTAGACAACCCACAACGGGGCGGGGCGGAACTCGTCCAGTACTAGAGGTTTACACAAAAATGTTCGTAAGAAAAACTTTCATTTACAGTTGTGAGTGGAAGAGCCGTTCGTAACAAAAGCGAAATTTTTGAATCGGTGGGAACTGACAAGGTTGTGACTGCTGTAATATATTGTTTAAACAGAAATTTTCAGTTGCCCCCAATAAAAACTACCAGAAAAATCATCAAAATGGAACAATCGAAAAAAGATGACGGGAAAACTTTATCGTTGCCTTCGCCACACCATTTTAATCGCAACCAGAAGTCTTCTATTTCCAGCATACTTCACGATTCGAATTCCATAGAGAGATTCGCGGTGAACGATCAGTCGAAAGCTGCTCAAACGACTAGGACTGCAACCACACACCACACCGTAACAAAGAATGGTAGAGAACATTCAAGTACTACTGTAACTGTTTGCGATTCAAAGAAGACAGCAAAAACGGAAGAAGAATCGAACTTTAACCCAATAAAAATGGAGAAACATCAGAAAATTGATCCAGAGAACTACAAAAGTTCCGAGACGACTACTCAAACAAAGAAAGGCTACACTGTCGTCCAAGCTGAGCGTTACCAGATAAGAAAGCCAGAAGACAACAAGATTCTGCCAGCTGAAGGTTCTTTCACTGCCACAACGCAGAACCAAGAAGACTTCCACAGCACCAAGGGAGACCGCTTCGATGCGAAAAGGCCGCAAGACCATGGAATCCTACAGAACGATGGCAGCTTTGTTGCTCGAACTCAAACCCAAGAAGACTTCACTGCAGTCAAAGGAGAGCGTTACCAGATAAGAAAGCCAGAAGACAACAAGATTCTGCCAGCTGAAGGTTCTTTCACTGCCACAACGCAGAACCAAGAAGACTTCCACAGCACCAAGGGAGACCGCTTCGATGCGAAAAAAAGCCGCAAGACCATGGAATCCTACAGAACGATGGCAGCTTTGTTGCTCGAACTCAAACCCAAGAAGACTTCACTGCAGTCAAAGGAGAGCGTTACCAGATAAGAAAGCCAGAAGACAACAAGATTCTGCCAGCTGAAGGTTCTTTCACCGCCACAACGCAGAACCAAGAAGACTTCCACAGCACCAAGGGAGACCGCTTCGATGCGAAAAAAAGCCGCAAGACCATGGTATCCTTCAGAACGATGGCAGCTTTGTTGCTCGAACTCAAACCCAAGAAGACTTCACTGCAGTCAAAGGAGAGCGTTACCAGATAAGAAAGCCAGAAGACAACAAGATTCTGCCAGCTGAAGGTTCTTTCACTGCCACAACGCAGAACCAAGAAGACTTCCACAGCACCAAGGGAGACCGCTTCGATGCGAAAAAGCCGCAAGACCATGGTATCCTTCAGAACGATGGCAGCTTTGTTGCTCGAACTCAAACCCAAGAAGACTTCACTGCAGTCAAAGCAGAGCGTTACCAGATAAGAAAGCCAGAAGACAGCAAGATTCTGCCAGCTGAAGGTTCTTTCACTGCCACAACGCAGAACCAAGAAGACTTCCACAGCACCAAGGGAGACCGCTTCGATGCGAAAAGGCCGCAAGACCATGGAATCCTACAGAACGATGGCAGCTTTGTTGCTCGAACTCAAACCCAAGAAGACTTCACTGCAGTCAAAGGAGAGCGTTACCAGATAAGAAAGCCAGAAGACAACAAGATTCTGCCAGCTGAAGGTTCTTTCACTGCCACAACGCAGAACCAGGAAGACTTCCACAGCACCAAGGGAGACCGCTTCGATGCGAAAAAGCCGCAAGACCATGGTATCCTTCAGAACGATGGCAGCTTTGTTGCTCGAACTCAAACCCAAGAAGACTTCACTGCAGTCAAAGGAGAGCGTTACCAGATAAGAAAGCCAGAAGACAACAAGATTCTGCCAGCTGAAGGTTCTTTCACTGCCACAACGCAGAACCAGGAAGACTTCCACAGCACCAAGGGAGACCGCTTCGATGCGAAAAAAAGCCGCAAGACCATGGTATCCTTCAGAACGATGGCAGCTTTGTTGCTCGAACTCAAACCCAAGTAGACTTCACTGCAGTCAAAGGAGAGCGTTACCAGATAAGAAAGCCAGAAGACAGCAAGATTCTGCCAGCTGAAGGTTCTTTCACTGCCACAACGCAGAACCAAGAAGACTTCCACAGCACCAAGGGAGACCGCTTCGATGCGAAAAAAAGCCGCAAGACCATGGTATCCTTCAGAACGATGGCAGCTTTGTTGCTCGAACTCAAACCCAAGAAGACTTCACTGCAGTCAAAGGAGAGCGTTACCAGATAAGAAAGCCAGAAGACAGCAAGATTCTGCCAGCTGAAGGTTCTTTCACTGCCACAACGCAGAACCAAGAAGACTTCCACAGCACCAAGGGAGACCGCTTCGATGCGAAAAAAAGCCGCAAGACCATGGTATCCTTCAGAACGATGGCAGCTTTGTTGCTCGAACTCAAACCCAAGAAGACTTCACTGCAGTCAAAGGAGAGCGTTACCAGATAAGAAAGCCAGAAGACAACAAGATTCTGCCAGCTGAAGGTTCTTTCACTGCCACAACGCAGAACCAGGAAGACTTCCACAGCACCAAGGGAGACCGCTTCGATGCGAAAAAGCCGCAAGACCATGGTATCCTTCAGAACGATGGCAGCTTTGTTGCTCGAACTCAAACCCAAGTAGACTTCACTGCAGTCAAAGGAGAGCGTTACCAGATAAGAAAGCCAGAAGACAACAAGATTCTGCCAGCTGAAGGTTCTTTCACTGCCACAACGCAGAACCAGGAAGACTTCCACAGCACCAAGGGAGACCGCTTCGATGCGAAAAAGCCGCAAGACCATGGTATCCTTCAGAACGATGGCAGCTTTGTTGCTCGAACTCAAACCCAAGAAGACTTCACTGCAGTCAAAGGAGAGCGTTACCAGATAAGAAAGCCAGAAGACAACAAGATTCTGCCAGCTGAAGGTTCTTTCACTGCCACAACGCAGAACCAGGAAGACTTCCACAGCACCAAGGGAGACCGCTTCGATGCGAAAAAAAGCCGCAAGACCATGGTATCCTTCAGAACGATGGCAGCTTTGTTGCTCGAACTCAAACCCAAGAAGACTTCACTGCAGTCAAAGGAGAGCGTTACCAGATAAGAAAGCCAGAAGACAGCAAGATTCTGCCAGCTGAAGGTTCTTTCACTGCCACAACGCAGAACCAGGAAGACTTCCACAGCACCAAGGGAGACCGCTTCGATGCGAAAAGGCCGCAAGACCATGGAATCCTACAGAACGATGGCAGCTTTGTTGCTCGAACTCAAACCCAAGAAGACTTCACTGCAGTCAAAGGAGAGCGTTACCAGATAAGAAAGCCAGAAGACAACAAGATTCTGCCAGCTGAAGGTTCTTTCACTGCCACAACGCAGAACCAAGAAGACTTCCACAGCACCAAAGGAGACCGCTTCGATGCAAAAAGACCGCAAGACCATGGAATCCTACAGAACGATGGCAGCTTTGTTGCTCGAACTCAAACCCAAGAAGACTTCACTGCAGTCAAAGGAGAGCGTTACCAGATAAGAAAGCCAGAAGACAACAAGATTCTGCCAGCTGAAGGTCCTTTCACTGCCACAACGCAGAACCAAGAAGACTTCCACAGCACCAAGGGAGACCGCTTCGATGCAAAAAGACCGCAAGACCATGGAATCCTACAGAACGATGGCAGCTTTGTTGCTCGAACTCAAACCCAAGAAGACTTCACTGCAGTCAAAGGAGAGCGTTACCAGATAAGAAAGCCAGAAGACAACAAGATTCTGCCAGCTGAAGGTTCTTTCACTGCCACAACGCAGAACCAAGAAGACTTCCACAGCACCAAGGGAGACCGCTTCGATGCAAAAAGGCCGCAAGACCATGGAATCATCCAGAACGATGGCAGCTTTGTTGCTCGAACTCAAACCCAAGAAGACTTCACTGCAGTCAAAGGAGAGCGTTACCAGATAAGAAAGCCAGAAGACAACAAGATTCTGCCAGCTGAAGGTTCTTTCACTGCCACAACGCAGAACCAAGAAGACTTCCACAGCACCAAGGGAGACCGCTTCGATGCAAAAAGACCGCAAGACCATGGAATCCTACAGAACGATGGCAGCTTTGTTGCTCGAACTCAAACCCAAGAAGACTTCACTGCAGTCAAAGGAGAGCGTTACCAGATAAGAAAGCCAGAAGACAACAAGATTCTGCCAGCTGAAGGTTCTTTCACTGCCACAACGCAGAACCAAGAAGACTTCCACAGCACCAAGGGAGACCGCTTCGATGCAAAAAAAGGCCGCAAGACCATGGAATCATCCAGAACGATGGCAGCTTTGTTGCTCGAACTCAAACCCAAGAAGACTTCACTGCAGTCAAAGGAGAGCGTTACCAGATAAGAAAGCCAGAAGACAACAAGATTCTGCCAGCTGAAGGTTCTTTCACTGCCACAACGCAGAACCAGGAAGACTTCCACAGCACCAAGGGAGACCGCTTCGATGCGAAAAAAAGCCGCAAGACCATGGTATCCTTCAGAACGATGGCAGCTTTGTTGCTCGAACTCAAACCCAAGAAGACTTCACTGCAGTCAAAGGAGAGCGTTACCAGATAAGAAAGCCAGAAGACAACAAGATTCTGCCAGCTGAAGGTTCTTTCACTGCCACAACGCAGAACCAGGAAGACTTCCACAGCACCAAGGGAGACCGCTTCGATGCGAAAAGGCCGCAAGACCATGGAATCCTACAGAACGATGGCAGCTTTGTTGCTCGAACTCAAACCCAAGAAGACTTCACTGCAGTCAAAGGAGAGCGTTACCAGATAAGAAAGCCAGAAGACAACAAGATTCTGCCAGCTGAAGGTTCTTTCACTGCCACAACGCAGAACCAAGAAGACTTCCACAGCACCAAAGGAGACCGCTTCGATGCAAAAAGACCGCAAGACCATGGAATCCTACAGAACGATGGCAGCTTTGTTGCTCGAACTCAAACCCAAGAAGACTTCACTGCAGTCAAAGGAGAGCGTTACCAGATAAGAAAGCCAGAAGACAACAAGATTCTGCCAGCTGAAGGTTCTTTCACTGCCACAACGCAGAACCAAGAAGACTTCCACAGCACCAAGGGAGACCGCTTCGATGCAAAAAGACCGCAAGACCATGGAATCCTACAGAACGATGGCAGCTTTGTTGCTCGAACTCAAACCCAAGAAGACTTCACTGCAGTCAAAGGAGAGCGTTACCAGATAAGAAAGCCAGAAGACAACAAGATTCTGCCAGCTGAAGGTCCTTTCACTGCCACAACGCAGAACCAAGAAGACTTCCACAGCACCAAGGGAGACCGCTTCGATGCAAAAAAAGACCGCAAGACCATGGAATCCTACAAAACGATGGCAGCTTTGTTGCTCGAACTCAAACCCAAGAAGACTTCACTGCAGTCAAAGGAGAGCGTTATCAGATAAGAAAGCCAGAAGACAACAAGATTCTGCCAGCTGAAGGTTCTTTCACTGCCACAACGCAGAACCAAGAAGACTTCCACAGCACCAAGGGAGACCGCTTCGATGCAAAAAGGCCGCAAGACCATGGAATCATCCAGAACGATGGCAGCTTTGTTGCTCGAACTCAAACCCAAGAAGACTTCACTGCAGTCAAAGGAGAGCGTTACCAGATAAGAAAGCCAGAAGACAACAAGATTCTGCCAGCTGAAGGTTCTTTCACTGCCACAACGCAGAACCAAGAAGACTTCCACAGCACCAAGGGAGACCGCTTCGATGCAAAAAGGCCGCAAGACCATGGAATCATCCAGAACGATGGCAGCTTTGTTGCTCGAACTCAAACCCAAGAAGACTTCACTGCAGTCAAAGGAGAGCGTTACCAGATAAGAAAGCCAGAAGACAACAAGATTCTGCCAGCTGAAGGTTCTTTCACTGCCACAACGCAGAACCAGGAAGACTTCCACAGCACCAAGGGAGACCGCTTCGATGCGAAAAAAAGCCGCAAGACCATGGTATCCTTCAGAACGATGGCAGCTTTGTTGCTCGAACTCAAACCCAAGAAGACTTCACTGCAGTCAAAGGAGAGCGTTACCAGATAAGAAAGCCAGAAGACAACAAGATTCTGCCAGCTGAAGGTTCTTTCACTGCCACAACGCAGAACCAAGAAGACTTCCACAGCACCAAGGGAGACCGCTTCGATGCAAAAAGACCGCAAGACCATGGAATCCTACAGAACGATGGCAGCTTTGTTGCTCGAACTCAAACCCAAGAAGACTTCACTGCAGTCAAAGGAGAGCGTTACCAGATAAGAAAGCCAGAAGACAACAAGATTCTGCCAGCTGAAGGTCCTTTCACTGCCACAACGCAGAACCAAGAAGACTTCCACAGCACCAAGGGAGACCGCTTCGATGCAAAAAAAGACCGCAAGACCATGGAATCCTACAGAACGATGGCAGCTTTGTTGCTCGAACTCAAACCCAAGAAGACTTCACTGCAGTCAAAGGAGAGCGTTACCAGATAAGAAAGCCAGAAGACAACAAGATTCTGCCAGCTGAAGGTTCTTTCACCGCCACAACGCAGAACCAAGAAGACTTCCACAGCACCAAGGGAGACCGCTTCGATGCGAAAAAGCCGCAAGACCATGGTATCCTTCAGAACGATGGCAGCTTTGTTGCTCGAACTCAAACCCAAGAAGACTTCACTGCAGTCAAAGGAGAGCGTTACCAGATAAGAAAGCCAGAAGACAACAAGATTCTGCCAGCTGAAGGTTCTTTCACTGCCACAACGCAGAACCAAGAAGACTTCCACAGCACCAAGGGAGACCGCTTCGATGCAAAAAGACCGCAAGACCATGGAATCCTACAGAACGATGGCAGCTTTGTTGCTCGAACTCAAACCCAAGAAGACTTCACTGCAGTCAAAGGAGAGCGTTACCAGATAAGAAAGCCAGAAGACAACAAGATTCTGCCAGCTGAAGGTTCTTTCACTGCCACAACGCAGAACCAGGAAGACTTCCACAGCACCAAGGGAGACCGCTTCGATGCGAAAAAGCCGCAAGACCATGGTATCCTTCAGAACGATGGCAGCTTTGTTGCTCGAACTCAAACCCAAGAAGACTTCACTGCAGTCAAAGGAGAGCGTTACCAGATAAGAAAGCCAGAAGACAACAAGTTTCTGCCAGCTGAAGGTTCTTTCACTGCCACAACGCAGAACCAAGAAGACTTCCACAGCACCAAAGGAGACCGCTTCGATGCAAAAAGACCGCAAGACCATGGAATCCTACAGAACGATGGCAGCTTTGTTGCTCGAACTCAAACCCAAGAAGACTTCACTGCAGTCAAAGGAGAGCGTTACCAGATAAGAAAGCCAGAAGACAACAAGATTCTGCCAGCTGAAGGTTCTTTCACTGCCACAACGCAGAACCAAGAAGACTTCCACAGCACCAAGGGAGACCGCTTCGATGCGAAAAAAAGCCGCAAGACCATGGAATCCTACAGAACGATGGCAGCTTTGTTGCTCGAACTCAAACCCAAGAAGACTTCACTGCAGTCAAAGGAGAGCGTTACCAGATAAGAAAGCCAGAAGACAACAAGATTCTGCCAGCTGAAGGTTCTTTCACTGCCACAACGCAGAACCAAGAAGACTTTCACAGCACCAAAGGGAGACCGCTTCGATGCGAAAAAAAGCCGCAAGACCATGGTATCCTTCAGAACGATGGCAGCTTTGTTGCTCGAACTCAAACCCAAGAAGACTTCACTGCAGTCAAAGCAGAGCGTTACCAGATAAGAAAGCCAGAAGACAGCAAGATTCTGCCAGCTGAAGGTTCTTTCACTGCCACAACGCAGAACCAAGAAGACTTCCACAGCACCAAGGGAGACCGCTTCGATGCGAAAAAGGCCGCAAGACCATGGAATCCTACAGAACGATGGCAGCTTTGTTGCTCGAACTCAAACCCAAGAAGACTTCACTGCAGTCAAAGGAGAGCGTTACCAGATAAGAAAGCCAGAAGACAACAAGATTCTGCCAGCTGAAGGTTCTTTCACTGCCACAACGCAGAACCAAGAAGACTTCCACAGCACCAAGGGAGACCGCTTCGATGCGAAAAAAAGCCGCAAGACCATGGAATCCTACAGAACGATGGCAGCTTTGTTGCTCGAACTCAAACCCAAGAAGACTTCACTGCAGTCAAAGGAGAGCGTTACCAGATAAGAAAGCCAGAAGACAACAAGATTCTGCCAGCTGAAGGTTCTTTCACCGCCACAACGCAGAACCAAGAAGACTTCCACAGCACCAAGGGAGACCGCTTCGATGCGAAAAAAAGCCGCAAGACCATGGTATCCTTCAGAACGATGGCAGCTTTGTTGCTCGAACTCAAACCCAAGAAGACTTCACTGCAGTCAAAGGAGAGCGTTACCAGATAAGAAAGCCAGAAGACAACAAGATTCTGCCAGCTGAAGGTTCTTTCACTGCCACAACGCAGAACCAAGAAGACTTCCACAGCACCAAGGGAGACCGCTTCGATGCGAAAAAGCCGCAAGACCATGGTATCCTTCAGAACGATGGCAGCTTTGTTGCTCGAACTCAAACCCAAGAAGACTTCACTGCAGTCAAAGCAGAGCGTTACCAGATAAGAAAGCCAGAAGACAGCAAGATTCTGCCAGCTGAAGGTTCTTTCACTGCCACAACGCAGAACCAAGAAGACTTCCACAGCACCAAGGGAGACCGCTTCGATGCGAAAAGGCCGCAAGACCATGGAATCCTACAGAACGATGGCAGCTTTGTTGCTCGAACTCAAACCCAAAGAAGACTTCACTGCAGTCAAAGCAGAGCGTTACCAGATAAGAAAGCCAGAAGACAGCAAGATTCTGCCAGCTGAAGGTTCTTTCACTGCCACAACGCAGAACCAGGAAGACTTCCACAGCACCAAAGGGAGACCGCTTCGATGCGAAAAAAAGCCGCAAGACCATGGTATCCTTCAGAACGATGGCAGCTTTGTTGCTCGAACTCAAACCCAAGAAGACTTCACTGCAGTCAAAGGAGAGCGTTACCAGATAAGAAAAGCCAGAAGACAACAAGATTCTGCCAGCTGAAGGTTCTTTCACTGCCACAACGCAGAACCAGGAAGACTTCCACAGCACCAAGGGAGACCGCTTCGATGCGAAAAAAAGCCGCAAGACCATGGTATCCTTCAGAACGATGGCAGCTTTGTTGCTCGAACTCAAACCCAAGTAGACTTCACTGCAGTCAAAGGAGAGCGTTACCAGATAAGAAAGCCAGAAGACAGCAAGATTCTGCCAGCTGAAGGTTCTTTCACTGCCACAACGCAGAACCAAGAAGACTTCCACAGCACCAAGGGAGACCGCTTCGATGCGAAAAAAAGCCGCAAGACCATGGTATCCTTCAGAACGATGGCAGCTTTGTTGCTCGAACTCAAACCCAAGAAGACTTCACTGCAGTCAAAGGAGAGCGTTACCAGATAAGAAAGCCAGAAGACAGCAAGATTCTGCCAGCTGAAGGTTCTTTCACTGCCACAACGCAGAACCAAGAAGACTTCCACAGCACCAAGGGAGACCGCTTCGATGCGAAAAAAAGCCGCAAGACCATGGTATCCTTCAGAACGATGGCAGCTTTGTTGCTCGAACTCAAACCCAAGAAGACTTCACTGCAGTCAAAGGAGAGCGTTACCAGATAAGAAAGCCAGAAGACAACAAGATTCTGCCAGCTGAAGGTTCTTTCACTGCCACAACGCAGAACCAGGAAGACTTCCACAGCACCAAGGGGAGACCGCTTCGATGCGAAAAAAAGCCGCAAGACCATGGTATCCTTCAGAACGATGGCAGCTTTGTTGCTCGAACTCAAACCCAAGTAGACTTCACTGCAGTCAAAGGAGAGCGTTACCAGATAAGAAAGCCAGAAGACAACAAGATTCTGCCAGCTGAAGGTTCTTTCACTGCCACAACGCAGAACCAGGAAGACTTCCACAGCACCAAGGGAGACCGCTTCGATGCGAAAAAAAGCCGCAAGACCATGGTATCCTTCAGAACGATGGCAGCTTTGTTGCTCGAACTCAAACCCAAGAAGACTTCACTGCAGTCAAAGCAGAGCGTTACCAGATAAAAAAAGCCAGAAGACAGCAAGATTCTGCCAGCTGAAGGTTCTTTCACTGCCACAACGCAGAACCAAGAAGACTTCCACAGCACCAAGGGAGACCGCTTCGATGCGAAAAAAGGCCGCAAGACCATGGAATCCTACAGAACGATGGCAGCTTTGTTGCTCGAACTCAAACCCAAGAAGACTTCACTGCAGTCAAAGGAGAGCGTTACCAGATAAGAAAGCCAGAAGACAACAAGATTCTGCCAGCTGAAGGTTCTTTCACTGCCACAACGCAGAACCAAGAAGACTTCCACAGCACCAAGGGAGACCGCTTCGATGCGAAAAAGCCGCAAGACCATGGAATCCTACAGAACGATGGCAGCTTTGTTGCTCGAACTCAAACCCAAGAAGACTTCACTGCAGTCAAAGGAGAGCGTTACCAGATAAGAAAGCCAGAAGACAACAAGATTCTGCCAGCTGAAGGTTCTTTCACCGCCACAACGCAGAACCAAGAAGACTTCCACAGCACCAAGGGAGACCGCTTCGATGCGAAAAAGCCGCAAGACCATGGTATCCTTCAGAACGATGGCAGCTTTGTTGCTCGAACTCAAACCCAAGAAGACTTCACTGCAGTCAAAGGAGAGCGTTACCAGATAAGAAAGCCAGAAGACAACAAGATTCTGCCAGCTGAAGGTTCTTTCACTGCCACAACGCAGAACCAAGAAGACTTCCACAGCACCAAGGGAGACCGCTTCGATGCGAAAAAGCCGCAAGACCATGGTATCCTTCAGAACGATGGCAGCTTTGTTGCTCGAACTCAAACCCAAGAAGACTTCACTGCAGTCAAAGCAGAGCGTTACCAGATAAGAAAGCCAGAAGACAGCAAGATTCTGCCAGCTGAAGGTTCTTTCACTGCCACAACGCAGAACCAAGAAGACTTCCACAGCACCAAGGGAGACCGCTTCGATGCGAAAAAAAGCCGCAAGACCATGGAATCCTACAGAACGATGGCAGCTTTGTTGCTCGAACTCAAACCCAAGAAGACTTCACTGCAGTCAAAGGAGAGCGTTACCAGATAAGAAAGCCAGAAGACAACAAGATTCTGCCAGCTGAAGGTTCTTTCACCGCCACAACGCAGAACCAAGAAGACTTCCACAGCACCAAGGGAGACCGCTTCGATGCGAAAAAAAGCCGCAAGACCATGGTATCCTTCAGAACGATGGCAGCTTTGTTGCTCGAACTCAAACCCAAGAAGACTTCACTGCAGTCAAAGGAGAGCGTTACCAGATAAGAAAGCCAGAAGACAACAAGATTCTGCCAGCTGAAGGTTCTTTCACTGCCACAACGCAGAACCAAGAAGACTTCCACAGCACCAAGGGAGACCGCTTCGATGCGAAAAAAAGCCGCAAGACCATGGTATCCTTCAGAACGATGGCAGCTTTGTTGCTCGAACTCAAACCCAAGAAGACTTCACTGCAGTCAAAGGAGAGCGTTACCAGATAAGAAAGCCAGAAGACAACAAGATTCTGCCAGCTGAAGGTTCTTTCACTGCCACAACGCAGAACCAAGAAGACTTCCACAGCACCAAGGGAGACCGCTTCGATGCGAAAAAAAGCCGCAAGACCATGGTATCCTTCAGAACGATGGCAGCTTTGTTGCTCGAACTCAAACCCAAGAAGACTTCACTGCAGTCAAAGCAGAGCGTTACCAGATAAGAAAGCCAGAAGACAACAAGATTCTGCCAGCTGAAGGTTCTTTCACTGCCACAACGCAGAACCAAGAAGACTTCCACAGCACCAAGGGAGACCGCTTCGATGCGAAAAAGGCCGCAAGACCATGGAATCCTACAGAACGATGGCAGCTTTGTTGCTCGAACTCAAACCCAAGAAGACTTCACTGCAGTCAAAGGAGAGCGTTACCAGATAAGAAAGCCAGAAGACAACAAGATTCTGCCAGCTGAAGGTTCTTTCACTGCCACAACGCAGAACCAAGAAGACTTCCACAGCACCAAGGGAGACCGCTTCGATGCGAAAAAAAGCCGCAAGACCATGGTATCCTTCAGAACGATGGCAGCTTTGTTGCTCGAACTCAAACCCAAGAAGACTTCACTGCAGTCAAAGGAGAGCGTTACCAGATAAGAAAGCCAGAAGACAACAAGATTCTGCCAGCTGAAGGTTCTTTCACTGCCACAACGCAGAACCAAGAAGACTTCCACAGCACCAAGGGAGACCGCTTCGATGCGAAAAAAAGCCGCAAGACCATGGTATCCTTCAGAACGATGGCAGCTTTGTTGCTCGAACTCAAACCCAAGAAGACTTCACTGCAGTCAAAGGAGAGCGTTACCAGATAAGAAAGCCAGAAGACAACAAGATTCTGCCAGCTGAAGGTTCTTTCACTGCCACAACGCAGAACCAGGAAGACTTCCACAGCACCAAGGGAGACCGCTTCGATGCGAAAAAAGCCGCAAGACCATGGTATCCTTCAGAACGATGGCAGCTTTGTTGCTCGAACTCAAACCCAAGTAGACTTCACTGCAGTCAAAGGAGAGCGTTACCAGATAAGAAAGCCAGAAGACAACAAGATTCTGCCAGCTGAAGGTTCTTTCACTGCCACAACGCAGAACCAAGAAGACTTCCACAGCACCAAGGGAGACCGCTTCGATGCGAAAAAGCCGCAAGACCATGGTATCCTTCAGAACGATGGCAGCTTTGTTGCTCGAACTCAAACCCAAGAAGACTTCACTGCAGTCAAAGGAGAGCGTTATCAGATAAGAAAGCCAGAAGACAACAAGATTCTGCCAGCTGAAGGTTCTTTCACTGCCACAACGCAGAACCAAGAAGACTTCCACAGCACCAAGGGAGACCGCTTCGATGCGAAAAAAAGCCGCAAGACCATGGTATCCTTCAGAACGATGGCAGCTTTGTTGCTCGAACTCAAACCCAAGAAGACTTCACTGCAGTCAAAGGAGAGCGTTACCAGATAAGAAAGCCAGAAGACAACAAGATTCTGCCAGCTGAAGGTTCTTTCACTGCCACAACGCAGAACCAGGAAGACTTCCACAGCACCAAGGGAGACCGCTTCGATGCGAAAAAAAGCCGCAAGACCATGGTATCCTTCAGAACGATGGCAGCTTTGTTGCTCGAACTCAAACCCAAGTAGACTTCACTGCAGTCAAAGGAGAGCGTTACCAGATAAGAAAGCCAGAAGACAACAAGATTCTGCCAGCTGAAGGTTCTTTCACTGCCACAACGCAGAACCAAGAAGACTTCCACAGCACCAAGGGAGACCGCTTCGATGCGAAAAAGCCGCAAGACCATGGTATCCTTCAGAACGATGGCAGCTTTGTTGCTCGAACTCAAACCCAAGAAGACTTCACTGCAGTCAAAGGAGAGCGTTATCAGATAAGAAAGCCAGAAGACAACAAGATTCTGCCAGCTGAAGGTTCTTTCACTGCCACAACGCAGAACCAAGAAGACTTCCACAGCACCAAGGGAGACCGCTTCGATGCGAAAAAAAGCCGCAAGACCATGGTATCCTTCAGAACGATGGCAGCTTTGTTGCTCGAACTCAAACCCAAGTAGACTTCACTACAGTCAAAGGAGAGCGTTACCAGATAAGAAAGCCAGAAGACAACAAGATTCTGCCAGCTGAAGGTTCTTTCACTGCCACAACGCAGAACCAAGAAGACTTCCACAGCACCAAGGGAGACCGCTTCGATGCGAAAAAGCCGCAAGACCATGGTATCCTTCAGAACGATGGCAGCTTTGTTGCTCGAACTCAAACCCAAGTAGACTTCACTGCAGTCAAAGGAGAGCGTTACCAGATAAGAAAGCCAGAAGACAACAAGATTCTGCCAGCTGAAGGTTCTTTCACTGCCACAACGCAGAACCAAGAAGACTTCCACAGCACCAAGGGAGACCGCTTCGATGCGAAAAAAAGCCGCAAGACCATGGTATCCTTCAGAACGATGGCAGCTTTGTTGCTCGAACTCAAACCCAAGAAGACTTCACTGCAGTCAAAGGAGAGCGTTATCAGATAAGAAAGCCAGAAGACAACAAGATTCTGCCAGCTGAAGGTTCTTTCACTGCCACAACGCAGAACCAAGAAGACTTCCACAGCACCAAGGGAGACCGCTTCGATGCGAAAAAAAGCCGCAAGACCATGGTATCCTTCAGAACGATGGCAGCTTTGTTGCTCGAACTCAAACCCAAGTAGACTTCACTGCAGTCAAAGGAGAGCGTTACCAGATAAGAAAGCCAGAAGACAACAAGATTCTGCCAGCTGAAGGTTCTTTCACTGCCACAACGCAGAACCAAGAAGACTTCCACAGCACCAAGGGAGACCGCTTCGATGCGAAAAAAAGCCGCAAGACCATGGTATCCTTCAGAACGATGGCAGCTTTGTTGCTCGAACTCAAACCCAAGAAGACTTCACTGCAGTCAAAGGAGAGCGTTATCAGATAAGAAAGCCAGAAGACAACAAGATTCTGCCAGCTGAAGGTTCTTTCACTGCCACAACGCAGAACCAAGAAGACTTCCACAGCACCAAGGGAGACCGCTTCGATGCGAAAAAAAGCCGCAAGACCATGGTATCCTTCAGAACGATGGCAGCTTTGTTGCTCGAACTCAAACCCAAGTAGACTTCACTGCAGTCAAAGGAGAGCGTTACCAGATAAGAAAGCCAGAAGACAACAAGATTCTGCCAGCTGAAGGTTCTTTCACTGCCACAACGCAGAACCAAGAAGACTTCCACAGCACCAAGGGAGACCGCTTCGATGCGAAAAAAAGCCGCAAGACCATGGTATCCTTCAGAACGATGGCAGCTTTGTTGCTCGAACTCAAACCCAAGAAGACTTCACTGCAGTCAAAGGAGAGCGTTATCAGATAAGAAAGCCAGAAGACAACAAGATTCTGCCAGCTGAAGGTTCTTTCACTGCCACAACGCAGAACCAAGAAGACTTCCACAGCACCAAGGGAGACCGCTTCGATGCGAAAAAAAGCCGCAAGACCATGGTATCCTTCAGAACGATGGCAGCTTTGTTGCTCGAACTCAAACCCAAGAAGACTTCACTGCAGTCAAAGGAGAGCGTTACCAGATAAGAAAGCCAGAAGACAACAAGATTCTGCCAGCTGAAGGTTCTTTCACTGCCACAACGCAGAACCAAGAAGACTTCCACAGCACCAAGGGAGACCGCTTCGATGCGAAAAAAAGCCGCAAGACCATGGTATCCTTCAGAACGATGGCAGCTTTGTTGCTCGAACTCAAACCCAAGAAGACTTCACTGCAGTCAAAGGAGAGCGTTACCAGATAAGAAAGCCAGAAGACAACAAGATTCTGCCAGCTGAAGGTTCTTTCACTGCCACAACGCAGAACCAGGAAGACTTCCACAGCACCAAGGGAGACCGCTTCGATGCGAAAAAAAGCCGCAAGACCATGGTATCCTTCAGAACGATGGCAGCTTTGTTGCTCGAACTCAAACCCAAGTAGACTTCACTGCAGTCAAAGGAGAGCGTTACCAGATAAGAAAGCCAGAAGACAACAAGATTCTGCCAGCTGAAGGTTCTTTCACTGCCACAACGCAGAACCAAGAAGACTTCCACAGCACCAAGGGAGACCGCTTCGATGCGAAAAAAAGCCGCAAGACCATGGTATCCTTCAGAACGATGGCAGCTTTGTTGCTCGAACTCAAACCCAAGAAGACTTCACTGCAGTCAAAGGAGAGCGTTATCAGATAAGAAAGCCAGAAGACAACAAGATTCTGCCAGCTGAAGGTTCTTTCACTGCCACAACGCAGAACCAAGAAGACTTCCACAGCACCAAGGGAGACCGCTTCGATGCGAAAAAAGCCGCAAGACCATGGTATCCTTCAGAACGATGGCAGCTTTGTTGCTCGAACTCAAACCCAAAGAAGACTTCACTGCAGTCAAAGGAGAGCGTTATCAGATAAGAAAGCCAGAAGACAACAAGATTCTGCCAGCTGAAGGTTCTTTCACTGCCACAACGCAGAACCAAGAAGACTTCCACAGCACCAAGGGGAGACCGCTTCGATGCGAAAAAAAGCCGCAAGACCATGGTATCCTTCAGAACGATGGCAGCTTTGTTGCTCGAACTCAAACCCAAGAAGACTTCACTGCAGTCAAAGGAGAGCGTTATCAGATAAGAAAGCCAGAAGACAACAAGATTCTGCCAGCTGAAGGTTCTTTCACTGCCACAACGCAGAACCAAGAAGACTTCCACAGCACCAAGGGAGACCGCTTCGATGCGAAAAAAAGCCGCAAGACCATGGTATCCTTCAGAACGATGGCAGCTTTGTTGCTCGAACTCAAACCCAAGTAGACTTCACTGCAGTCAAAGGAGAGCGTTACCAGATAAGAAAGCCAGAAGACAACAAGATTCTGCCAGCTGAAGGTTCTTTCACTGCCACAACGCAGAACCAAGAAGACTTCCACAGCACCAAGGGAGACCGCTTCGATGCGAAAAAAAGCCGCAAGACCATGGTATCCTTCAGAACGATGGCAGCTTTGTTGCTCGAACTCAAACCCAAAGAAGACTTCACTGCAGTCAAAGGAGAGCGTTATCAGATAAGAAAGCCAGAAGACAACAAGATTCTGCCAGCTGAAGGTTCTTTCACTGCCACAACGCAGAACCAAGAAGACTTCCACAGCACCAAGGGAGACCGCTTCGATGCGAAAAAAAGCCGCAAGACCATGGTATCCTTCAGAACGATGGCAGCTTTGTTGCTCGAACTCAAACCCAAGAAGACTTCACTGCAGTCAAAGGAGAGCGTTATCAGATAAGAAAGCCAGAAGACAACAAGATTCTGCCAGCTGAAGGTTCTTTCACTGCCACAACGCAGAACCAAGAAGACTTCCACAGCACCAAGGGAGACCGCTTCGATGCGAAAAAAAGCCGCAAGACCATGGTATCCTTCAGAACGATGGCAGCTTTGTTGCTCGAACTCAAACCCAAGAAGACTTCACTGCAGTCAAAGGAGAGCGTTATCAGATAAGAAAGCCAGAAGACAACAAGATTCTGCCAGCTGAAGGTTCTTTCACTGCCACAACGCAGAACCAAGAAGACTTCCACAGCACCAAGGGAGACCGCTTCGATGCGAAAAAAAGCCGCAAGACCATGGTATCCTTCAGAACGATGGCAGCTTTGTTGCTCGAACTCAAACCCAAGTAGACTTCACTGCAGTCAAAGGAGAGCGTTACCAGATAAGAAAGCCAGAAGACAACAAGATTCTGCCAGCTGAAGGTTCTTTCACTGCCACAACGCAGAACCAAGAAGACTTCCACAGCACCAAGGGAGACCGCTTCGATGCGAAAAAAAGCCGCAAGACCATGGTATCCTTCAGAACGATGGCAGCTTTGTTGCTCGAACTCAAACCCAAGAAGACTTCACTGCAGTCAAAGGAGAGCGTTATCAGATAAGAAAGCCAGAAGACAACAAGATTCTGCCAGCTGAAGGTTCTTTCACTGCCACAACGCAGAACCAAGAAGACTTCCACAGCACCAAGGGAGACCGCTTCGATGCGAAAAAAAGCCGCAAGACCATGGTATCCTTCAGAACGATGGCAGCTTTGTTGCTCGAACTCAAACCCAAGAAGACTTCACTGCAGTCAAAGGAGAGCGTTACCAGATAAGAAAGCCAGAAGACAACAAGATTCTGCCAGCTGAAGGTTCTTTCACTGCCACAACGCAGAGCCAAGAAGACTTCCACAGCACCAAGGGAGACCGCTTCGATGCAAAAAGGCCGCAAGACCATGGTATCCTTCAGAACGATGGCAGCTTTGTTGCTCGAACTCAAACCCAAGAAGACTTCACTGCAGTCAAAGGAGAGCGTTACCAGATAAGAAAGCCAGAAGACAACAAGATTCTGCCGGCTGAAGGTTCTTTCCCTGCTACTTCCCATTACAAAACAGTGTTCACACGAGATAGCATTAAAAAAGTTCCATCTCCCCAAAACTCCATCGAAAGTAGTGCATCGACTCGTTTAAGTTCCACGGGGAATGCAAAGCAGCAATCGTCTTCTCAGAAAATCATTTCGGTAGTCAGAATTTTTTTTTTCAAACAAATTTTTTTTTCCAGGAACCAGCTTCAAAGTTGCAACCGCCTGTTCACACTTCAAGGAATGTGACGACTGTGACAAGTTCCTCAAAGAAAGTTTGCTCAAGTGGTGGTATGTTAGATTTCCGTACTTATTTAAATTTCGTTTTACTGCAGAAAAAAGTCAGAAATCAGAAAGCTCTGTGCACACTACAGTGTCTTCATCTGTTAACGGCGTCCAAACACTCAAAAGCAACTACGACTCGGTTTCGTTGAATTTTCTACGGAAATCAACTTTTTTTTCTTCTCAGAACTTTCAATATCGTCCGGTGCCCTGCATAGCTGGAGAACTTCTGGAATCGGTGCGTCAGAACCACATCGACACCACAAATTTCAAGTATCAAAAAAGTAACAGTGGCCATCACTTTTACAAGGAGAAAAAAATAATCGACATTTTTTTGTTTCAATTTTTTTGTACATTCAATTGACTGCGGGATTTTTCTCATTGTATTTAATGACTTTTTTTCAGTTTATTTTTGCTGATTTATGAATTTTTCTCATTTTCATGAATAAATGGTATGAGCTTCTCAGTGACTTTGGAAAATTTCATTCACAGAACCGCCCAGTTTCTCATCCTGCTTGTGTAGAAAAAGCATGGTCTCCACTAAGAGCTAGCACTAAATGAAGGATGAGCGCTTTTCACATCAAAGGGATGATGCAGATGTACAAGAAACTTAAGCAAGGTTCAGATTGATCCCCATGAAAATATAGAATTCAAACTACCTTCATGAGTAAAACTGTAGCTCGACTTTGGTTATTTTAAAAAACTTCAGAGCCCGAGAATAAAACTTTCTTCGTTGTACTAAAATGCCCAATAACACTTGAAGAGGGAAAAAAAGGTTTTCAGTTGTTTTGCTGCGTCGCAGTGAGTATGCGTCAAGTCATAAGCTTGGTTAATGTGTTAACTTTCTGATCTAGGCCCTAATGCAGCTGCAGCCACGGGGTAGGAGTCATTAGTGGGCGCAACGAAACTCTGTTAGCGAACTCAGTTTGTCCGACCTGTTGTCATAGAGATTTCGGGCTGAAGTTATCATTACCGCTCCACGCTTCAAGTTTTCCGACAAAAGCCTCATTTAGAAGATCCGTTTCTACGTTTGTTTTTGAATCGGAATGGCGTCAAAGAAGCGATATCTCAAAACGCTGATCTCAAAACCATTTCTTCTCGTTTTCATGAGCTTTCTTTTGAAAAAATTATTTCGAGTGAAGTAATTTTTTTTTGTCTTACAAAAGAGGTTCAGAATTTATTAACACGAGATGTCGAGAAATTATTTGCCACCTCCTCTCCTCTTTAAAAAGTTCATTTGAAAGTTTTTATTTTCAAAACTAAAACCTTGCTCAGGTAGCGACTATTGAAGAAGTCATCAAGACTTCCCTGAGTGTGCAGAAATCTTCGCAGAAACTCTGGAACATCAAGAAAGTCTTTGAATCAAAAATTTTGGAAAAAATGAACTGTTTTTGACATTTTTTGTAAATTTGTTTCAAACCAATGATTCGTATTTTTTGTTGGATTTTCTCATCGATTTCTCATGAAAATTCATTCTTCTTTTCTCTTTCTGACAGAAAAAAAAGAGTATGAAACCATTCTCTCCTTTCAGTGCTGTCGAATGCATCGTCGAATTGCAGAAAGCGAGCAAATTTCCGAGCAGGTTTGCCATATTTTGTTTCATTTTCAATCACTGCCTTTCCTGTTTTCAGGCTCGAGAAAGAAGGAGAGAACGGCATTTCCGCAACCGATATGCTAATGATTTCGTGAATACAAAGGTGGTTTTTTAATATGTACTTCTGAATCCAACTATTCATTCTTCAGGCATGTTTGATTTGCTTGTTGTTTCTCAGTTTCCACATAGCGCACGGTCATCGCACTATGCTGCTGCTGTTTCAGTTTGAAGAAAAGACGAGAGACGACTGAGCGTCGCCTACAATCGTTAAAAGTTGAAAAAGTTCAAAGTGAAAAATTTTTGGATATTTTGTATTTCGCTTAGATGGCTACAAAGAGTTGATTTTGTGGATTCTAAAGACTCCTTTTTATGATTATATTTCACTTACTTGAAGCTATCCACTGGAGGAGCAGGTATACTTCTTCCACCAATATACTCAAATAAAAAATTTTTGGTATTTGTTCAAAAACCTCATTGGATATTGTTTCAATTCGGTGGGATATCAGAAACAAATAATTTTTAGTCTTGCGAAAAAAATTCATAAGTGGGAAAGTAGATCTTTTTGTGATTTGAAAAACGTTGATAGCTTTAATGTGGAGGATATTCATAACATCTCGAAAACTTGCCTTCGAATTGCACGAAATGACAACTGAGTGGACGCAAATCGAGTTTTTATCCGCCAAAATTGACCACGATGATGCATATAGCAGCGCGACGTGAATTTGTCCACTTACACCATTCTCAAAATTCTTTCATATTTTTCTAAGCTACCATTTATTATTTTTGTAAGTCTTCTTTTTCTTTCATGCTTTTTTTGTGTCACATTTTCGAGTCTCTCAAGCAACTTCGATAACGACTGCAGAGCGAAGAGCAAGAAGAAGATGAGAAAGATACGAGTAGAGCTGATTGAAAATGTCAATCATACGTCTGCCAATCCGACGACAGTTTTGTCCCCGATTTTCTAGCTTCACCTCTTTTTAACGGTTGCTCAAAAAAACATTTTGTCATCCTGTAAGCTATGGTTTCGAAAAATTTCCAATTTTCTATGAAAAAAATAAAAATTGATCGGCAGTGAATTTAGAACAAAATTCTGTGATTTTTTTGTTCTGTAAAAAAAGATTTCAATTCCATCTTCCAAAAATCAGTTTTTATCTTACTCCCTTTTCTCGACAGTTCTAAAATTTACTTCGAACCTACTTGGCGCACACTTTTTTTCCTGATTGAACCCAATACAAAGCTCACGGTTCAAAATAGTCTGTCTGCGAGGATTTCTGCAAAAAGATGCAGAAAATTCGGTCAGCGACACGTTGAAAACAGCTGTTGAAGTTGGTGCAAAACGATTTTGCGACGCAAAACGACATTTTCAAAAACATAAAATTTCAGATTGGAAATGAGAAAATTCCTGCCGAGCCGCTATAGTTCGTTACGGAAATCGAAAGTCTTCCATATTCGCTTTGACTTTCGAAAATAGTTCTCAACTGATTTTTTTCTTTTCTGCAGTAAATACATATTTTCTTCGTTGTATATAGAAAAGAAAAAAATAAAAATTAGGCTAGCGTGCTGACACTCAACTGTCCATGCTATCTTAGCAAATGCACTTCTTTTTTCAGATTCCTCGAACATATGTGAAACAGCTTGAATGTTTTAACACAACATCCGTACAGCTGTACCAATGAGAATTTTCTTTACATGCAATAAAAATTCATAAAAAACACAATTCCCATTTTATTACCTTGTTCTACGACTTTGTTTTTCACGACAAGCCTTTTGCTCATTTTTATTTTAGTGAAATAATATCATCCATTCAACTAATAGTTAGCTACATATACTAATAATCAGCTAGATCCGGCCTTTTTTCCGCCTAAAAGTGGAGGTTTTACAAGTTTTCGGTCTAAGGAAGCCGCTAGTTCAAACATAGCTCCGAGTGGGCTGAAGTTTAGTGTTCTTGAAAAAAAGAAAAATAAAAACTGTGGGTTTATTTATGTGGAAATCAATTTATGTTTCGAATCTGTCTTTGAAGATTTCAAAAGTGAGTATAACACGAGTCTAAAAACTTCAATTATTATATATTTTTCTCATTTGTTAATTTTTTTATTTATTTTTATTTTTTTCTAACCTCTAAATGTTTTCTACTCAAAATTCTGTAATTTTTCTGCTCGTTAGTCATTTCACGAACTCCTGCCTAAATTGGGGCTCACTCCGATTGAAGGCGAATAAGGCTTTTTGCTGAGATCATTACAAATTTTTCAACCGCTCGTGTGAAAAACCTAGCAAGCTTTTGTTTCTTTATTTTGTTACAACTTATATAGTTCATTCACTACTGGTTTGAGACTCCGCATAACATATTTGAAAAAAGAAAATTTTCAGTCATTTTTCCAAACTAGCAACAATATAAGAAATTTTGAATTAAAGTGAAAAAAAAGACCGAAAAAAGCAACTCCTCGAAAACAGGAGAAACTCTTCGAAACTTAGCCCAGTTCATTCTCTCATTTGCGGGTTTTTTTTGGGCGGATGCCGATGACGTATCGCAGTATCTGCTATCTTCGTGGCCGCCTCAACTGCCCGTTTTCTCGAAGATCTATCGCGCACCTTCCCTCGCGTACTTGCGCGCCCAACGAACCACAGCAAAAGACGAATTGCTAGTCTCTATTCGATTACAACAGTTTAATCGAGCCCTCTCCGAAGAAAAAAACGGCGACAAATCCAACTGGAAGCCAAAAAAATGTTTCCCACTTCTCTTTGGATTATTCTGCTTCGCATAAGACAAAAAGATACTTTTTGACTATTTCGAACATTTTCGTGTTTCAGATTAAAAATGAGGAACTTTTTTTGAACTTAAAATACGTCTTCTTCTATAATGAGCAGAAAAATTATGTGAGTATATACATTTGATTTTTATATTCATTTAACTTTTTAAAAAGATAAATGCACCATTTTTCGTTGCATCTTTCTCAACTTTCGCCCATACTATTTTATCAAACAGAAAGCTTTGAAATTCAGCGATTTGCGAGGATTTTGACTCTCAATCTTTCATTAACCTAATTCCTTTCTCCTTCCTAAAAAAACTATGAAAAAAATTTTTTCAATTTTTCTTCGATTGGAAACAGCTTATTGTGAACAAATAATGAAGTCATAGCCAAAGTTTTAGAAATCTGTGCCCATAAATCACTTCAAGCAGATCTCAGATTTTCTTTTAGTTCAGAGGTTCAAAGCCGAGTTCTCTTTGGAAGAAGAAGAAAAGGAAAAATATGCGAATAAACACCATGATACCATCTCAATCTCGTGCAGGAATCGGCCAGATTATAACAATTAAAACGGGGAAAAGGACGATAAACACGGGAATCGGAACAATCCACGAAAGTCGAAAGCCGATCGTCTCTGCCTATGAAATCCAACACCCACTTGTTGTCACTCGCAACGCCTCCAAAAGCTCTTTTTTCGAGATTTTTTTCTCAGAGTTTTTATTTATGATTTCAAAGACCCAGATTTTTTGACCACCCATAGAGATTTGAAAGAAGAAGTATTGGAGGCATTTCGGTCTTGCTTTTCAATTATTCAGCGCGTTTAATCGATGCTGGTTTCGCTATTCTCAAAAAATTCAAGCTTGTTAGAAGTCGTCAGAAGTTTCTCCAGCTATTTGAAATCCAACTTTGACTAATTGAGTTTTTCTAACTTTTCAAATTTTTTGAAATCAGATTGACAAAGTCATAAAATTGAAGGAACTTTTGCTTCTTCTCAGCTTTGTTGTTTTTGACATAACCGAGTGAATCAAAAATGAATAATGAAAACTCAAAGTTGGCATATAGATAAATAAGGAGTTTTGAACAGAAAGATTTTTGTATATTCATTAACTATTTGCTGTGAGGATTACCATACCTTCAAAAGATTCTTTTTTTACCTGAAGATTGATAAACTTGTCAACTCTGCAGAGTTTAATGAGAATGTACTTTCGATGCACTTCTACCAGCAGTATAGCTTTGCTCTCACTCAAAGTATCACTCTCTTCATCCAAACTCGAAGTGGTTCGCTAAATAACTCTGTGAGAATCTGCCTTTGAACGACGCATGGACTTGGAAGAGTGTCGATTTGTAAACGCACAGCTCGGAATTGTTTGCATTTTTGCCTTAAGTGGGCTCTTTCGGTCGCTTTTGACTCCTACAATCGTTCAACTTTTGTGTCCACCTCACTTCACCTTGTTTGCTCGATTTTTTCCAGAGACATACCTTTTATATCTTTTTTTATGATACGATTCAAAGCGAAAGGGAGCGCTTTTTATTATTATTTGCTTAACGGGCAGAGGCAGTTTTTTTTTTAGTCAACTGACCTTTTCCCTCTCAATGAAAACATTTTTTTCCTTCTACAAAAGCCGTACCTTGGAAAAAGAGTTCTTCCGCAACCGAAAGACTAAGAATGTGCTTGAGTTGTTGGTTGTTTGTCTTGATCGATGCATCGATCAACTGCTATCAGTCAGGCAAGCTTGTTTTTCTTGCATGCTAGCCGCACCTGTCCGTCGAATGTTGCGTTTTGAACCGATCAAATTCTCTCTAGCGTGATTCTGTATTCCTTCTTGAATACTTTTGAATTTGAACTGCAATTTCTGAAAAATATGTTGATTTTTCAAGAGGGAACAGACAGGAACGCAGGAAGAAAATTCTCAATTGAAAAAAATTTTCGCGTATGATTTTACTATGTCCAAAAATTCTTCATGAAACTCGAACCTTGACAGATTAGAGGTTCAGTTTTCGCTTTGAGATCTTCATAGCGTTCTTCATAATTATAACAAGTACTTTCAGACGCAAATTAACAAAATCTTGCTGTAGTGCTCGATGTGGGATTGGAATCCGATTCGCTTGTATGGATTATATTTTTTACGTGCACTTTTTGGTTTGCTCATCAAATTGGAAGAACAACATTTTAGTAAGAAACTTCAAAAAAAATCTACTCTAAACTGGAAATGGACCTCTCGTGACTTCACCTTTTTGACCTTGTTATTTGGGGTAAATAGTGAGTGGACGGCAGGTAAACACGCAACGGTAAACTCGTTGCTGTTACTTTTCCCAAAACAGTTTGTTTTTTCTTTTTCGGTCTATTTTAAAGTTTTTTTTGCGTTAACGTCGAGATATTTCATGATTATCTTTTGTAAAGGTCTTCTGGTCTTTTTCAGAGAAAAATCCAATATGGAGAGCAAAATTATCTTCCTCTTTGGTTCAGATTTTCTACCAGCTTATCAAGAAAATAAAAACAAAGATAT